AAGAATTAAGCACCCAGCTTGAGGATTTGTATCTTGGCGCTCTTCTCGTCAAATGACTGGCGCGCAGGAAAACATTCTTCAGATTGTTTCCCAGGGAAAATGCTGTGGAGAAAAGCTTACAATGTAATTTGCTTGCCAGAACACACAAGGTAAGAGAAAAGAATTTGCGTTTGTATATTTTATCGATGAAACATTCCATGGAAATTTAGAATCTCTTGTCCAGAATGTTTTTTTTTCTCAGTTTGTGTGGTGAATTGTTTAAAATAAATAGCAATAAAACCCAATGTGTAGCACAAAAGCGGTCAATTGCTCTCACATAATACAATTTCGCATTATTTACAACTAATTGAGCATCATTTCCGTGCAACGATTGCTCGCAAAATTATTTGCAACACTGAAGAGCTCTCGAAAGTCCCCAAACCACTCGACAGAGGTGATTGATAAATACTGCTCTCATGAGCAATTCCAGTGAAATGAAATCCTTTGAAAATTGCCTCAACGATTGGCTAATACCAAGGGGGAGATAAAATGGCAAAACCACGTCCTGACACTTCCACAAATTGTGTAAAAAATCCTTAACACTTCCGAGAAGGATTTGATTTGAATAACATGCTAATTTTGGCTTTATTGTCCTCACAATTATCTACAAATCAACTAAAATCTAACTAAAATCTAATTGAGAAACATTCTGGCCTTTATATTTGATATTCTCAGATCATCTTTAATGATTTTCTTCCGTCAGAGAATATGTTTTGTTTCTTAATTAAAATATTTAGCTCAAAATCGTAGCTGTTAAGTATACAAAAATTAAAGGTTATGCTTGATTTTGGCCTGTTTTTATCCATTCATCTTCCATAATTGCGATTTTCATGTAATTTAGACACACAATGTTGTTAAGAAAAGAAATAATTTCATTTTCAATGCAAGAATATTTACTTTGAGGTGTTATTTTGTCAAAAATTCAGTCACATAAGTAAATTATTCCGTTGGCAATCAAAACAATGATCCGAATTATTGCAATTAATTAATTGCAATCATATTATCTTCCCCTTGGCTAATATATTTCACTCACTAAGTCTTCCAATAACTTCATATGAATCACACTGGAAATCAAATTGGAATTTTTGCGAATATTCTCGAGAATTCTCCTTTTATATCGCCGCACAACAAAAGCCATTGAGGTGGATTTTGCCACCTCGAAACACTCTTAACTCTTCCATTGCGAATGCATGTTTCGCTGGGTGAAAATTGCTCGGCAAAGCGTAAAGACAGGCTAAATCCCATTGGCTGCGGTTTCGTCTGAAATCGATACAAATGGTAATTTTCAATAGCTGATTTTCTAACAAATTCCATTCAGCCACAGAAGCCTCAATGATTCCCACTGAGGCGCATGAATTCCCGCCAATAAGTCGACAATGAGTGAATCAATTAGAAAAGAAGGTCCACAAAGTGCTTCTTCGTGTTTCGTCTAAGGGATTTTCCTGATGTGAGAAAAGAGTCAGGGATTTTTCCAACCCCCGCCCTCGATTCGCTCCTTTTTGTCGTCCGAACAGAGCTTTTCAATTTACGAGGGATTCCTTCGTGCGAACCATTCGAAAATTCCTCCTTGTCACTCTCTTCCTTGACACGTGAGAAGCTCCACTATATATTGTTCCCATTGGGATCACTTTCCTGAGATGCCCAGCCCAATTTCCCCAAATGAAAAGTCTCATCTTCTGCCGGATTAATCTCAAATGCATGCACATTTGAAACTCTATCGTCTCAGAGCTTTTTGGGGGTGAAATCAATGGGAATTACTAATGAGAAGAAATGTGGTGAATTTGGGGAGAATTGTGGGCAGGAAAGCTACTCAGATTGATGAAGGGTTGAGAAGCGACAGAAGGGATTTTAAGTGTTGGCTGTGCGACAGTGGAAATTCTCTCAAAAGCACCCTCAAGTTCTACTCAAAGGCACACACAAGAGGTTTGCCAATTTCACTATGTATCGCATTGTGTTCATGTGCAAGGAAAATTGCTTTAATAAATCTCTGTGTGTGTGTGGGCAAGAATCTCAGGGATGCATGAGGAAGTGGTTAATTTTGCACTCTTGCATGTGAAGCTTTCTGTGAACAACAAAGCTCTTTGTTGCCCAAACCAATGCGATCAGCACGTTGATAACCAGAGACTCCTGAGCGGCAACTCATCGACACTTTGGGGCTGCTTCGGGCCACAAATAACATCTCTTAAGCTCTGGAACAAACCTGGGAGAGCTTCGCTGTGGCAATTCCCTGGCGGACATTAAATTTGCGTTAGTCGAGGCTGTGTTCTGGAGGAAAGCCCAAATCCAAATTCCACGCGAGAGTCTCGTGGAAAATTATGATTTTGCAGCTTCACAGAAGTTCCCCAGAAAGTCATTCTTCATATTGTCCGAGGCAGAGAAACTGTGCGCCTTTTGTGTGTAAATTTACCACGGAAATCCTCATTAATCCCAATTGGTTTAACCATTCGAGGGAAGGAAAATTGGTTATTAAAAATTGTTCCAGCTGTAAATCTTCTTAGACTCTTTGCACATTATTTTTCTCACCACCGAAGAGTCTAAGAATTATGCTAATTTGTAGGAAAAATCTCTCTTTTTCGTACACCGCTTCAGATAATTTTCCACCCCCTGGAAATTGTATCAGCCACAGAGAAGTTTTCACCCCAGTTTGACAGTGTATTGAATCTGGCGAAAAATTGCATAGCACAATTGAATCCTTTGCGAGCAATGGGAAATAATCTGTGGGGATGAAATCCACAACATCTCGTTTAATTACACTGTGCAACACTTTTCTGCCCTTTTTTTGAGGTGTGGATTTTCTGATTCCTTGAGTCATCAGCTTTTCAACGGTACCTTCCTTTTTTCTCTAGACCCTCAAGTTTTCCTTTTAGAGCCTATTTTCCATTTTCCCCTATTTTCACCCACTTTGCCGCACTTATGTGCTCATATCTCGCTCAATTTTCCACGGACTTTCTCAAATTAGGCTCAAACGATAGCTATTGAAATTACCTACTACTTTGTAAAACATTGTGAGTGTTTTAGATCACTCCTTGTTGGTCAAAAATGATCTTTTGTGAACCACTAGGTAAAAAATTCACCGGGTTTTTTACCACTTTTTTCTAAATATCTCCGAAACGAAGAAACTTTTATGTTGGATTATTTTTCCTATGTGTAGAGCACTTCAGGGGATGCATTTCCTCCATACATGCCGAAGTGATATTTCTTTTCTATCTGCCGGAAAAACGAGGTTTTTCCTCGACAAATTTTGCTTTTTTATGCTACGCGCACCCGCTAAAAAATTGAAAGAAGGTATATTTTGCTGTTTACGCACTCATTTAGGTAATGATAATGCTTAGATATTAAAACAAAAGAGAAAAAAGGCCAATATCTCGACTTTTTAGCTATTTTACGTGAATTTTTTGTGTTTTTTATGGACTTGTTGTCATTAAGACCAAAAAAATACGTAAAATAGCTAAAAAGTCGAGATATTGGCCTTTTTTCTCTTTTGTTTTAACATCTAAGCATTATCATTATCTAAATGAGTGCGTAAACAGCAAAATGTACCTTCTTTCAATTTTTTAGCGGGTGCGCGTAGCATAAAAAAGCAAAATTTGTCGAGGAAAAACCTCGTTTTTCCGGCAGATAGAAAAGAAATATCACTTCGGCATGTATGGAGGAAATGCATCCCCTGAAGTGCTCTACACATAGGAAAAATAATCCAACATAAAAGTTTCTTCGTTTCGGAGATATTTAGAAAAAAGTGGTAAAAAACCCGGTGAATTTTTTACCTAGTGGTTCACAAAAGATCATTTTTGACCAACAAGGAGTGATCTAAAACACTCACAATGTTTTACAAAGTAGTAGGTAATTTCAATAGCTATCGTTTGAGCCTAATTTGAGGAAAATCCGTGGAAAATTGAGCGAGATATGAGCACATAAGTGCGGCAAAGTGGGTGAAAATAGGGGAAAATGGAAAATAGGCTCTAAAAGGAAAACTTGAGGGTCTAGAGAAAAAAGGAAGGTACCGTTGAAAAGCTGATGACTCAAGGAATCAGAAAATCCACACCTCAAAAAAAGGGCAGAAAAAAGTGTCATTTTTGTTGCCTAGTGTTATTTCCCTCCTGGGGATGATTTAAACTTGCTACACTCGGCGAAATAAGTTGCCAACGAGCTATCCAGCTGAGGTGACGCTGATGCAGAAATCGCTCCAAGGAGCAAAAGTCTGTGATATGGTGAAAATCTAATTATCATGAAGGAGAGATGGAGTTAAAAGTGTGCGAAGCGGCACAATTTTAATTACTCTCTGGGTGAAATGCGCCATAGTTGGATTTTGGATCATTTGCATACTCCTATTGCACACTCATATTCACAACTCCTCCTGGCATGTAAGAAGGAAAATATATAAAATTCCCACCCATAAGAGGAATAGCGCGAAAGGGGAATGGGGGGAAATCCCATGAAACATGAATGGAGAAAAGTAATACAAATGCTCCAGACATAAAATGCAATTAATGAAATTGTATAGAGGAGCACTTTGTGTGTTTCTAATTAGAATATCTCACAAGTAAATGAGCGAGAAGGAAACTTTTCCTCGCATCAAGTTTTTAACACTGCTAACTTTATTGTTGGAAAACTCTCTGTTCACCCACTCAAGAAGATTTCTCTCTCTCTTTATTTAACTTTGCAAAATATATCGCCTCTCGTGCCCTCTTTCGCCGCCACATGGAAGTTTACATCATCCACGTAATTCTTGAACAATGTACATTCTTGCACTCGCGTGAGAACACAAAAGAAAACCACGTAAGAGGCAATTTTTCCATCGAACAATTCCTTATCAAACATCCGTTGCGCTGCAAGTGTGTTTGAATCTCCCACGTGTGTGGCCATCAGCGCCCCTCGCGGAAATTCCGTTCAGTTGCAGAGCGCTGTCAAAGTTCTGTGCGATAAGAAAAATTACACGGAGTATTTTCTCGTCGCGTTAGCCTGTTGCTCCATCACGAACGCGTGTTATTTCGGCAGTGAAGCGTGAGTACGAGCGCCGAAGGAGCTTCCGCGAGTGCAAAGTTGCGTGAATCGAATGCGAGGTAGCAAGAAATGGAGGAGAATGAAGATGGGATAGGAATGACAGGTGAGTGGCGTCGCATTGTTTACATTTTCAAGAGGCCTTCGTGGTCACTTCCCGGCCAGATTTAACCGTGATTCCTCCGGGATGCTCTCCAGGGACATCGAGTGGTGTGCGGGTGGTGAAGAGATCGAAGGTCAACCATGTGATTCTCATGGGGAAGAAGCACTCCAGTCCGGACAGATGTAAGTTGATGTTCTCGCGCTGGTCTTTTTGTCTCAACATCTTGTGGCTCTTCCAGATGGATCATCTGGCAATCTGGCGAAGACTCGCAGTGACGCGTCCTCCTTCGGCTTTCCCGAGGACATGCGGATCTCGAAGCTGCTGAATCGCCTCTGTGCCGAGCGGAGCGTCGATGGCGCTCTGGATTTGTGTGCAAAGCTGAAGGGAGTGATTGTGGATCCCACGAACAGCAACTACATCCGTCGCTCCTTCGACTCCATCCTGGAGTCCTGCCTCACCGTCCTCCTGGACGGTCCGGAGGAGTGCCAGAGTCACATGGTGGAGATTCTGGCGAAAGTTGGCATTGTGATGCGCGCAGATTTCCTCCAATTCCGCTCCGGAGTGCTGAAGAGTTTCAAGTCACACAAGAACCTGCGCGGCACAATGATGAGAGTCCTGCAGAGGACACTGGAGTTGATGAGAGAGCATGAAATTGACATCTCGAACCAGATGCCGAAACTCTTGGACACACTGAAGGATCTGCTGGAGAAGACGGACAATGTGGAGGTTTTCCTGAGTGTTTCCAGCATCATTGACACGGTGGCGGGACACTATCCCGCCCAATTCCGACTCTACTTCACTGACATCGTGGACATCCTCGTGGGATGGCATCTGGAGACGGAACAGTCGCTCAAAGTCAAGCATCACTGTGGAAAGATCCTCGAGAACTTTCGTCCCTTCTGGCTGAGAGACATGAAATTCACTGAGCGCCTCCTGGACCAGATCCTCGAGGACATCGTGCTCAACAGTGAGGAGTTGACGAAGGAATCCGCCGCCGCGGAGGACAAGCAATCTGTGGTTTTTGCCTCCTTCGTCGGAGCCTTCAACACGATCCTCAAGTGCATCGATGTGACGCGCGAAGAGTCAATTTCTGCCATTGGAGAGGAATTCCTGCACGATGGCTTCGCCAAAATCCTCTCAGTGGCCAAGGTGGCGATTCTGGAGAGTCCTGGCGAGGAAGATGTCATCCTGACGATTAATGAGAACATTGCGCTGTTCTTCGAGTGCAACAGTGCGAAATTTGACGTGTCAAAGGAAGAGATTCAGTGTCTGATTGAGATTCAACTGGAGAGGATTGAGGAATACTCGCCTGGACAATTGCTGAGTCTCATCTTTGTTGTTGTTGGCTTTGTGCGAAGCATGAAGACGAAAGTTCCCATGGAGTTTGTCGAGATGCTGCTGGAAGACACAAATCTGCTGAGAGAGAGATTCTCCAGAGATGGCAGGATTCGAGAGGCTCTCGTGAAGCTGTGGCAAGAGATTGTGGATGTGAAGAATGTGGCAATTCTGGAGAAAGTCTATTCGCACATCATCTCCGAACTGGAAACGGCGATGGAAGTGCTGAAGAGTGAATCTGGGGATTGCTTAATGACAACAGAGCGAGGAAAGTATCTTGTGATTTTCCATCTCAACAGTCTGGCTCGCTTGGCAGCCTCGTCAACTTCCATCATTGCACTTTATGCACTCCGACCGAGTCTGCTGGAGATGCTGACGACGAATCTCGCGGTCACGGATGAGATCTGGCGCCAATATCCACTGGTTCATCACGCAGTTGTGGGTCTTCTGGTCGCTCATTGCACAAACAATGGCAACTTCATTTCCTCCAGTGGATTGCTGAAGGCCAAAGTCTCTCGCATCATCAACAAAATGAGCCCTGAAGACACGTCAGAGAGTCCAACGTCGGACAACTTCGAGATGATCTTGTCCACAATGGATGTTCTCCTGGGACAGACGGAGATTCCTCGGCATGCGCTTAATCTTCTCCTGGATTGGTGTCATCAACTTGTCCTTCAAGCGTCCGCGCACAGTGAAGCACTGAAGGATAACATCACATTCTCGGGAATTCTGCAGAGTATCATTGAAATGCCCACGGAGAAGACTGATGCGGAAGTTGTGCTGAAGTGTGCAATGATTCTCAATGATCTGCTGGAGAAGTTCACAACGGTGGATCATGGAATCTTTCCGGGATTGGCTGAAGTGTGTTGCATTGAAATGTGCAGCACAAATTCGCAGATTCGTGAGATTTACTCCAACATCTTCGGGAAGATTCCTCTCAACGTGTCTCTGAGGCAAGTGAATGAGTTCACGGGGATGGCAAGGAAGTGGAATTTGCACATTCGTGAGATGCAGCAGTGGCACAAGAATCAGGCGATTGTCAGTGAGATTTGGCCGCATCACTTCAGGAAGTTCCTGGAGGACATCACCTTCAGCAATTCCATGGAGTTCTGCGACAATCTCCTCAGGGAGATGCTGAAGAGTGCGTGGACAGTGAAGCAATCGGGTGATGAGTATCAGGAAGCGGCGCTGAGTGACATTCGCTGTCTGGTGTCGTGGATTCAGTGGGAAGCGGCGCAATTCTGTGTGGCGAACAAGCTGAGGACGCCCTTTGGGAAGCCACAGGAGACATTCTTGCGCATTGAGGCGATCGTGAAGGAAGATGCCCGGATTCTGGATCTCAAGGAGTCATCAACGGTGGATGGCATTGAGACGGTGATGGCGAATCAGAGACACGCGAGGATTCTGCTCGGCTTCATGGAGGCGCTCGAGAAGGCGATTTACAGTGCGACTGAAGGCACGGCTTTTGCCCTTCCGGGACCAGAGAAGCCCGCCCGGAGTTTCTTCCACTTGAACTCCATCACGTGCAATGAGTGGTTCAATCGCATACGCACAGCTGTGGATCTCGTGGCGCTGCACTGCATGGAGCCTGAGATGGTCATTAGATACTCAGAGACGACAATTAGGAATCTCTTGGAGACAAATAGAGTGGCTGAACCGCTCTTTGAGCACACTCTCATGTCTCTTGCCTGGGCGCTGCTGCGGAATGGCGAGAGTGACTCGCTGAGTGGATTGTACACTTGGACGAAGAAGATCACGGGCAAGAGGCTGATGTGGGTGAAGATGGCAGCGGAACAGGCGGCTGGACACAGAGAAACTGCTGCTTCGGGTTATGCGGAGATTCTGGAGGCGGATCAGAAGCTAGACTTGCACATTCGGGAGTTTATAGCTGATCAGCTGGTGCAGTGTTTGCTGTGGTCAGGACAGTGGCTGAAACTGGCTGACTTCCTGGAGGCTGAAGAGGCCAGAGCGATTCCCAGAGCCACAATTCCACTAATCAACGTGACATCGGATCAAGTGCGCTGCATGATTGCCTATGACGAGGATGAGAGCAATGTTGAAGACTGTCTGTCGAATTGGGAAGTTCTCTCGGAAGACACAGAGTTCAGCAATAATTTCTCTTATCACCACATAATCTCTCTGGCTGAAAACACCATCGCCTGTGTCTTCCCGCTGGAGACAATGCTCTCGCCTGCTCTGGTGAAGATGTGCTCGAAGATCTTGCAGAATGGACTCCAGGAAGCGCTGAGAACTCGCTCTCAAGAGCACTTAAACAATCTCACAGTGTTGAATCACATTTGCCACAAGATTGCCAAGGAGGAATACTCTGTGGATTCACTGTCTGTGGACAAAACCTTCGGCTCTCTCACGCTGATGAGGATTCTCTTCTGGGCAGAATTACTCTGTGGATCGTCGAAGAAGGTTGACGATCTCAATGCGATGCTGCGACTGGACATGGTGTCAATGGCGAGGAAGGAAGGCAGTTTGCAACTGTGCAAGAGGGAATTGGAGAAGTACTACTCAAGAAGCAACTGCTTCACTTCTCTGTCTCCTGACAAGACATCTCTTGTGGATGCTTGTGAAGCGCTGATGCATCAGACAACGCTGGAGACTCCGTCGCTGTGGAGTGTGAATCTGGGCAGAGCTGTCTATGAGACCAGCAAGTGGCTGTATTGCTTCCCGGAGAAGAGGGAGTTTGCTGTTCAGTTTACAGCAGCCACGGCGCTTGGCATTCGTTCGCATCTGGCCAGTCAGAATGATTCGGAAATCAGTGAGAGAGGCTCCAGGATCTTTCTCACCATCAGCGAGTGGTTGCTGCCGGAGGATGAGAAGCATCTGGTGGACAAGAGTCCGCTGGGAAGGCTTCTGCAGGAGTTGCCGGATGTGAAGCCCTGTGCGGATTATGCTTCCAACAATCTCGTGCCGGCCGTTGATCTGGCCACGGGGAAGTTGATAGCGGCTGCGGTGAAGCAGTGTCCAGATCTGGCGAAAGCCTGGAATGCCTTCGGTGGATGGTGCTACAAGTGGGGCAGGAAGATGGTTGAGAATCGTCCGAGTAACACACTGTTCCAATCCACAGACATTGCGGGCATTGCTCAGGCCATTCCCGAAGCGTCTCAGGAGGAGATTAAGCGCGTGGTGGCGATTTTGAGTGAACATCAAGTGCCAATGGAGGTGGATGACATTGAGCCAGGCGATGGAAGTTCCACTGAACTGCTGGAGAAGCACTTGAGGAAGATCTCCAGCTTGGAGAAGATTTCGCCTGAGCAGCTGCAAGTGATCATTGGCATTTGGAGGAGAGCGCACAAGCACGTGTACGGATATTACGAGATGGCAGCCGATGCCTACTTCAAGTATCTCCAGTTGGGAACTGTTGGCAAGGTGGATGACGATGGCACGAGTTCCACCGTTGCCGCAACTCTGCGTCTGCTGAGATTGATCGTGAAGCACGCCCTGGGATTGCAAGAAGTGCTGGAAGAGGGATTGGCGTCGACTCCAACGTCACCGTGGAAAGTGATAATTCCTCAGCTCTTCTCCCGCTTGAATCACCACGAACCGTACGTGAGGCGGAGAGTGTCTGAGCTTCTGTGTCGCGTGGCTGAGGATTCGCCGCACATCATCATCTTTCCGGCTGTTGTTGGGGCGGCGCAGGGTGAGAAGAGCGAGGAGAGCAACACTCTCAGTGAGTGCTTCTATTCTCTCCTGGACACACTGTCGAGTCAAGCGGCAGACACGGTGTCTCAAGTGCAGCTGCTTGTCCGGGAACTCCGTCGGATTTGTCTGCTCTGGGATGAAATGTGTCTGGTCACAATGTCTCAGACTTATGTGGATTCCAGCAAGAAGTTCACAGAGTTGGACAAGAAAATCACTCAAGACGGCGTCACAGATGCCAATTATGGGAAGTTTGCTGAGCAATATCACCAGCTGATGAAGCCAATCGTGGTGACGATGGACAAGCTGAAGAGGGCAGTTTCGCGTGAGCCAGAAACGAAGCACGAGGCGGCTTTTCAGGAGCGATTCCTGAAGGTGATTGTGGAGTTGAGTGATCTGCTAAAGGAACCCATGCGAATGGAGACGCCTTTGATGCCGTGGCACAAGTTTAAGTCACTCTGTGGAGTTTTCCAACAGCGTGTTCAGAAGCGTTCAAACTTTGTCCTCAAGATGAGTGACATCAGTCCAACGCTGTCTGAGTTCCGGAACACAGTGATTTCAATGCCGGGCGTGGAGAATTCTGGGAAGCAACACATCTACATTCGATCCGTTGAGAATATGGTGCAAATTCTCAATACGAAGACGAAGCCGAAGAAGTTGGCTTTCTGCGGAAGTGACGGGAATAAGTACACGTACTTGTTCAAGGGACTGGAGGATTTGCATCTGGATGAGAGAATCATGCAATTCCTCTCAATTGCCAACTCAATGATGACCAGAACGATTGACTGCAATGGAAATGTGTCCTCCTATCGTGCCAGACACTATTCGGTGATTCCTCTGGGTCCACAATCGGGACTGATCAGTTGGGTGGACGGAGTGCTGCCCATCTTCTCGGTGTACAAGAAGTGGCAGCAGAGAGAGGCGTCGAAGCCGCGCAAGGATAAGGAAATCAGCCCGATTTTGCGCCCTTCTGAGCTGTTCTTCAGCAAATTGACGCCAAAGTTGCTGGAGAAGGGCATGAAAGTCACTGATGCGCGCTCCTCGTGGCCACTGGAAGTGCTGCGCGACGTCCTGACGGAGCTGTCCATGGAGACCCCACGGGATCTGCTGAGTCGGGAGTTCTGGTGCACCAGCACAACGGCGGCCGAGTGGCGACAGATTGTGCGGAACTACTCACTGTCGCTGGCCGTGATGAGTGTGATTGGGTACATCATTGGCCTGGGCGACAGGCATCTGGACAATGTGCTGGTGAATCTCAGCACCGGCGAAATTGTCCACATTGACTACAATGTGTGCTTCGAGAAGGGTAAGACGCTGCGAGTGCCAGAGAAGATTCCCTTCCGCATGACGCAGAACCTGGAGAAAGCCTTGGGCGTCACGGGAATTGAGGTGAGTCTGTATTTTCTTTCTTAAATCACAGAGTGTTTCAGAGATAAGAAGTATTTTCATGCCTAATAATTATGTGACTTATCAGTCAATGAAGAGATTGTATTGGAAATTTTTGACAAATTGGCGTGGAGAAATTAATTAGTTGTACACAATCCGCTGAAGAGCGATAACAAGAGTTAAGAGAGAAGGACAGTTTGGGAGATGATTGGTTGAGAGGCGTGTCATTTGAAATTGATTTGTACAGAATTTCCCCCCTTTTTAATCACAAATAATTTCTCAATTTGTAAGTCGAATTCCCCCGGCAAAAGACTCAGTCCTGCTCAATTGGTATCCCTGGAGAGCTTGTGGCGGGAATGCCACTGTCATGGCGGTCTTCTCCTTCTGACGAGACTCTCGCTGTTAGTATTATTTGACGGTAGAGGCAGCACTGAGGGAGGACGCGGAGAAACACGCGAGGAAGTCAGTCGTATCGTGATCGCGAAGCAGTGAAGTGCGTTGTCTGTAGGAACAGGGACGCAGCGAGATGTGACAGCAGGAGGAGTTAGCTACTTAAATGCCAACCTTCTATGGTATTTGGAACTTCACAAATAATCTCTCAATTCAACAATGATTGACCCTTTCTGAACACTGACTCATTATTTGCTGTTTCTTCAAATCAATTGCGCCTCTTGAGGAGGGGAAGAAGAAAAAATGAAAAATCTCATCATTTTGTACTTAAACTTTGTCTATATTTCGTAAGAAGAAAGAGAGAAAGAGAGAAAGAGAGAGATGGAGAGATGTTGAATGAAGAGGCAAAGTGAAGCTTCACATTGAACTCTCTCAAGCGGCACAACTTTTCACAATATATATGCGAATGCATCTTATCTATTTGGCAATGTAGCATTTAAAATATTGATTGAAAGTGTTTTTCGCATTCATCCTGCATTATGTGTGGGAGAAAGATTAAAACAGCACGTTGCGATGCTCTCTCTCTGTTGGTGTCTTGAAGAGGATGCACGCGCTGTGGCGCGAAAAATAGCCGCATCACTTCGATGATTGTGGTGGAAATTGCACCAGAAGAAGGGCGCGCGGGAATGTTCAGGAGGCGCTCGTTGAGGTGCTGAATTTGCTCAAGTGCGTCGTCATGGTGTCCGAACTCTGGGCATCGTAGCTGCTTCTGGCGCTCTTGTTGTGAATCTCAGGATCATCCTCCACTTCCTGGCGGTTGTCCGTCTTTGGCGACGCTGCAGTGACTTCCGGAGGACTTTCCTGGCCGTCGGCTGATGTTTTGCGTGATCTGTTGTGAACTGCGGTGTTGTTGTCGATTGGTGTGAAGGAGTCGGGATTTTTGCAGCGCAGAAGATTGCTGAAAGCCTTCCGGAAGTTGCGATTCTTCCACGCATAGATGAGGGGATTCATGCCGGAATTGGCCATGGCCAGTGAGAAGGCGCCTTTGTACAGTGTTGCCGAACTGTGATTCAGCATTCTGAAGATTTGCGATGTGGCGATGGCAAAATAGGGCAGCCAGCAAATGGAGAAACATCCCAGAATCAGGAGAACAACCTGAAGACAGCCAAAGATTCAGAATGAGGAAGCCAAGACATGAATAACTGAAGATTTCTACCTGAACTGACTTCCAATCCGAGGGAACTTGGTTGAGATTGGAGGCAGAGGAGCGCATTTGCTTCACTTGCTTCGAAGCCTCGCGGTAAATGCGACTGTAGACTATGAGGAGACATAGCCAGACCATTGAGAAGACAGGAGTTATGACTCCTGCCATGTACCAAGGCTTCAGGATCTCGTCGAATTCGCACTCACTCGCCGTGCTCCAGTTGTTCCAGAACAGAGGAACAGTGGCTATAAGGATGCCCAGCATCCAGCCGATGCTCAGCAGAAGCAGCGCCACTTTCTTCGTCATGTACCTGAAGAGTTGGAAGAGGTCTTATTATTACCCAATGATTGTCTGTCGTTTCAATGGCAATTTTCTCAAATGACAGCAGTAATTTATTGCCTGGGAATTCCAAGAAACGCATGCAAATACTGGCTTTTCCACTGCGTCGCTTGAATTTGCAAGAGTCGTATGTGTATTTTGGGCATTTTTGGATTATTAACATCACGAGAATCAGTGAAATTTGCTCTATTTTTCTACTTTTTGATTGAATTCTTCTCATAAATCCATCTGTTGGTCTATCAAGGCACTGATACGACCTGGTGGAAGCTCACCTGGTGTAGTGCAGAGGGTAAATGATGGCGATGTAGCGATCCACGGCGATGGCGATGAGGTTCCAGATGGACGTGCAGCAGGCGAGGATGATGAGGAAGAAGCGCAGGAGACACCAGATCTCCACCTTGCCCAGCGAGGAGCCCACGTAGAAGGCCAGGTGGTAGGGCAGGGTGAAGCCCACCACGATGTCTGAGATGGCCAGCGAGAGGACGAAGAGATTGGAGATGGCGCTCCGCAGGCGTCGGCTGAAGCGAATGGCGAGGATTGTGAGTGTGTTGCCGCAGAGAATCGTGATCACGAGGGCGCCGTCGACGATGGACCAGAAGACAAGATCACTCTTGATCTTGCTGACGCGATCGCCATAGCCATCCTCTCTGCCGGGCCTCGTCAGGACCTCATCCATTGCACACACACACACACTTGACTGTTTATGCGCGCTTTTCTCAACACACTGAATGACTAGCTTAGAGACACTCTGCTGCTCCTGGGACGGGATTTGCACGAATGACGAGTGATTGGCGGCAAAAAATTAAGCAAATCACCAATACACAGCCCATCTTCTGGCAAGATCTACGCGACACAGAGAGTGATTTTCTCACAGAATTTCCTCACGCTCGCCTCTTGGCTGGAGAGTGGCAAACATTTGCAAATACAAACAGTTTCGAGTGAATTCACATCAATCATCACTACACGGCAATTTTTGGCTCATCTTCAATTCGACAACGAGTTTCCCAAAGCTAAGATGACGAGGCGTCGGAAGAAGTTCTGAGATGTTGCACAAGAAATTTGTGGTGGTGGTCCAACTGATAAAGTTCGACCTCTGCGGCGGTAATCAAAAAGCACAGACGGAAATTTGATAGAGGCGCAAGAGAGCGTGAATTTCCACTAATTTCTATTCTCAAACTGACGCTGGTGTTTTCAAGGGGAGAAGCATCAAGTGGCAGACAGAGCTTCGCGTGGAAAGTCCGAGAGACGCACACAAACAAGCACAACAGAAGAGCTGGAGAGCGCAGGAGAGATGGAAATTGATGAGGTTTGATAAGTTTCGTGAAAAGTATCAAGCATTGGGGAATTTTCAAACTCACAACGACTGTTCAGCATGACTTTTAGTGATGAATTTATGATCATCTGTCTTAATGTTGTGCCCTTGAGAAATGCACAGAATGTTTCGCAATTTTTCCATTACACAGCAAAAAGAATTTGCTCACTTCCCACGTGAAGTGAAAAAAAGAATTGAAAGACCGTGAAATGTGTGGAAAAATACAGAAATATTGGGAAGTTCAGCAGGTGGAAAAATCATCTAAACACAACACTGCAAATGAGTTCATTTCGTTCATTTGGGAAGAATAGATAAACACACAAAATATAAGCGTTGCAGAGAGATTTTTACCATTGATTTTTCCCCATTCGAGAAGGAAGCAATTCATGCAGAGAAAGAGTGTTTGATTGGAGAAGGAAAGCAAACAGGGAAAGAGTTTTTATAGTGATTTATTATTGAATCCTCATCCACAATCGATCACACACACACACAAAGAGTGTTTCTCTGATAAATCATTTGGCGCGAAAGTAATCAGTGTGGAAGGAAAATGGTGGAAAATTAATATTAATAAATCTCTCACTCTCTGGAGCTGTTTAATAAGCATAAAGTCACCTTTATCACCGTGGCAATTGTTTCAGCTGATCGTCTTTGCTTTATCACTTTTTCGTGATTTGGCGCTCCGGAGATATCAACAGAAAAAACACCCCAGGAAGTCCGCTCAATCTTATCGCGCCCTCATCGAGTCACACAGCCGGAAAATTCAAGTATTATTGACTCCATTGGGCGCACAGAGACGAGAGAGAGAGAGACATTAAGGCGTGGAGTATAAAATACAGGCGGAATCGTCACATAACAATAATAATCAAATATAAGTGCTGCTCATTTTTCTGCGCTGTCTCTCATGCATAAATTCACCTCAAAATGTGTGACAAAATGCTATTTTAGGACTCATGTTGGGGAAATTGATATGAGTCTCACCTTATTACGTGGAATATTCAACGGAGGAAATGTCGTCCTTTCTTGGACACATAAAAGCGGGTGAAGAATTGATGGGAATGTAGTTTATTTGCTGTTTTGGGTGAATTTGCAATTGTTAAACAAGCTAAAGAGGTCAAAAACACCCTTAATTTGTGTGTATTTTAGCCTGATTTTAGAATCAATTGGGAGAATTATCTGCAGCCTCATCAACTCCATCCTTTCGTTGCTTTTTTTCCATGCTGAACTTGACACTCTTTCAGCCAATATAGCCGGAGCTATAGTAAATGTATGATGATTTTATTGCAGGGAACATTCCGATTGGCATGCGAGAATGTGCTGAAAGCTCTGAAGCGAGGCCGAGAGACACTGCTGACGCTCCTCGAGGCCTTTGTGTACGATCCCCTGGTGGACTGGGCAGTGGGTGAGGATGATGACACCACTAATGGGTATGTGGAGGCAAAGCAAACATCCAGCGGCGCGGCGCAGGAGAGGGAGATGCTAAAATTGCGGTACGAAGAAATGACAAGAAGCTGGAAGACTAATCGGTAGTGTTATTGAGCATACTAAACACCATAAATATCCCACAAAGAATTGCATGGCTTCTATCAATTAATCAAAGGGGAGATAATTGTGCTCTTAATCTGTACACCACTTCTTAACACTTCCAGCACATCCGGCTCGAAGGACCAATCTTAAGGCCGATTTACCTTAAGATGTACATTAATTCCCATGGTTTTATGCGATATTTCTGTAACAAACCACTTAAAACCGCTTTTTTGAGCGTTTTTTCTATCCATAACTTCAAAATCATCACGAAGAGAGCTTAAAAGACTCTAATTGAAAGCTTTCTAGGTGATAAAACCATCTTTTCAACTCAAAATTTGCTGATTCAGAGTCGAAATCGTGGAAAAAGTGATCTAAATAAGCATTTTCCAAGCCAAAAATACCTTTTTTGAGGTTATGTTCGACTTCAACTCAATTTGCAGTGTTTAGCAATGTTTTATCGCATGAAAATGCTGAATTCTGCCAATGATTAGCAATCTTGTCGACTTTAGCACAAGAATTGATACGCTTAAATGCGAAATATTCACAAAATCTCTCTTTAATTCCTTACATAACCTAGAAAAAAGATAATTACATTTGTTTCTGCATGAAAATCGAAGGAAATCTAAAGGATTTGGATGATTAGTCAGTTAAAGAAGCACAGAAGAAAGGAATATTGAAGGTTTTTCAACACTTTCACTTCTGAAGTACTTCCTCTGAATTGTACACCACTTCTGACTGTATTATCTCCCCCTTGAAATTAATCTCTAGCTCTCACTTGAGGACTTTTCTCTGGAAGCACACACAATTGTGGTTGTTCTTGTTTCTTAAAGGTGGGCAACTGTAGAGGTTCTGGAGGCGTTGATGGGACATGCGAAACCACTGGCGAAGGCGGCAACGAGTCGCGATGCGGCGACGGAGAAAGTGGAGACTCTTGAGGCTCACTTGAAGCTTCTCAAGACGATGTCAGAGTGTCCGAAGGAGCGCAATTGCGGTGTTCTGACGATTCCTGGTGAGAGAATGCAGCTGATGAAGAAGAGGACAGAAGTTTTTGCTGTCTTGGCGGAGATTATGGGAAATCAGGGGAATTCTGTGGCGCATCCGCGACAAATTGTGGTGATTCCGGAACAGCGAGACTTGGATTTGATCATGTGCGAATTGGATCTCAATGAGTTTGATGGGATTAGGGAGATTGCGTCGCAGGATCTGTGCAAGGAGGGAAGCACGCTGTGTCGCGAAATGAATCGCTCTTATCACGAGGAATTGAGAATTCTGCGTGATGTCTTCGAGCAGATGTCAATGTATGTGGACTTGGAGCCGTTCCTCATTGATGCTGAGATTGCCAGGAGGAGTCAGGATATCTGTTGGCAGTGTCAGAAGTTGCTGGCGGAGAATCGCAATGCCGAGGCTGGTCAGAAGGCGATGGAATTGTGGGACATTGGCGTGCCGTGCTGGAAATTCTGCTCCTCCTTGGCGTCTCACATTCAAACTGTTCAGCAATCTTCGTATGAAAGTCAGCGAATACTGAACTTCACCTTGGCAGAAATGCAGCAAAACTACACAATTTCTGACTTCAAACAGATGCAATCGTCCGTTCAGTGCAGCTTTGAGCGATCAATTCTGTACTACATTAGAAAGTCCTTGGATAGCAGTGAGGAAAATCTCCTGCTTGAGACTGTGGAAATTCAGCAGTTTGCCAACTTCCTCGAGGGTTGCAATGAGACCTTCAAGACTGGTCGTCAGAATCTCAGCGCAGTGATGGAAATTGTGAACAACATTTGGGAATGCAGTCACACGTTTGCGAAGGAAATGGTTCTGGGAATCATACAGAAGATAATCGATGATGACGCTTCTGTGCTGACGATGATTACGACAGTTTCTGCTCTGCAGCATGACAACATATCGCTGGAACAGATGATAAGTGATACGGAGAAGGAGTTGAGTTGTGAGAATCACAATTCAGGTCAGAATATTGAGAAGCACCTTCAGGAGAGCTTTGAGCAACTCGTTTGCCAATACAGGAGTGAAGAAGTCAGGACAACGGGTCAAATTCTACTCGTGCAGCTTTATGACGCCTTTCCCAGCATAGAAAATGCCTTTCAGGACATTCTGGATGGTGTGAAAGATTCTGTTGTGCTGAAGGAGTTGGAGAAAGTGGATGAAATTGCCCATGAAAAGCGTCAAATTGTGAGTATAAAAAGGATTGTTTGATGTAATTTTGTGGCTAAGTTTGCTTTTTCACAGAAGATCTTCACTGATCCGGAGACGAGAGAGATCCTTGTGAGATTGTGGTCTCTGAGGAAGCTTCAGGCAATCATTGAGCTCTTCACTTGCACGCTGCAGATTGCTTGCGCCTTCCGCAGCGCCAGTCCAGCGACTAATAACATGTGGGAACAGCTGTTCAGCTCTCATGATAAGTACATCAGCACATTTGTGTGCCAACTGCTGAAGCCCATCATTGACTACAGTCGTGGATTGATGATTGTGGGATTGCTGGAGAATTTCTCCAGCACTTGGCGACATGATTTGAGCAAGAGAAGTAGTTTGCGAGGAATTGTCGATGCCTTTGCGGACAAGGAGTGGAAGGAGAAGGCTGATTTGCGCAACAAAGACTATGAAGTGGAGAAATCGAGAGAAATGCAGACAAATCAGATGTTCTACAATTTGCAATGCAAGTATCGGATGCCATTCTACACTGAGCAGATCAGAGTGAATGGCGCCAAGGCCAGGACGCTGGAGATCATCGGCATGGCGTACGCGTGGCGTCAGAATGAGCATGAGTGCAGCACTGTTCACTCGCGCAAGGCTTTTCTGCAGAAACTGAAGTCCTCCGTGGATGCGATAAATGCCTGGGAGATTAGCATTCAGAAGATGCATCAGGAATTGATGGTGATTCATGAGAAGATGAAGAAAGTCATCGCCAACATGACAGGCACTTCCGGACACTCGGATTCTCTCTATCCAGGCATGAGAATGATGCGCAAGACTGTTGTGGAGAAGTTTCAGCGACTGTCGAAGATCGCCAGTGCGAACTACAAGGAGATTCTGGCCTATGAGGGTGGAATTGCGAAGCAGCGCGAGGGTGAAAAGGGATTTCTGGCGTTGGTGCAATTGTTGGATGAGAGACAAGATGGATTGCAGAAGAAAGTGGAGAAACTGGACAAGAATGAGAAGGCCTTCCTTGAGCTATTGCCAGTGGACAGGGAGATCAGTGAGGAGTGGCTGGAGGGGGTGAAGAAGCAGTGCGAGAGTGTCTTGATCGAGACGAGGCACAAGTTGTTCTTCTTGGAGAAGGATTTGGCAGCTAGATGGCAACTTGTTGGTCAACACGCTGACAAACTCGAATCCGTCAATGCAGACTTTGTGAGAGTGTCAACGGAAGTGCGAGGATTGCTGAAGAGCAGTCTGAAGATGGAGGGAAAGCATCAGAATGCCACGAAGGAGTATTTGACGAAGAACAAACACTTCACAACCACTTTTGACGCTTTGACAGAGAATCTCCGGCGACTGGAGAATCCACGTGAGATTCTGCAGCAGATTGAGAGTCTTCTGCAGAGCATTGATGGGATCTTCGATGGGCCGTCGGAGCTGAAGAAGTACCATCACGAGGCGATGGCGGAGAAGAGTGAGGTGAGAGTCAAGGAAGCGCATCAGAATCTGCAGAAGAGGAATGCTTATGCGGTGTCCGTGTGGCGACGCATTCGCATGAAGCTGGAGGGCAGAGATCCGGATCCCGCCAGGCGCAGCACGGTGCCGGAGCAGGTGGAGTGGATGATCAGGGAGGCGATGGATGCGGACAATCTTGCGGTGCTCTACGAAGGATGGACGCCATGGGTGTGAATGAGCGCCTGAGATGTTGGCGAAAAGGCACACAAACCTTTCTGGTGAGGAAGAAAATGTCTCCTCAGTGATATTTCCTTGCTCATCTTGCTGTTTGTCTTTCTCGCAGGGAAATCTCAAAATGTCCATCATCGCGAGCAAACCTGTCCGTGGGCGAGCCAGCGGATAAATCGTGAGCTCCAGCGACAGGGAATTTTCATGCAAACTTGCTCATTATCAAGCTTTCACCGTATTTCTATACAGCTGCCAAAACTCTGTGCAGGTCTGATGGGGTTGGTGATTTGCATGTTTAGATTCTGCGTTGCTGTGCGCCGTCAGCCAAAAGCTTAAGGAGACATTCAGAGAGCGTGCGAAAAATACAAATTTACTTCTTTTTCACTTTCAGGAGGACACAAAAAGCCTCCAGAATTCTTTCCAAGTCTAAATTCAAAGTTTTTATTGGTTTTTTTTGTTGAATGGATTCAAAAAAAGGGAGACAAAATCATGTCAAGATTAATTTAAAAAGGCGACTTAATAAATTTCTGATTTCGCATCTCCTTAGCGCAAAAGTCGTGTGTTTAACTACGAGATCTGAGGCAATAGGAGGATCAGGCGGACTCAGTGTCTTCATCTCCATCGTCAACTTCGCGTTTCGTGCTCGACGATTCTTCGGTTTCCTGTCGCGCAATCAACTTCTTCTGCAATGGGAAGGAAGGAAGTTTTCGTGTATCTAACGCCGACAGTTTCTGCGTGGGGAAACTCACCTTCCTGGCCACTCGCTTGGCGTGTCTGTCTCTGGCGATCTTGAACTGATGCACGACGTCGTGATAGTTGGTGAGCTTCTGGGCGTACTGGAAGATCTTGAAGGAGAAGATGCTGCGACGATCAGTGGATCTGGACAGAACGTACTTCGTCAGCACATCCTCCGTGATCAGCAGTCGCATCCAGTCCGTGGGGAAGGACATGATTGTGTCCCTCACTTGGCGCACCAGCGTCGGATCATTCTCAAACTCCTCGTCCATCTTCTCGAAGCGCTTCGTCGACGTGACTGGGAAGGCGTGCAGATCGCCCTTCGCGCTCTGCGTCGACATTGTCATCTTGTTGTACTTGCACGCCGTGTCGACAATGTCATCGGGCAGGATCAGGCAGCTCTCCAGCTTCGTCGCCTGATCCATGACAAAGTTCAGCTTGGCCTTCAGTGTCTTCTCGATGCCCTTGATCACCTTCATCACCTCCTGCGAGAAGTCGATGTTGTCCTTCACCAGTGTCGTCTTGCTCGTGGGCAAGTCCTCGTGGCCGTACTCGCGCAGGATCTTCAGCAGCTTCCTGGTGCTGGACACTGACAAGTTGTCCTCGATCACGAGCTTCGCCAGGCGCTGCTCCAGCGTCTTGCCTCGCACCTGCAGCTTCCCATCCTTCATGCCCGTGTACAGAGTCTCGTCCTCCTCGCTCTCCGCGTCGGAGTCGACATAGCCTTTGGGCAGCTTCAGGGAATCGTCTTCCGGCAGAACTTCGAGCGCCTCCGCCTTCAGAATCTTCCTCCTCTCGCTCTCCTTCAGCGGCGACGAGTGCGACCTTTTGCTCATGTTGGAACTGCAGAGAGAAGTTTAGGCTCGACTTAAAGCTTTGGAAATCTTCAAGAACTCTCAGATTTCAGTAAATAAGAAACTTCTTAAGAAGTTTGCAGACAAAACATGAGGGTAAACAGGAAACGCACTCATTACGAGAGAGCAACGCAATATTCAACAATCCTGTTCGATAGGAGTATTTACCTGATTCCACAGAACTCTTTCAACTATAATTACACAGATTTGCAAGGATATTTCTGCGGTTTTTAGCCAAATAAAGCGTCAGGAACTCTTCTGATGCGCGCTTGTAAACAAATTTCCAGCTGTGATTTTGACAGCGCGCGCGCCCTGCGCCACCTGCCGGAATATCAGAGAACAAATATTCACAACAAAAATATTCACAGAGCATGCAAGACGCGATCAGCTAACACAAATCTGCGAATTAAAGGCCATAAGGTAAGGATTTTGAACACTTTTCGTGCACTATTCTCATCATCTGTCCTTCCTCCTTCTCTCCAGATGGGAAAGTTCAATGAGGAACAGGTGAATATTCTGGTGTCGTTCATGACAGAGCATCCGGAGCTGCTGCAGAGGCGAGAGTTCTGTCGCATCGATAACAAGGAACGTATCGCCTTGTGGAAGGATCTGGCGGAGAGGCTGAATGGCCATGGGCCACCTCACAAGTCTGTGCTTCAGTGGAGAGGCGCGTGGGCGAAGAAGAAGTTCGAAGTGTCGCGCATGAAGAAGAGCCACAAATCGTACTTTGCCGACTATTATGCTGATCTGTACAATCTGATTACCAAGGCGAATGAGATTTACGGATCCCGCTCAGGAGGCTCTTCGGATGACGGAGAGGCGCTGGATGATGATAGTCAATCTGAGTCGCATTCGCTGCAGAAGAAACAGAGCAGCAGAAAACGCAAACGACGACGCTCGAGTCCAAAGCAAAAGAAACCAGGAAACCCAGAAACGGAAGAGGTTCTGAAGGAAGAGGAAATCGAACTTGAATATCCTGTGTGAGTATTCAGATTCCAAGCCCCATTTGTGTCACGGATTTCAAGGAATTTCTGCTTTTTTCCAGGGATATTCAATGGCTGGAGGAGCCGAAACAGTCAAGTGTCGTCAATGAAACTCTTGAAACGCAAGCAAACCACAAAAGAAGCTCTCGAAAGCTCTCCGCTTCGAGTCTCTCCTCCTCTTCAGACGATCACCACTGTGTCCAGGTGAAGCAGAGGAAATCCTGCGTATCCTGTTCGAATCAGCCGGAGCACAGCGTTGATCTCTTCTTCAAGAGTCTGTCGATGGAAGTGAAGAATGCGAATCTGACGCCTGAGAATCTCTTCACTCTGGAATGGAACGTCCTGAAGACGGTGTCGGAGAAGATCAAGGAGTTCACTGGAGGAGCCACAAGTGAAGTTCAACCGTCAGCAAAAGAACCCTGAATAAAAAGCGTTCAATTTGTCTTTATTTACAATTTATTGAGTATCAAATAATATATTTTACGTTCATCTTGTTGTTCTTGTCGTGAAAAACTGCCATCAGGTTGCATGTGTAGGATAATCTCCACTCTGGTTGATAGCCTGAGGAAATCCATTCAAACGAGCACGATTTATTATTTTCCGGATCGAATTCCTCAACATTCTGCAAGAGGATTAAAAGGGCTTCATTAATAAAAGTGAATTTATTCCCAAAATTGCACTAATCAACCGAATCAACCTTACAAAGCCTGAATTGTATCGATTTATGCACAGAATCTTCTCTCCTAGAAGAGTAGCTCCAATGCGTCCTGCACAGTGATTGAGCGACGCCACGATTTTCCACGCATTCGTCTTGGGATCATATCTTTCTACACACCGAAAAACCAAGGATTCGTCCTTTCCACCGAGAGCATAAATGTGGTTTTTGGTCGCTATCACAGCCATATCAGCTCGACGTTTCACCATGGGAGCCAAGAAGCTCCACTTCCTTGTCCACGGATCGTAGCGCTCAACAGAATTGTGGTAATTGTCGCCATTTCGTCCTCCGATCACCACCAAATCTCCTTGGAACACTACAGCTCCAGCTTCGTACCGTCGAGTACTCATCGGAGGTTCCTCTGTCCAGATTCCTTTGCCAAAGCGCTCCACACTGTTCATGTTCCTGCCGCCAATCGCATAGACAAACCCATTCAGCTCCGCGGAGCAAAATTCAGCGCGATCCGATCGCATTGGCGGAAGCCTGAAAGGAAAGGTTTTGAGCAAAACTTGTCCAATTTTCTACACTGTTTTTCTCTGCCAATAATTTACATTCTGAGATCCTTTGTTGCGAGATTCAAACAGTTCACGTTATTCCGATGTTGGGTTCCACAAGATCCACCCATGAACATTATTCCGTTGCCATTGAAAGCTATGCCACAGTTGAAGTGATTTTCATTGTTTTCCGCCACAAATGTCCACTTCTTGGTTCTGAAGCAATACGCGTCGACGACATAACGCTTTTCTCCTCCAGCGCAATCGTAGCCAACTGTGATCAACCTTCCCGCATTCCATCGACGAGGCTTCTGGCTGAGCCTCATTGCAGAACGATTCGGCCAGCGATGCCATTCCAAAGCTTGACTCACTAAATCCTTGCAATTCACACTCTCGCACAGCGGCTTCACTTTACTGATGATAAACTGCCAAGACGAAGAAAAATGGCGTCATTGAAGAACTGAGACGCACAAGAGATTCATTTCCTACCTCTGGATTGAGCCGATGAAGTCGAATGAGCCCCAAAAGAGTGGGAATGAACTTCTTCCGGTGCTTGAATTCGCCTTTAAGCCACACAAGCAATGCGTTGAAGACGTCTTCTTCTGATGACACATTGAGATCATCACAGGCCAGTAATTTGGCCAGCTGTTCAGCAGAAATCTCCACAAACTCCTGATTCTCGCACACTTTAAGGAAGTGCTGGCTAATGTAATAGCTTGATGTGATCGCAAGACCGTCACAATTGTGCAGCTCAGCAATTTCGGCGATTCCCAGGCAGTTTGAGTGATTAAGATGGCGTGTCAGGAAAGTGTCGCAATATCTCACGAGATCGTCCAGTTGGAAGCAATCTGCCGCGCTCAAGAGCGTCTTAACGGAATCCACAGAACTCTCACTCAGCTGTACTTTTCCCGTGTAGCAAAACTGCACCAGAAACTGAAGATCGGCTCCTGAAATCTCGCCAAGAGTCACTTCTTCTTCACCAGCTTCCTGGAAATTGCCCAGGAGCATTGCTGCGAAGACTTCACTGGCCGCTGACAGGACGCCCCGATGAGCTGGGATTCTATAAAGTGGTCAGGATGAGATTCTCAAGAAACCAAGACAGTCGAAAACTGAGATCTCACCTCTGCTCATCCAATCCTGCGATCAGCACCACATCGTATGGCGTCTTGTTCTCCTGATAATTCTGCATATTCTTTCATATGCGCCAATCTTGGCCTTGGGAATATCCTTGATCTCTTCTGCGTCTCTTAAAGCAAAGCTTATCAGAATATAAACTTATGAGCTTCCGATCTCACGATCCCAGTCATGTTCTTCATGAAGGTTCACACAGTAATTAGATCTTAATTACTGAGCAAACCACGTGTCCTTACGCATCCCCGGCAATACAGCTGAAGTTGGCAGCAATTCTGCTGGGATTCCCCAAAATCCCAACTGAAATTCGATTTCAAAACCTCGAAATAACGGCTAACGCTTGAAGGCATTTTGCTCTTCTTTGAACGCATCTTTGCCTTATTAATTTCCTCGATGGGAGAAATTTTCCTCTTTTCCATTTCTGAGGATTTTGAAGTTCTATTTTGTAAATTTGCGAAGTCCTGGCAAATTATCATGCCAGTAAATTTCGAACGCAAAACAGCTGTTTTTGACAGCGCATTCTTCCAGCGACCCTATCGGGAAGTCGTAAAACTACAAAAGAAGCTTTTTAGCGAAGTGTGATTTGGTCAGAAAATCGGCCAGAAGTTAGTTAATATTGAAGTTTATTAGTCAAATCTCCTCATCATTCTCTTTATTCTCCTCTCCAGATGGGGAAGTTCAACGAGGAGCAGTTGAGAACGCTGCTGGAGTTCATGACAATGAATCCGGTGATGCTGCAGAAGCGCAGTCGTTCCAACAACAAACCCCGGATGGACTTGTGGAAGGATCTGGCGGAGAAGCTGAACAGCCACGGTCCGCCGTACAAGTCTGAGATCGACTGGAGGCGCTCGTGGGCGAAGAAGAAGTTCGAGATGGCGCGCGTGAAGAAGCGTCGAGTGTCCGTTTATGCTGACTTGGACAATCTCTTGGCCAGAGCATCGGAGCTGAATGAGTCCCGGTCGGGCTGTTCGCACGAGGAGGACGACGAGTCGGACAGAGATGTGAAGCGAACTGAGGCGGATCCGCTGCTGATCAGGAAGAAGGACAGAAGAGTTGACAATCATCAGTCCGGGAGTGGACAAATGTCGAGGAGAATGAAAACGGAGCTGATGGGGAAGAAGGACGAGACATTGGATGGTAATCCCAAGTGAGTTTGCAAGCTTTGAAGTCGACGGAATGTTTGCTAATTTGAAAAATGCAGTATTTCCAGTGATATTCAATGGTTGGACGAGTCAAGCTTCACTCCAGAAGCCACAAGTCACAAGAGACGCCCTCGGAAGCCTTCCTGCTCCAGTCTCTCCTCCTCGTCGGATGGTGGGCGGAATGGGGGACAGAGGAAGAGATCGCGCGAATCGTCGCGAAAGTCTGAGGACAGCGTTGAGCTGTTCTTCAAGAGTCTGGCGCTGGAAGTGAACAAGGCGAATCTCCCGTCAGAGCATTTGTTCAATCTGGAGTGGAGCGTGCTGAAGCTGGTGTCGGAGAAGATCAAGGAGTTCACGGAAGGAGTCGCACTGGTGCAGCCGACGTCGGGAAAACCCCCGCTGAAGTGATTGGCGCGCGATGATCCAGCAGGTTTTCGACTCTTTTTCACGCAACACAGTCGCGGCCGGCGCAGCCTGAGGCGGAAAAACTGGTTTATCGCGAGATGAGCGCGCGATTTGTGACCAGCGGAGCTGTCGTGAGAATTTCGGACCCTTGATCTGTGCTGATCTCTTGCGATGCGCGATGAGAAAAAGTGTCGGAAATAGGAAATTGATGCGAGATATCGCGGCGCGAAGGAGACAGAGAAGCGCAGCATTGGGGAGAGAACAAGATAAAGCTGGAAAAAGAAGCATCGAGGGAAATTGTATTATTGATGGGGAATTTTGCAAAAGAATAAACAGTCGCGGAGAGACAAGAAAATCAGTCGAGAGAATCTGCATAACTGGAAGATTAATGTGCTGAGGAAGCGAGAAGCGATCGCTTTTTGTCTCTCTCTCTCATCAACATCTTCTTCTCTGCTCCCAGATGTTCTTCTTCGCGTCACGTTTTTTCTTCTCGGCTTTTTCAGTTCTCGCGAAGTCTCAGCGGCCGCCAGTAGTTTTATAAAGACGCCCGCGTCAGGAGATTCGTCTTATTCGCAGTCACTCAGCCGTGCTTGAGCGTCAACAGGTGCTAATCAGAGTCATCAGCTTGTCTTTCTCGAGGTATTTGAAATTCCATGGAAATTTGAGATCTCAGTGAAATTTTCGCGCACTCTTTTTGCCCTCCGCAATCGCAATTTGCATAATTCTCAAGTGGAAAAAGTTCAAGGCTTGCGCCAGTTGATGAAAAACACACTTTCGCGGTCACACATTTGCTGCAGTGACGAACGGAAAAGTGTCTGTTTGCGCCAAGAGCAAGATTCACTCTCATCCGCGCAAGCATTCAGTGTCTTCTCAACAAAGTGCGATTGCGTGTTGAAGTGAAGTGGCTTTCATCAAAACTGTTGATATCGTTTCAGAAGATCTCTTTGCGATAAAATATGAAGTGCTTCGCGGGCTTTTTCACACTCTTCATCGCTCTGCAGAGCGCTTTTGGTGAGTTTTTCTCAAGACACTCTCGAAAAGATCATGAGAATCTGATGTGATTTTTGTGTGTTTTGTGAATAAAAGAAGTGATTGGCAACTTTATCGGCGGGTGAATCGAAAATTGTGATTTTTTGGCACAAATATCGCTGCAAAATTTGCCGAATTTACATCAAAAACTCTCAAAATACCTTCTAAAAATCACTTTCTGAATTTTTTCAATTAATTTTATTAGTATTTTTTAAAATGTTGGACAGAAATATGGCAAAATTAATAGAAAAACTTTAAATATTACTTAGAAGAGTTCTAAAAATCAACTTTTTATACTTAATTTGATTTTTTTCTCATGTGAAAGATTCAGTCAAAGTCTCAGAACATTTAAGGGAAACTATGAAAATTTATAATTATTTTTCAAAGAGGCTTTTTACACGTTTGACTACAATTTGAGACAATTTTCTTAGACTAAATGTACAGCGTAATGGATTAATAGTCGACTTTTCATAGTTTACATCATAAAAATGAAATTATTTCCATTACAAATTAAAAGCTTATCAAAAATACATAAAACGTAAAGTATGAAGAATTGACTTTTCATAGTATTCGATCCATCGATATCAATCCAAAGATGTTTCTTGGCAAATGTAAAGCTTGCTTCTTATGTTATTTAATCGCAATTGCAGCTTATTTTGCACAATTCAGCAATTAATTTCATCGGCTGGAATACTTTATTCAGCGTTTTTAGCTTGTTTTCCGAACATTGCGAACACTCAAAGTAATTTTCAATAACAATTTAACATCTTAAGTATTTAAATATTCACTCTAAAGACTTTAAATAATTTTTTGTATTATCAATACAAAATTCTGTACGAAAAACCGCAAATAAAGATGCTATATTTAATCGACAACCTCAATATTTATTGAAATTGAAGAGACGGAATAGAATTCATAAAGAGACTTTTTTTCTAGACACTCAATTAGACTCAGTGTGAGCGAGTTTTTGTTAATATTATAGTTATGACTCAATATCTGCGCTTTTTCTAATCTTGTGATTACTTTTCTCGCTTTTCTCAAACACAACTTGCCGTCAATCAATTGTTAAAACATTCTCTGCAGGATATTCAGCGACTTCGGGAGCCGCGGCAGGAGCTTCGGCTGGCGCGGGATCTTTCTCATCAACCGGAGGCTCTAATTCCGCGGGAGTTTTCTCCACGGGATCCGGAAGCGTTCCTTCGAATAGCTTCAGCAACACGCCTAATGCTGGTCAATACGGCTCGCAATATCCTTATGTAGACAACAACCTGGGCTCTTCTTACGGAGGCTCCGCAGGCGGCTCAACTTTCGGAGGCTCCACAGACGGTTCTTCTTACGGAGGCGCGGCAGCCGGCGCGGCTTCTGGCGGCGCCTATGCTGGCACCGGAGCGGCTCCTTTCATTCCTCCTGTTCAGCCGCCAACAGGCCAATTTCCCGGGCAATTTCCGTCCCCGCCGTCGCAGTACGACTACCAGAATCTCTTCCTGAACTTCTGGAAGAGCCTCAGTGATAACTACGCCAAGTAAGATGCTCTGCAAAGAGTCCTTCTTAGTCTGTAAGCTCTAAAATCACGTCGCGGTGGAGGATTTTTGACACAGTTTCTTGTGCTTCTCAGTGCGGCAACAATGACTTTTGCCACTCCAGGCGCTAATGCTTTCGCCGCAGCCTCTTCAGGACCACACAATGAGTAACAATCATCTTCTCTTCTCGCACTCTTTTGCCTCTCTTGCATGAAAATTCACGGCGACTTCGCCTTGCACAACTTATAAATGTATTCATTTGAGATGATAATCAAGCGTGTGTAATTTTCCCTCTGACTCACAATCTTATCCATCACAAACACAGTATTTAACTTCCGATTATCATAAATTGTCATCACATTGATTTGTATATTTGAGTGTTTTTTTCTTCTTGCTTCTTGCGACAATCTGCTTCCTCAAATCTCTCGCAGCATTTATTTCGCCATGATTACACGAGCGGAGAATAGCCATGAATTTTGATAGAGTTTGGCGAGGAGTGATAAAAATAGAGTGTTTTGGTGTCTCTTTCAGATTGATCAATGAGCAATTGGCTCATCAGGCGGCTCTCTTCAACCAGATTAACGCCGCTGGAAGCCGCTTTGGGGCTCAGCCGGGCGTTGGAGCGTCAGGCGGTGGTGGCGGCGGATATTACGCACCCAGTTTCGCCAGCTCGAGCGCCTCTCTTGGACCACAAGGTGGCTATCAAACGGCCAACATCATTCCCGCCAATCCGGTGAGTCTTCATCGTCTTCATCCACAATTTATGCGCCAATTTCCCACCTCATCGTGCTGACTCTTGCGCGTGTGTGTTTCTGCAGAACTCTCCGAACGTGGACACGCGCTATGGCGGCGAGAACCCCGTTGTGACGACGTCAGTTGGCCAGCCAGGCTTCTACGGCGTCTCCAGCTCGAGCTTCTCCACGTCCTCTGACATCAATGGCCAGAAGAGTTCACACAGAGAAGCCCAAACGACCATCAACGACAACGGTCAAGTCACGACGTACACCGTGCGATCGTAGATTCCTTGGAATTCCTCTGCGAGAAAAAAATCCCCCTCAACATCCTGTCCAAGAACAAAGTGGAAGAAATACACGTATGAAAGAAAACCGTGATTTACAGCGCAATTCCTGGGAATTTTGTTATGAAATGCCATCAATCAGAGAACATTTTTGCTCACAATTGATTGGCGCAGTGAGAAAAAGTCCGATGATGAGAAGTGATTTTCTCACGTTTGCGACGACTTCTTTCCTCGTCTCGCTATCACATGTGATAACCCCAGAGGAGAGTAGAAAGGCGATTATGCAATTGTAGAAATGATAAAGTGCAAATAATGGAGGATTTTGATTTTGTGCAATTTGGCGGTGCTTTTTGGCGGGTGTTTCGTGAAACATGAGTGTGTGAAACATGTTTTGAAACCCGCCAAATTGTAGGCAAAAGTCATAGATTTGAACTCATTAACGAGCAAGGATTTAAGTTTTCTCATTAAATTCTTGATTTTCTTGACAGACAAATCCTCCCAAATCCCCTCCTTAAACTCACAATTGCTGTAATGAATTTTACTGCGGAGAGAAACTAAAATAGCCTTATCGTTGCCTGGCGAAAATCACTCTAAAACATGATGTAGTTATCAACTAAAATACAAGTTAACTTTGATACTTTTTCACGGGTCAAAGCTTCAAGTTTAACATTATTCGCTACTATTTCAACACGTTCAACGTCATGTGTTCTAATGTTAGGGATGCAAAGGTTCTTGAGCATCGCAATTGTTGCGTGAGTGGAAAAGAAAAACATGTTAGTATTTTTTCGAGAGATTTCCCACTTTTTGCCCACAAAGTGATTCGCGCTCGTGGCAAGAGATATTCCTCTTGGGGCTGATCGATGGAGTTGCCCATTATTCCCTCAGTATATCAACCAGTCTGTCCATGTACGAAATAGCTTATTTTTATTGATAAATGGGTCAAGGATCATCATTCCACCAGTCAATTTTATCGGGTCCACTTCTCTGTGCCAAGCACGATCGCGAGACAAGTATATTGAAAATTTTGCTATAAATTACTCTACACTTCAGTCAATTGCAGGACTTCAAAGTGCTCGGTTGGATTTTCAGCAAGTTCAGTTTTAAACAGTGAAGAGAAGAGAAGAAGTGCAAAATGAGAGTGTTGGTTTTCCTCCTCGTTCTCTGTGTCTTTCACGGTAAAGGCGGTGGAATTGTGGATTTTCCAGCATGATTTTCCAGGGAGTTTCTAATGTGTTTTCTTCATTCTTGAATGTATATATATAGAGATTTGTGCCAGACCGGAAATTCAGTGGACGGGCGGGCATTTGGATGATAAGTATGGCCCGTAAGCATAAATCATGAGTTTATGGCTTACTTTTCTTTTCCAAATTCAAACACTTCGTCACAATTGGCTTGTCGAGTTGTGAAGTAGTTGGTGGATTGCACCAGAATCCTTGTCTAACTTCCTGCCATTCCTCCGCAGTCACTTCGATCAGCACCACGAGAGCCTTTCCGCCGCCCGCAAAGGCGCCGTGGATCGCTTCTCTCAGATGGGCGTCACGGGATCCTACACGCAGGACATCGGCAGCGGCTCCTCCTTCGCCAGACAATCCAGCTACGGTGGCTCCTCGTCGTCCTCATCCTTCGGCAGGTTAGTTGAAGACTCCGCCAGCATATTTCATAATGATTGTGAAAGCTCTCTGGCGATAATCGCGCGCGCGCTTCCCGTTTTTTCACATCTCTCTCTCGAGAGAGACGAATGAAGATGATAAAAGGGGAGACAGAAGATCTTCGGCAGAGACAGAAAAAAGCCCTGAGCGATAGCTTTTGGGAAGTGAATAGTGTAAAAGCACTTTTTGTGCCCCACAAGAGAGAGATAGTGTGATTTTTTTGCAGACTCTGCTCGCGCTGTGATAATTATGAAATTCTCTAATGAAGTAATTTCATTGAGTAGAGAGAATCTCGGGCAGAGTTAATGACCCGAATTTTTGTGAGATCCGCTTTTGGGAATGAATTGTCTTTTCCTCTCCTTCTGCAGCAACAGCGGATTCTCCTCCACTGGCGATGCTGAACTCGTGGGCGGATACACTGGTGTGGGCGTCGTGAGCTATCCATCTCTCACGTCCGGAGGCTCAAGCTCCAAATTCTCCAGCAGTTCCATGCAGGAAAGTCGCTCAGCCGCTGCTCCTGTTCACGTCTACACACCCTCATCGAGCTCCTCAAGCTCCAGCTTCTCCAGTTCCAGCCAGAGCGAGAGTGTCCAGCAAGCGCAGCCCGTTGTTGTGCCAGTGTCCGGAGGCGCTGAACGCTACTCAAGTCACTCTGAGAGGATTTCCGAGGTGAAAGCCGTGCCACAGCCCGTCATTCTGCCCGTCTCTGGCGGCTCCGAGCGCTTCTCCAGTCACTCAGAGAGGATTTCCGAGGTGAAAGCCGCGCCCCAACCTGTGATCTTGCCCGTCTCTGGTGGCTCTGAGAGATTCTCAAGCCATTCTGAGAGGATTTCCGAGGTGAAAGCCGTGCCGCAGCCAGTCATCCTGCCAGTTTCTGGCGGCTCTGAGAGGTATTCCAGCAGATCCGAGAGGATTTCTGAGGTGAGTGCAGTTCCACAGCCAGTGATTCTGCCCATTTCTGGCGGCTCTGAGCGCTTCTCGAGCAGATCCGAGCGCATCCAAGAGGTAAAGTCAGTGCCACAGCCTATTATCCTACCGAGTAGTACTGGCTCTGAGCGCTTCTCCAGTCACTCTGAGAGGATTCAAGAGGTAAAGTCTGTGCCACAGCCTATTATTCTGCCGTCTAGTACAGGATCCGAGAGGTTCTCCAGCCACTCTGAGCGCATCTCGCAATCTCAGGTACGCAAAATCACCACCAAAATCCCCACAGAATCCTCCTGAGGCCCGAGTGAACCTGATGTTCTTCTTCCAGGCTCAACCCGTGGTCTATCCTGTCTACCCATCCGGAGGCTCTGAGCGCTTCTCCAGCCACCAAGAGAGATACTCCCAGAGTCAGGCTGCTCCTGTGGTGCCCATCGTCTATCCCAGCGGCGGCGCATCTTCTCGCTTCTCCAGCCACTCTGAGCGCCACTCCTCATCCAACCTTGCCGCTCCTGCTCCCGTCATCCTGCCCTCTTCCAGCTCCCGCTACTCTGCCCACTCCGAGTCGCAGAGCCAGGGATCCAGCCTGCCCACCTACTATCCCGTCTACACGCCCAGCGGCGGCTCCTCGTCCAAGTTCTCTCGCCAGGAGAGCTTCCAGCGCTCCGGCGGCGGCTACGTGCCCGTTTCCGTCGTTCCTGAGGCCTCCTCGAAGTTCGTGTCCGAGCAGAGCTCCTCCTCGTCCTCCGCCAACTCCGGCGGCGGCGCCTATGTGTATCCCACGTATCCCTACTACGCCCTGGACGGCAGCCGCGTGAGCTCTCGCTTCGGAGGCTCCTCAATCTTCGACAGCCACTCCAACCTGGGACACTACATGACCGAATCCGAGCGTCTGGCTCGCCTTCAGGCGTCCTCCGTCGGCACTGGAGCTTCCCTCTCGGGCAGCTCGACATTCGAGGGAGAGGCGTACAACGACAATCTCCTGGGCGCTTCCTCGGCCGGTCTGGGCGGATCCACGCGCTCCAAGTCGTGGGAGAGCAGCTCCAAGTGGCAGTCAGGCACTCAGGTAAATTTCGCCATCCTCCTGCCAGTCGTCTTCCTCACCATCCTCCTCGGCTTCGTCATCCTCCTGCGCAGGAGAATGGCGAAGACCGCGGAATACCACAAACCCTCCTATCTCTGCTATCATCCCGCGTACTGACAATAAAAGCCAAATGAGACTCACGAGGGTCTTTCCGTTGACAGTATGACGCCTCCGGAAGGCCCAAGACTTACGGTCTCCTCTCCACGGCTGAATCCGAGCAGCACAACGTCGATGGTAAGTCCACGGGCTTCAAGGCGGCCACAACCACCGTGGAGGATGACGGCAAGGTCAGCACCTACAGCATCCACACGCCGTGAAGTGTTGGGATGGAGAGGAAATGATGAATTCCCTTAATAAATTGCTGTCTTTTTTTACTGGAGGATTTTATTTTAGCACAAATACAAATCTGAGATCAGACAAACTAGTTGGCTTTGAATCCCCTGCCGAGCTTATCGTCCACAGAATCCTCTTTGGGGACGAAGTAGATGTTCCCGAACGGTGGCTGCTCTTCAGCACTTCTGCTGCCGAAACTCACGTCACTGTCGTAAGAATCGCCACAGCGACAGGGCTTGAAGAGTGGCTTCACGGCGACCTTCTCATTCTGCCCGATCATGTAGGGGACAAAAGGAGGCTTCAACTTCCCGTAGAGCTGACGATTGCGCGGCGGTTGAAGCGGCAGGAAGCTCCTCTCCGTTGTCCAGAAGCCCTCGTAATTGTTCGGCAGGATCAGCGGCTTCCAATCTCTGCTGTCGCCTCTGCTGTGGAATTTAGGCTCTGGCATCGCCTCTGAGTCTCTGCCCTTGAACACCGGCACATTTTCATCCTCCGCCGTGCCGCTGGACTCATTCTCCGTGCTCTTCGTGCCATTCGCCGACTCATTGATCTTCCTGGCTGGAATCTCGAAGGTGATATCCGTCCTGATGCCAATCGTCTTCTCACTCTTGCCGGGACTCACACTGATCTCCTCAGACGTCTGATCACTGGTTCTCTTGGACTTTGTTGTGTCCACAATCACGTGAACTCCGTAGAATTTTCTCTCGCCAGACTCTTCCACAGATTCCGACGCGAAGTCCAGCTTCGGCGAAACACTGCCCAGAATCACTGCAAATTGCTCTCAATATTACTCGTTTGCATGATTTAATTACAACTTGAAAAAAAAACCAACTCACCGGATTCAATGCAGAGTGATAAGATCACAAACAACACGAGCCTCATTGTTGCGCACTTCCGATCTCACTGGTGTTCTGAAAGACACTGAGAAACTGCGGAGAGCATCAGCGCTGACACATTCTTCTCAGATTCGCATCGATCTTGAGATTGTGATTCCTTTGAATCCAACTAATTGGCCACGCGCAAGGCGAAAAGTGATACACAGGAAAACGTACACCGCGCAAGTCTCTATTAAGTGCGATTTATTTTCAGTATTGATACAATTATTTGAAAATTGCAAATAAGACATAAAAAAAACTTGATATGATCCTGTAATCTAGACTAGATTTAACCCTAAGAATCGCTTTTTAAAACCAGAGGATTGCAAGACGTCCAAACGGCTTTACACTAAGTTTAAATTAATTATTACAATTATTTTTTAATTTTATTGTCAATAGGAAGAAACTCATCAGGAATTCTTCGAGACAGAGGAAAACGCAGAAAATAAGAGAGAAAATGAAGAGAAACTCCTTGAACATTTTCCATATGAAAATGATCTAGCTCATTTTCTGGAAAATATCAGCCACTATGTGAAAGGAAAATTTTCCAAAATATATCATAAATAGCCGTTGAAATCGATTTCTTGCAATTCCCTGTTGAAAATCCATTCACATTGCGAACAACTTAACATTAGAGACAATAAATCATCAAAAAATATCCTTCTTCGGCGGGTAAATGATAACATTTTCTGCACATTCTTCTTATAAATCTCAATACAATGCAATAATGGCACTGTTTGCATTCTTTGCAAACAACAAACAATAAAAACTACATCTAATTTGTGCCTTTGACTAAAGCAAAACAAAGGTAGATGCATTAAAAATGTCATAAATTAGGAACATTAATAAACATTTTGTACTACAAAATTGATATTGCACGCAAATTAATCTCTAAATTTTCCTCATCCATAATCCCAAGTAAAAAAATACGTACGATAAGTTAATGTTCAACAAAGGAATGTACACCAACTCTCACTTTTTCACCCGCCTTGGGCGCTCTCGTGCGTTCTAACGAGTTTTCAAGATTTCATTGAGATCTTCGCGTTTCACAAAAATTTAATCATCCACTTTGCGTGTCTCTATTCATTTTTGTTCCTTCTCCCTTGGCGGAGATGAAAAACAGCATCAATTGGGAGAGATCTTCTCGTCAACCCGAAGAGAATCTCATCCACACAAGCACACACTGTGGAAAATCATCTCTGGCCAAGTGGGCAAAAAGTGAGAGTTATGGCGCAAAAAGCCACGCACGGCTTCATAAATCTCCTCTGCCATTTTGGGTACATCATCGATAATTATGCAATTAAGTGACACTCGTCAGTTGGATCACTTATTCCTTCCCCAGCAGCGCACGGCCAAGGCCAGCGCGCGCGCGCTCGATTGTCTGAGCGTGAGAAAATCACTTCTCCAGCGAACTGATTGTGGCGTCAATGAGGAGATTGAAGTCGATCTCATTGAGATTCGCCTTGGCCGTGAGAAGATCCAGAAACGTGTCCAGCGGCGCAATTGTCTCCTGATCCTCCGGATAGATTCCACCGTGACGGACATTCTGCTTCAGTTGTCCATGCGAGCCACGCGGAAACACAGGAACGCCGCAGAGGATATTTGTGGCATGATCGCGAGCTCTGATCTGCAAACTGGTGGTGTGAGTCCACTTGTTGAGCAATCGTCGAGCTCGTGAGCGTGGCAGCATCGAGAGGAGGTTCAGCTTTCGCCTCAGACCCTCTGAAGAGTCGCCCAAATCCGACAGGATTGCCTTCATCACGTCAATTTGCAGCTCAAACACGTGCCGCTGGACATATTGCAGAAACATGTCATAGGAGAGAGTCCTGTAGCCCAGATAGGCGAAGAAGGAGGAGAATCCTTGTGGCAGAGGATAAGCCAGTGACTGGGCGGACAAGCAGAATCTCTCCAGAGAAGAATACAGAGCATAAAGTCGAGAAGACGAGAGAGAATCTCTGCAAAACAACAAGAAGTGAGTCAAAGATCAGATCAAAATTCATCTAGGAAGCATTCTTACATCAGAGGAAAGCCTTTGAGGGTCTCCAGATGAGGATCCACGCCCGCGAAGCGACACATGAAGCCACAGAGAGTCTTGGACATCTCGTACTGAGCAGCAGCGTACATTGAAGCCACTGTGTGGACATAAGTTGGTGCCTGATCATAAGAGTTCTTCAGCCAGCGAAAACCCACATTCTGCTTCGCTGTGTACTTGGCCAGATGAACGCTCAGCTCTCTCAAGTTCTGCCCAAATCACGGGATGTGTGAGAAACAGGAGAAAATCCCTAACATTCTGAGCACTTACCACTGATATCACGTGTTCCTGCTTACTAGCTGTGCACTCCTCGAGCTCAACGAAGGGCAGATCGGCGGATTGGCTTCTGTGCGACAGCGAAAACACGTCCGGACCCCCAATTTTGGGCCCCGCCGGACTCATGGGAGTTGTGCAGCGCGAGAGAGTCTCAGGCTGATAGCAAGCCAGTGAGAACATCAGCTTCTCCACCACCTGTTCGGGTGTGAATCTCACGGGCTCCTTGTTGTCATTCAGGCGATCCCACAGGCAAGTCCAGATGTCCGTTCTGTAGGGCGACAGTCGCTGCTGCGACGACAGGAGCATCATGTTGGTATTGTAGAGTGTCTCGTGGGAAATGCCAACGGACAAGTCGTTGACTTTGGCCTGAATGGGCTTCAAGGGATTTGACATTGTCAGCGGAAGATATCGAATCAATCCTGCCGCTTCCGGAGGCAATCCCTTCTTCACTGACGCATACGTGCCGCCAATCAGGACCTCCTTCATCAGCGACACAATGTCCAGACTCATTGGATGCTCCATCAGGATGCTGATCAGCTCCGCCACCACGTCCATGTCCACGGAATGCACGCAGAAGTAGTGCAGGATGCTCAGGCGATTGTCCAGCGACGAGTCTCCCTTGAAGGTCTCAATCAGGTGAGCCTTGGAGACGTTCATGGACACGAGATTGAGTGTGGCCGAGTCGAATGTCAGTGATCCCCACTTCACGCACGGCACGAGATGCGTCACGGGCAGTTGGACAGGCGACGGGCAGACGATGTGACAGCAGGGCTCGTGGCTCAGACCAATGTCCAGGAGATGAGCGAAGAGATCCGCCTGGAAGACCAGCAAATGGTGATCTCCGTGCAGAGCAAAAGTCGGCTTCATCAGCTTGGCTTTCTCCCAACTTATCCCCGGAACCACGCAGTGGACAACGCATCCGTGGTGCAGGATTGTGACTGAGTAGGCGAAGTGGACAGACTCCGTCTTCCCGGACTCCTCTGGCGGCTTCACCGGCATGTAGAGATAGTAGTGGCAGACGAAGAGCATCCCAATCTCATTGGACACAATCACGAGGTTGAGCGAAGAGTCGTGAATGCGCAGAGGAATTGTGTCGTCCTCGTAGATGACCTTCGTGCCAGGCTCCGTCAGTGGCAGCTTCGGCAGATTCAGCGGGATGTTCAGGACAGTTTCCATCGGGAGATCATCGTGGAACTGAAAGGCGCTCAAAGTGGGACTGAGATCCTCCTTCTCGTCGTCCTTCTCCAGCGTATTCCGCGTCTGTGGCTTGTAGTGAATGTAGTAGAGTGACTGCACCTCCGGATCCCACTGACACCACGTGAACTTCCTCAGAATCGATTCACTGCCCATTTCTTTGGTGTCGCAGAACCACTTGTCCTGCTTGAAGTCAATCCTCAGCGACGCCGTGGAGTGTCCGTCGTCGTCCGCCGATGGGATCTTCCTGATGTTCGCCGTGAACAGGAGGACGCACTCTTCGTGGATCATGACTAGAAACTTATCTCTGTACGTCTTGTCGAAGTTGTCGCGTTTCTTCCACAGGAATTGCACCATCACTTGCTTGCTGCGCTCCATGGCGAGCAGCTTGAAGGGCTTTGCCTCCTGTGTGTGGTTAATCTCCACCAGATAGGGTGAGTACATGTCCTCCTGCTTCATCGAGTACGCCAGCAGAGTCCGGGAACTGTTCACCGAAGCCTGCACGACATTTCCAGGCTCTTGGATTGTGGTGAGAATGTCGAAGGATTTGCAGTTCGGATCGAAGATTCCAATGTGACTCTGTGGCTCATCATTGCGCCTGGATATCCAGTTCACCAGCAGCGATCCGTCTCTCTCCTGGCTCAGGATTTTCCACTCCACCGCAGGATCTGAATGTCAATGTTTACATTTTTTCAAGTTGAGAAAATCAGGCAATTTCAAGGACTCACCCTTGTTTCCTTGCTGCGCAAGCAACCCACAGAGATTTGCGGCCAGATTCTCAGAGTTCAGCATGTTTGGAGTGGCGGAATCTCTGATAAATCACTGGGAAAATTCCTAAACACCTTCGCGACTTCCTTTACGCAACTTGACAATTCGTACACTGTCAAGTAAACATGAAACATTCCAGCTTTCACGTGTGCTTTTCCCATGCTTCACGCGTGCGGCATGAAACACTGGAGAAACACGGACTTTCCTCTGTGAGGAAGAAAGCTTGCGGTCGTCTTGAGAATCGGTGGAAAATTTGTATGTCGCGGGGAAGAGCGCCCCCGGAAAGGGTCTTCCTGCTTCCACTCTGTCCCATGTCGTCACTGCTCTGCGCACACTTTGCCACTCCACGCGTTCGGCACATGAAAAATGGGGGGAAACGCTGCCTTCGGGTGGCCGTTTGGGGGCGGCCGACGAGACGCCACCTGGCGGAAAGGACATGCTGGCAGCGAGACACGACCTAGAAATTCCAGTGAGGAAGGTGCTTCAGATCCGTGCGTTCTCAACCATCAATTCGCGCTCCCGTGATGAAGAGTTCAAAGTGACCCCGCGGAGCGCCCAGTGAGTGAAAGTGCGTGCGTGCGTGAATTGCGAACGTGGGGGCTCTCATGAGTGCGCGCCCCTGACGAACTCGTGGTTTTTGGGGTTGAAAAAGGGAGGACGAAGCGTGAGGAAAAATCGACAAGGGGAGCTTTTCACCAGTGCCGCAGGGTGAAGTGCTTTTTCCGACACTCCCCCGGATCCCGAAAGTGACTCCACAGTGATGGGGAGAGCGAGTTGGGGGCGACTTGCGGCCAGAAGCTCCAATTTGAATGTAATTGCAAGCTGTGTGGGGCCCCAATTCCACGGGAATCCTGTTCTCGCGATATTTTCCTGGGGACACTTTCTTGCCTCTGCGATGCCCCGGGAAATCCTCCCATCAGCACGGACTTTTACTGCTTTCGCAAGCACTTTCCTGGCTTGCGGAGGATGAAGAACGTGCGAGAGAGAGAGCCATGGCGACAGTGGGCGAACGGGTGTTGAATTGTACATAAAATGTATACCCATAGCGCCCTATATATGCCACACATCTCTATGCCACACGATATGGGGGTGTTAAACGAGGGAGTATCGACATTAAATGTCTCCCTCTCTCGTCGCCCAGCATCTCTCTCGCCAGGACATTTCTGTTTATCCAACTCTCCTCCGGCCGCCCACCCTCCCCCACCGCCCTCATGAGAAATGGTGACAATCAGAGCTCAGACACGGGGAGAAGGGATTTTCCGTCCCGCAAAAAATAACACGCCATGTTGTGAAAATTAAAATGTTGTCCCAAGGAGACACACACACACATCCTCGGCGAGAGGACACGCTAGAAATTCATCCCTTTGACCGCTTCATCAATAAACTTTGAGGAGCAGAAGGGACATTTTCACAGCTCCGAAGGCGAATCAAGGGGGAGATAATATGGCTAAACAGTGTACTCCACTTCTTGTCACTTCCACAATTTCTGTGCAGAATCACAGACACTTCCAGAACTTTGGCAGGGCGTAAAACATCTATTTTTCTTATTTTCTTCTTAATTTTGTGGAATTTTACAGATTTAAAAGTATCATAACCTCAAATTTAGATCGTAATTGTCATAAAAAACTAAATTTTTAGTTGTATTACTCTGGAGAAACTTACAAAAAAGCCGTATTAAAGAAATATTTGAAGTTTCCAGCGGATATTTTGATGTGATCTAATTTTAAATCGCTTTTTTAGATGCACTGTTGACCATAACCTAAAAATTATCTTGAAAGAAACTTATTCGGAACATTCGGAACTTTAAAAAAAAAATGGAAAATTTTATTCTTTTACAAATCGACATTGTTTTGAGAATCATTAAAACAGCTCTTAAAATAGATTATAGTCACTTAATGTTGCTTAAAGTATATTACATAACCCAGAAAAGCAATGAGATTTTTATTGAAAGAAATGGCGTAAAAATTCTCAAAGTACTGCAGTTCAATTTAATCTAATTTTTGTCTGTCTCAAGATGAGTCTTTAAGTTCCACAAAATGCTTGAACTTCCGATTGAATCGAAACTGCCACTTCAGATCATCTTATCTCCCCCTTGAGGTGAATTTGAGCCGAGAATATCGCATTCTTATTATCCCACTGAATGTCGAAAGCCAGCCATTCAGACTGCACAGGACCCACAGGACTAATGCATTCCTAATGCTGAACTCGAGGTCAGAGTTCTGTTGACGAGCTTTGCGGCTTGGAATTTCAATCCTCAGCTCAACCACAGCTTCCCGCCAAATTTAATTGCACAGGATTTTGGATGCACAGACGAAAAGAATTAAGCTCTCTTCTCTATTCCACTTCTGCAAAACATCCCCTTGAATATTAACCATCAAGTGAATAAAATGGAAAGTTCAAAGTCACACTTGTAGTGCTCTTGTTTCGGTGTTCATTACTTAATTCAATAGCACGAAAGACTCCTTAATGGCGAAAGGTACTCATGACGATAATGACTACGTGAGTTTGATTTCCTCCAGCCCTGTAATTATGGCAGACAAAAGCGTATAAGGAGAAAATGGAACGCTATAAGTCAATACTCTGCTTGAATTGTTCTTGAAAGTTGATGAATTTCCAACGCAATCTTGGCTTAAATTAGACCACGAGTGAAATTACATATGTGCCGATTAAACTCTCTCTCAATTTAGAAGTTTTGGGGGTTGGAAATTTTTATTATACTGCAGTTTCTGTGTCTCACATGATGGTAGATTTGTGCTTGTACACACTGCACAATATGGCAAATAATGGGTTAATTGAAACACTACAAATGAATAACTATAAAGAGCGTCCTATTTACCATGGAAGCTCATCAGCAATATCGGAAGCACTCCCTTGTTAGCATTTCTCCATCAACTTTCAATTTATATCAATTAATAGGTCTTCCTCCCCTTCTTTCTCTTCTGTCCCTTCCCAGATCCACCCAATCACACGCTGTGTTGCGCCCTCGGCAGCACTTTTGCCATCCTAACAATCAGCAGAATGGCGCTTTTCAAGTTTTCATAGCCAAAGGAGACAGAGAGAGAATCAGAGAGAGGGAGAGAGCTGGCGAAAGGGATGTGGGGAGGGTGAAAGTAGTGACATAAAAATAAAAATAAAACGGAAAAAATTCTCAACAGTTTTCTACCATTTCCTCATTCAAGTCGGCAATATCGCTATTCTCGTATTGATTTGAGGGACAAGATAGAAAAAGCGCGATAAAATGTTGAATTTTCCCCCGTCAATTCAATCCGCGCGTGTTGAATTTCTCATTCGAGCGCGCTTCGTTCATCGTGGCGCAGATGAAAGTAAATAAAATCATTTGTGTGCTTGTTAATCGTGATCCATAAAATCTGCCCTCGCCAAATCCAATGTTTGGTCCATCATGGGAGAGTGCGTTGGAGGAGTTTTTGCGCCACCCCCCAAAAATGCTTTTAAGCCCACGTCCATCAAAAGGCTGGTAATAGATATCATGGCAGTGAAGATGAGCGCTTTGGGGGTGAATTTGCAAACTTTCTCTCCTCGCATTTAGTGACAAAACACCGGAAGTGCGCAAGTAGTTGCTGCATTTCCCGCCCCAAAACTTGTGACTTATTCACGATTACGGTAATTGCCAGTGATAATCCGGAGTTGTATGGGAATTACTTTGAGCTTCCCTAAAAGCGAGGAAAATGCAGAAGAATATCCTGTTGTTGAATGTTAAATAAGATGCGCTCGTACACATTATCCTCTGTTGCATCCTGTCGAGGACAAGAGCCCCTCGGCGGTGGAGAGAATTTACAAAATATCCTTCTCATTGTGGGATTAAAAGGCAAATTCACTGTTGAGCTTTCTCATGTGAACTTTCTCCATCACAGAGTGTAATGTGAATTAGCTGTGAAAATATAAATCGACAGAGTTTCATCCCCCGAATGAAACTATCTGTGATTGATCAGATTGTCAACCACAATCCATTTAAATATCTGCACTCCAATCAATTGTCTCTCTCTCTCGCTCGTCCTGTTGAAATCCTTTTGAATTCACCGATGAATTGGGGTGGGCGGATTAGCCGGCTCGTCTTTCATCAATGGAAAGCTTTCCATTCCAATTAGTCCGCTGCAGAGCATGAAAGTGTCCCTACTTCAGTGCGGATTGCCGATTATCTCTCCCCCATTTTCCCGGGGATTGAATTGGGGGGTGGAAACCTGGGGAAAGGCGGCGGCTTACACTGTTGTCTCTCATCTTCAGGCTATGGTATTGGGCGTAATACTCTTCTGCACGACATTTCTGCTGCAATCCAACAATGCCACCCAACTGCACATTGGCGGAATCTTCCCGATAGCCGGCAAGGGTGGCTGGCAGGGAGGGCAGGCGTGCATGCCAGCCGCCAATTTGGCCTTGGACGATGTCAACAATAAAACTGATTTGCTGCCCGGCTTCAAGCTCATCTTGCACAGCAACGACAGCGAGGTGAGTACCTTATGTGGCGTCTTATGTGGATCGTAAAAGTGCCCGGGGATGTGACACACCATCAGCAACTTGGATTTTCACAACTCGCACCCTTTTTCGCCACTTCCCAGCGATGAAATTTATTGACAGGAAGTTGTCATCTCTTTTGCCACCCTCCCCAAAAATATATATTTCTCCGAAATGTGATTTTTCAGTCGGGAGAATTTGGATTAAGGTCAAATTGACGTGAATTCACAACAATCCATCTTCATAAGCTTCAAAGTCGGTGCACTTAAAATAAATTATCGTCATAATTAAATTGTCTGTACGGGAAAATTGAGCTATATTTCACACCTGACTTAGACATCCTTGCAACTTTATTGTTCGTAAAACTATGTTGAGAATCTATTTTCTGCAAGATATAAAGAGTTTGAAATGTTAAGAGGCAAAAAGAAATGCTGAAAAATTCACTTAAAAACCCAAGAAAATAGACGATATTGATGTTTTTCTGGTTAATTAATGCAGATTGTTGGTGGATTTATGTGTTTTCGGACATCTTTTGAGCCTTTCTGAGGAAACTTATTGATTTTCCAAACCGTTTGCAACTCTTTGCGTTGAAAATATATCTCAAATTCGCTTCAAATACGGAAAATTACGCTTCGCTGACACTGAAGAACATTTCCTTACGCCAACGTGGAGAAAAATGGATAGAAATTGAGTGGAAGTTTAAGTATTCTGCCCTAAAGACGCTCTTAAAGTCTTAATGGAAATGGTTTTTTAACAGCTGAAATTCGTAATAAATAAACTCCCAATTTCGCCTTCGTTTCGTAGCTTTCATGAACTAAAACACGAAGTTTGTAAAGTTGCAACGACACATTAATTATGCTATAGAGATAGCATGATCAGAAGTGGTGTAGAAGTCAGCAAAAGTACATATATCGGAAAGGGGATAAAATATTTGCAATAATCGACATATAATTGACTGCTGAAAGCTCTGCGGTAGTCGGAAAAGTTGTGCTATAATTGCTGATCTCTGTCCGCAATAAATCTCATCTGCTATCATTGCGGATGGTGAATTTGGGTGTGAGAATGTTGCATTCAATTTGCCACATGAGTGAACTGTGTACATCCGAGGAGATCCGCCCATTGGACAATTGACTATTTGAGCCAGTGAGTGTGAAGAAATGAGACGTGACGTGAATCTCATTTGGGTGGAATATTGGGAAATTTCATTAGGTCTTGGTGAGAGTGTGAAGGCTGTGGAATTTACATTCAGCGTCACTTTCGATCTCTTTGTCATATCTTTTCCTTGGCAAATATGCAGAGAGATGTACGTTCACGTGAGCGGCCAAGGGCAATTGTGCACGCAGTGTTGTGAGTTGAGAGACCTTCAACTGAGCCCTTCAACTCTTCGGGGTGCTGGGCAAAACATCACATCTCCCTTCGAGAATAAAGGGGGGGCGAGAGTTGCGTGACGGAGCATTGTGTGCGGAATAATTTCCTCCCTTGCAATGGACTTTGAGGAATTTAAATATATGGTGATGAATTGAGCTTTCACTCACACTTATTTAGCACTGTGTCAAGGTTGGATTTCTCCAATAAATGCGCGCTGTGTGTAAAGTATATGATGTTGATGGCATATAGAATTTTCAAGAGGAATCATCCACATATTGTTCCACTCACGCCCTCAGCATTAGCATTCAATATGGCTCAACATTAGCTCGGCAGCCTCATGAGAATACACAAATCCACCCAAAGTCACTTGCAGTGGTTGTTTGGGGGTGCGGGCGGGCGGAGACGAGTTGCCAAATTTGATGTACGCACATATGACTGTGTTGTGCAAATATGTTTGCTGTTAACTGAAAATTCACCACCGCCGCCGCCGCCGCCGTTGACACAGTTTTCTCATCGACCACACAATTACCAGGCAGCGTTGTGTTGGAGCAAACAAGAAATCACGGAGTCACAAGGGCGAAAGCATTTCGTGCTGATAGAAAAAGCACATCGCAAACTTTTTTCCCAACGAGAGAGAGAGCTGAAAGCTCGCTTTCGCACTCAGCCATCAGAGTTGAAGTGTTGGGATGCACATGAAGGAACATTGTGTGGCTTGAGGAGCGTCAAGAAGTTATCTGATAGAGCTTTGATTTGTTGTCACCAAGTGACGTCGATAAATCATGGTTTTTCCTTTGACGGGGTGGGAAATTTTTTAAAGAATTTCACAAACTCTTTCGTTGACGTTGAATTTGAATGTGGAAATTTACCAAAAAACAAGTTTTTATGTGAGAAAAGTGTGAGAAATTTCAATCCATTTCCGCAGGACTTATTTTGGAATTTTATGGAGGCTTGGAATAATATATCAAAGGGCTTCTTTTCTGCCCTGTCGCACAGGAGGGAGAAATAATATATTGTCGATAATAAATATTTTAAGAGCATGAATGGAATTTATCACTGAGTTTGTATCCCATTTATGAATTTTCGCCATAATCATTCTTCAGCTTTGGGCTTTTCATTCACAACTCTCGTCACACACAGAGTTCAAAGGGAAAGCTTAATCCGACCTTTCTGTGTGTATTTCTGGCTCACATTAGCATCTTTCTCTTCATTTGCTTGGGGGTGACGTCCGTGTGTGTGTGTGGAATATTGGGGATGTTGTGTATGATTTTACGGTACGATTCCCAAGAGGATTCACCCTTTCATCCCGCCTTTTTTCCGCCTTTGCAGTGTGAACCCGGTCTGGGAGCGAGTGTCATGTACAATCTACTGTACAATAAACCACAGAAGTTGATGCTATTGGCCGGATGCAGCACAGTGTGCACAACAGTGGCCGAGGCAGCAAAGATGTGGAACCTCATTGTGGTGAGTGGGGTCATTTCTCTAAATTCTTTTCCATCCACTCTTCCGCATTCGCATCCACACGGAGCACAGCACTCTCCTCAACCCCCCTAAACCCCATCCTCAGTCGGAACGTGTTCACTTTTCCTCATGTAGAAAGTTAAGGGAGAATAACTTGTGACACGTGTAAAGTGTTTCATGAACTATCTCAATGGATGAATTGCAATTCACTTTCATGTTATGATGTTATTTTTTTTCCGCACGTTAAAGATTAATATAAGCATTCAACCCCCCCAAAAAACACTCCTTCTTGCCTTGGCCCAGGAGAAGGAATATTTTTGGGGGTGAAAAGAAGTTGTGTCTGTGTGGCAAAAACAGCTTACGTGCTCCTCGAGAGGCCACTTTCACATTCCATTCCAACCTCCTAAATTATCCACTTTAACTTGAGTTCTGTTCTTAAATATTTAAATAATAATGATACACCATGTAATTTGTACTTCAACAAATTCCTCTTCCTCACCCGAAAGAGATCCTTTTTTTCTCTCTCGCAAACTCCTTTCTTACGGTGCCAAAACCACTCATGTGTTGTGCTGCCACAAATTCAGCCCCTCCGTCTTTTTTTTCCCTCCCTTGACGGGAAGCGGATGGAAAAGCCTCTTTTTTTTCCTTTCCACCCACATGACAATCCATCTTCGGACGCGTTTCTTATCTGGGGAGAGAGAGAGAGAGGGAAAGAGGACAGACACAGGATAATTTGGCGTATTTCACACTATAGTCGAGAAAAGATCAATACGACTGGGTGATGGATGCAAAGGTTTAAGGCGCATTTTCACTGAAATGCAAGGGGGAGATAATATGCCTTAAATCTTCCAAATTTGTCTGACACTTCTAGAACTTGAAGTTTTCAGACTGTTTCCACATTCATTCCCAAATTATAATGAATCTCTTATGTTTCCATTCGATTCGATTCGATTCGATTCGAGCATAATAATTGATGTGCTAGAATGCGAATTATTCACTAAATCTGTCCGTTATTTGTTACATAACCTAAAAAAGGTTTTTTCTAATGATTTTGCGTGAAAATCGAAGGCAATCCAAGGAATTGGCATAATTTGTCAGTATAATAGAAGCACTCGGGAATGGAATATTGTAAGTTTTTGAACACTTTCACTTCTTAAGTACTTCTGACTGTATTATCTCCCCCTTGGTGAAATGTCGAATTTTTCTTCGCGCCAGAGATGGAAATTTTAGAGAAAGAAATTGAGTGTAAAAGTGCAGCAAACCCCAATTTTCGTGTGTGTTGGCATTGAAGTTACCCTTGAATATTTGCTGGAAGAATTAATCTGACCCTCTCTGGGGCAAAGTTATTTAATCAGATTTGGTAGTCTGTTGCGATGAAAGTTTCTCCCCTGGATTCACGGAACCTTCATCATCACCTTGGCGGATTAATTGAATTTGTCCGGGTCGCAGGGACTTGAAGTCTTGGCAAAATTTAATTTATTAGAGTGCCTTTTGTGCAATTACTATGGCCTTCTAATTGCCCACAAAATCCCGCACCCAGCTCTGCTACGGAGCCTCGAGTCCTGCCCTCTCGGATCGCAGCCGCTTCCCCACACTCTTCCGGACGCATCCGTCGGCCACGGTGCACAATCCCACGCGCATCAAGCTGATGGAGAAGTTCGGGTGGTCGCGCGTTGCAATTCTGCAGCAAGCGGAGGAGGTCTTCATCTCGGTGAGACACGGCGGAAGATTGGGCGAGTGCCTGGAATACTAATGTGTGTGTGTTGCACATCTTGCAGACGGTGGAGGACTTGGAGAACCGCTGCAAGGAGGCGGGCATCGAAATCGTAACGAGACAATCATTTCTCTCAGATCCCACTGACGCCGTGCGGAACTTGAGGCGTCAGGATGCGCGGATAATCGTGGGTCTCTTCTATGTCGTGGCGGCAAGGCGTGTGCTCTGCGAAATGTACAAACAGCAGCTTTACGGACGAGCTTATGTGTGGTTTTTCATTGGTGAGTTGAAATTAATATCTCTTTAAAATGTGATTACGTGAAGTAAAGTCATTACTTGAGACTTTGGAGTGTAAGTTAAATTCTTCAATTGATTTTCCTCAAAACTTTCCCCATTATGGTGGTAAATTTTTCTCCCTCCTTTGGCCCAGGAGAGAAAGAGAGAGAGACGCTGCCATTTCCCCTCGAGCCAACAATCACAGAAGGCAAATTGAGAGTAGATGAAGATGAAGAAACTTTTTCAACCAGCAAATTGAGTCGTTTGAATGGGGATTTTAATTAAATTCCCATGAGATAATTTATTGATAATATTTTTTGACATGACATAAGATGAAGAAGGGAAGAAAAATCACTTTTCCCAATGGCTAAAGAAGCCCCTGGAGAGCATTTCCTTCCTTCCAGTTCTCTGAAGTTTCATCTTTAGGGCCATTCAATGAACATCTCTCAGGACTTTGTCAATAAAATGGCAAAAGGCACATGGGAAGTTTCATGTTGAAAATTGGAATTTTGCCTGCTGGAGAGACGCATGAATACATTTTGCATGATGGCAAAAGATGGGTGTAGGATTCTCCTGACAGTTGACTGGAAGACGAGAGAGAGAGAGAGAGAGAGAGCTGATGGAGAAGAAGTGAGTGAGAAAGTTTGCAAGACATTCTTGACGAGGAAAATGAATTGCCACAAGAAAGTTAATCTAATTCAGGGAAAATTAAGAGAACAACATTTATCTAAATGCTAGAGTCACTTCACAAGTCTCTCTATGACTCAATTTGAGAGACGCTTTCCACCCTTTTTGTCGTGTGGCTTGGGGGAAATGTCTAGCGGAGTGTTATCACAATTATTATTCATTTCATACAGTGTCAAATGGGCTGATTGTTATCCATGTATTTATGACTTGAGCAGAAAGACATTTTCCAGAAATTCACCCCCCTTTTTGCAGGTTGGTATGAGGACAATTGGTACGAGGTGAATTTGGAGAATGAGAATATATCGTGCACGAAGGAGCAAATGAAGCACGCTGCCGAGGGACATTTGACCACGGAAGCACTGATGTGGAATCAAAATAATAGGCGAACAATATCTGGCATGACATCTGACGACTTTCGGTGAGTTTCAAAAGCCCCCAAAAAGACACATCCCTTTCAGGTGTGATTTCACCAGCAATTCCAATGCATTTCCCCAGAAAGTTTTCCACCGCATGTCAGGAGCGCCAATGTAAAAGTGTTTAAAAAGTTTCTCTCAAACTTTTCACCTTGTGTGTGCAGACTTTTGTGAGAAAATGATGGGTTGACGCGATAAGCAATTTCGGCAAAGAGCTTAAAAGTCGAAAATTTTTGCAGTCAGAAACAGGAAAAGCAATGGAAAATTTTCTTTTTGCTTCCTCGTTCAATGTTGGAAAATTGATGTTTGAGCTTTAAAGTTTTTTGAAGCCGCACAGATATGAAATTGATTTTCTTTTTTTTTTGTGAACTATCAAAGAGAAGTTGAACCGCATGGATTCAAAAGATATTGATTTGCTTGGAGAATTTGCAATTATTTTTCATGATAAAAAGCAAAAAGTTCACAAGATATTCTGAGAATGGTTATACAAGAGAAAAATGGTGGAAGAATTGTATTTTTGTCGATGAAAATGTATGAAAGATTACTGGTCTAGAATTGATCCAGACTTTCTTCTCCATGGGAAAGTTCTCCCATATTTTCCTCATACCTTCTTTGCCATTTCTCTTGGTGTATTTGTTTTTCTCTGCCTTTCTCCAAGCGCGCGATTGAGTAATATTTACTCGCAACCATTGAGAGCAATATTGAGAAATCTGTAAACAATAAAATATTAAAGGAATTCCTTGCGATATTCTGTGAAAACAACCCGCAAACACTTTAAAGTGCAACAACAGAGCGAACACTTGAAGATTTTACTTCCCGTAATGAGACTTTTTCTGCAATGTTTGTTGAAATGGGTTGAATGCGTGCTGAATCCATTCTGTGATTGCACAACTTCGTCGGCGAGGGTGGTTTTTATTTTTGTACTTTTTGTGTGGGATTCGCGTGGAAAACAAGTCCTGAGGTGTTGTGTATGTTTGGCTGATTGTTTCGTTCAATACAGGTTGCGCCTCAACGAGGCACTCAAGGCCGAGGGCTATGATATCAGCCACAATAGGTTCCCCGAGGGATATCAGGAGGCTCCGCTGGCGTACGATGCCGTGTGGAGTGTCGCTTTGGCGTTCAACAAGACAATGGAGAGGCTGAAATATCGCAAGAGATCACTTAAGGACTTCACCTATACGGACAAAGAGATTGCCGATGAGATTTATGCTGCAATGAACTCAACAAAGTTCCTTGGCGTGTCGGTAGGTTGACTTCTTCGCAATTGCTCTTTGTCATAAGATGGATTTGCGGGTAATGTTCTTATCACTCCACTCTTGAGGGTGGAAAACACAGTGTGTGGGCAACAATACAAACACAATTATCAATATTTATTTGCTATCAATTTCCCACACCAACAGCAAAATGTGTTCTGTGCCTGTTTCAGGGCGAAGTGGCTTTCAGCTCGCAGGGCGACCGAATCGCCCTCACCCAAGTGGAGCAGATGATTGATGGACAGTACGTTAACTTGGGATATTACGATACGCAAGCTGATAATCTCACCTGGAGAAATATGGAACAATGGTCCGGTGGAAAGGTGAGAAAACTGTCTGCCAGCCATTAATTGCATATTTATGAGCGATAGCGCGTCTAGTGGCGAGCATAATTAGGGCATTTTTTTTGCAACTTGCGCACTGTGAAAGAATTTCAGGTGCGCATATTTTCCCTCCCAACACGGATGGTGGCAAGAATCTGTCAAGAGGAAGATGATTAAATTTACTTCTCACCTCGCGCCAAGGGGTTGCTAATATTGGGGATGCAGTGGCGCACTTGATTCAAGATGAGCAGAGAATCAGGAAAAACAGATATTTTATCTTATTCTTTCTTGGAAATCCAATTATAAAATTATTGTACACCATTTTGAAAGAGTGGAAGATGAATTTCTGTGCTGAAAAGCTTTCACACACCGCAATAAATAGACAACTTTGATAAAATACTTAATCTTCAATCGAATATTTTCGGTTTTACGTAAGGTTTTAAGTTAAAAACGTTTGTGACACATTTGTAAAAATGTTAAAATCGTAAAGAGTCTTTTAATCGTTTAGTATTAATAAATTCTTCCTAAAGTTTACTACAATTTTCACTTTACACTAATAAAATACATTTTTCTTACAAACTCTTTTTCCAATTGTTGATTTAGATTTTTTTCTTTAATTATTTACCCTTTAGTCGCTCCTATTTTCTAGGGTGTCTAAATTTTTAATGAAACTTTCTTCGAAATGACGAATCAAATCAATACTGTGGCCCCCAAAATCTATATTAGCAACCCTCTGACTCGTGCTTTAATACACATATAGTTTCTCAAATGCGGGCCACTTTTCATCTAATACATCAAGGGAGAGAGAGTGAGAGTAAATGGGAATTTTCTCGAGAAAGCACACTTCGAGAACTCCTAAAGGAAGAGCTTTAAGTCAGTGTGCATGTTAACTTGAGAGAGAGAGAGACTCTGGGGTTCTTCTAAACATGATGAGTTGAAATTCAATTAATTTATTTCGAGCACACAGAAGTATGGTTAGCATTCGTCAGTGTATTTCCAACCCAACTATTTGTGTTTACGGGCACTTTATGTTTCTCCCTTGGCAACCCTTGAAAAATAAATATTGCCCTGATGATGTGAATATTTAATGTTCCCTTGCCGCATTTCAATTGATTTGGTCAAGTTTCAAAAATTCAACGAACTGATAAATCCATTGACATGCAAAGCTCTGGGATAAAATTGTGGCTTTTCGGCGTCAATCATGGTGGCAAGTTTGTGGGGAAAAAGGTCATATAGAGTAGATGATGGATAAATTTTTAGAAATATGATTCTCACCAATTAGTGTCAATCGTGCAAAACATCCCTCACCATTTGACCTTTCACTTCGTGCCATCACACTTTTTCATGGCGCAGGAGTGGCAATTTTTTGCCAACACATGTTCATTTGTTAGCGCAAAATGGAATTTAATTGCAAAACTTTTTTTCAATATTCCATTTGTGCGCGCTCTCATGAAACTTTAATCACAGCATTGCCCTCCCATCGCCAGTGGGTTGGGAAGGTTTTTGGCCTGAGAACTTAACGTTGGATCGATGGCAATCAATTTCACTTTCTGGCCGGGGGAAAAATGTGCTCATTTTCCACACATTTCGCAGGTGCCGCAAGACAGGACGATTGTGAAAAGAGTGCTGAGGACAGTTTCGCTGCCGCTGTTCGTCTGCATGAGCACCATTTCGAGCTGTGGCATCGTCGTGGCGCTGGCGCTAATCGTATTCAACTTGTGGAATAGTCATCGGAGGTAAGACATGACTTGTAGAATGATCGTGATGACAGGCAGAAATGCATTTCCAATAGATTCCCATTTAATTTGTCACGATTGCTCAATGAAGATGACTCGTGACTAATTACATCTTGCAAGTGCTTTGATGTCAACCGTTTGCGACAACACGTCTTCTTGTGACTCCCACAGCGGGGCGACAGGGGGTGAAATTGCTCACGTCGGAGTTAAATCATTTAATATTTTACGACTCCCAAATGGGAGCACAGTGTTACAATGACAGAGCCGAAGACGGAGAGAGGCTCTCAAGTGCTTTGAGTATTAATTAGCATCGGCTTATCAGTGATTACATAAAATTTGTCGGAGATAAGGCCATCTCTCTCTCAGCGTCGAGTGCTTTGAGGTCCTCAAGTGTGGATTATTGCCTCAGCTCTGTGGTGAAGATGGCATCTCTTCCACTCTGACCACCAATTTGCCGCCCCCTTTCCACTGCGGTTTCCACCCTCAGTTAATCAATGTTGAATTTTCCATCAATTCCAGAGTGATTCAGTCCTCACATCCTGTCTGCAACACCATCATGCTCTTTGGCGTCATCACGTGCCTGGTGTCCGTGATCTTGCTGGGGATTGACGGCCGCTTCGTCGGACCAGACACGTATCCTCAGGTACAATTCATTTCTCCCACTGCACGCAGTGTTGTGCCTTTACATGGTGAAAAATGTTTTTAACACTTTCCCTCGATTGCTCTCAGGATGCCAGAAAGTGTTGCAAATAAGTCAAGAACTCATATTATGTGCTTATTGAATGACTTGAATTTCACGAATAAAAAAGCACAATATGAGCTTTTATTAGAGCGATTACAGACTTGTGGGTTACCCTCGAATCGGTGCGAATTGGGATCAATCCTCCGTGAATGAACTTGGAGTGTGTAAAGCTCAGATTAGCCATAATTCGTGGCTGAATTGGCGCTGTTCACACTCAGGAGTTATTCTTCTTTGTCGACACTAGCGACAATTTTGCCTTGTGTGCCACTCTCGGCTGTCAATTGATTTATTTCTTCTTTAATCAAAAAGCGTGAAATTTTACGATAAAATGGTGAAAATGGAAGATTTGCGGAAGAATTTAATGATTTTGAGCTCCCACGAAATCATTCGCAAGAGATCCGCCATTTTGTCCGTTTAGGAACCCCATAAATATCGGATGAACCTTCGATATATCGAGTGATTATTCACGTTTTATGGCTCAACCAACTCTCGTGGATCACCAACAAGTCTGAAATCGCTCTCACATCAACTTTAGTTATTTTCTATGGAAAAAAAATTCAATTTGTGACGAAAGGCATTTTTTACCATGTAATGAATGATGTAAAGTTTCGAAGCAATCCGGCCAACACTGTCTGTCCATAAATCTGTGCAGGTTTGTCAGGCGAGAGCGTGGCTTCTGGCGGCGGGATTCACCCTAGCATATGGCGCGATGTTCAGCAAGGTTTGGCGGGTTCACAGATTCACCACGAAAACGAAAACCGATCCGAAGGTAAGGGTGAAAAATTGTTGAGCTCATGAATCATCCATAGCCACCCCCGCAAGCGGGTGGACAGAATTTCTGATGGTAACATTAGGGAAACATGAAATGAATTTGATATCAATGCACTATGGCAGAATTCTTGCAAAACCATCTAATTTTCCGCGACATTGCCCTTGTTTTGTGGAAATGCTGCACAGAAAAAGGTGGAGCCGTGGAAGCTGTACACAATGGTGTCGGGACTGCTTTCCGTGGACCTCGTAATTATGCTTACATGGCAATTATATGATCCTCTCCAAAGGCGCTTAGAGACCTTCCCGCTGGAGGATCCAATCTCCACTAGTGACGATGTGAAAATACGCCCGGAACTTGAGCACTGCGAGAGTGAAAATAATTCCATCTGGCTCGGTATATATTTAATTAATTATACATAATATCTCTATGGTAGAAAAAATCACTCCCTCTTCTTCTCACCCCTGTCGAAATCCCGTGTAGCATTTCCCCATCATTCTTGTGATAAATTGTGCGTAAAATGAGAGGAAATCATGTGTGGGAAGCCCGACTTTTCCGGAGTTAAAGACAATATACTCTCCTGCAGACTCTTTAATGTACACTCTGTATCATTGGCATGGTTTTTCCTCCCGCACAGGCGTCATTTACGGCTTCAAGGGTCTCATCCTGGTCTTTGGCCTCTTCCTGGCGTACGAGACGCGATCGATAAAGGTGAAGCAAATCAACGACTCGCGCTACGTGGGCATGAGCATCTACAACGTGGTGGTCTTGTGCCTCATCACAGCACCTGTGGCCATGGTCATCGCCTCGCAGCAGGATGCATCGTTTGCATTTGTGGCCCTGGCCGTGATCTTCTGCTGTTTCCTCAGCATGCTCTTAATATTTGTGCCAAAGGTGAGTCTCTCTGGCCTCTTGAGTCTCTTAATTATTTGCTTTCTTCTCCCTCCTTCTCGACCCACCAGCGCCATTCCGTATCCTTTTTGTGCCGCTCGCTGGTCGATTAAAGGGGAAAATTTATTTAGGATGCGAAAATAAACATCGTACAAGAGAGCGAAAGAGAGAGAGAGCGAAAGAGAGAGAGAGCGAGAGCAATTCATTACTAAATTGCTGGTTCTTCACAAATGCTTTTTAACCTTTTTCCTATATTTAAACGCCCATATCCGTTTCTGATGGGGATTTTTCTCTCACACAGTTTATTTATTTAATGTCTTTTGCAAGTTTTCCATATCCGCCCTTCTTCCATCGGTGCTAAAAGACCTTGTTTTGCACCCTCGGAAAATCCGTCTATGAACATATAAACACAGCCAAACACTCTTCATCCATGAGAATTTTCCGTGGAAAATACGATGGAATTATGCAAGTGAGAAAGGACTTGAGGCGGGGGGGGGGGAAAGAGAGAGAAATCCACATGAAAATCTTATTAGCTACTGTATGAATAATACAACGAAACGGCTGAAAGTTCTTCACCGCACTGCAATTTTCACGATGCAATTTTGCTGGAAAATTGTGGCTAATGGGAAAGACATATTATTTGCGCAAGACAAATATTTTCTTATAATTTCATTCTGTCTGTGTGATGTAATTTATTCACATACGTATTTGGCATTCTCAACAATTATTCTAACTACTTTTGCCACATTTTCACGTGTGTGTGTGTGAAGATGAGGCCAAAACCTTCTCAATTTGATGGTAGAATATGAAATTGAATTGACTGAGGAAGTTGTAACTTGAAGATATTCTTGGAGATTCGCATTAATTATTCACTATGCATGAGAGACTTTTGGAAATTTCTCATCTTAACTATTCACAAAGCCCTAAAGTCATTTATAGTTTTTGCCATGGAAAATTTGTATTTAGTTAAATCTTAGTGAATTTGGCACTGACTTGATGCTTTGCGGTCGGTTCTTGTGATGGATGGAAATGGAATTCATCTTCTTGCCAAGTGTGTATAAACTATTGAAACACTTAGAAAAGCTTCTTGAGTTGAAGTGTTTGGCCATTGAAATACAATTGCATTCTCAACTGGTGATTGAGCTTGTCACTCACTATAGTTTTCTCAGAAGATGTTGGCATTATTCAATATGATTTCACTGGAAATCTCCCCCAGAAAACAGAGAGAGAGACACAAAAAGATTCTTTTGCATTAAACAATCACACCTCTGATGTCACATCTCGAGGAGCATTGCAGTGCTTGTGACCTCTGACCTCCATTTCATCTGCTCAATCATGCTGGGTTTCTGAGTGCTTTGGGAGTTAACGTTGGTTGTGTGTCGTCAAAGTTCACTCTTCAATTATCCCGCAATGACATTAGAATTCATTTGCTATTCTGCGCTCGGTATCGGAGATTGTTAATCATTGATTTGGGGTCAATGGAAAAGTCCTCCTGAAGCCACAAGATCCGATTTGCCACTCTGGAGCGATTTTATATCTCCCTGTGAAATTTGATACGCAACTGTGAATGTCAAAGGATGAGGAATGTGTTATTTACATGGGATTCTCTTTGTTGCAAATACTCAGGAATGCAGTGTCAAAGATTCTGTGTTGGTCATTTGCATATCAGAGAGAGAGAGAGATGAATGGCAAATGGAATGCAAATAGAGGACAATTGTTGCATGTTCAAGGATGTTTGAATATGCAGTGGTGTTTAATAAGAAGCATTGCGTGTACTTAAAGTTGTTTTGGGTGACTTTGACTCTTGCAGGTCATCGAAGTGATACGACATCCTAAGGATAAGGCCGAATCCAAATACAATCCGGATGCTGGAATCTCAAAAGAGGACGAAGAACGCTATCAGAAGCTGCTGTCGGAGAATGATGATCTGCAGAAGCTGATTGCTCAGGTGAGATTGCTCAAAAGCACACCAATGAAAGCTCAAAGAAAGCACATTTGAATTCCAAACACTTGCAATTAAAAAGAATTAATTGGAGATTGTTATTGTTATTATTTGCAGAAGGAGGAGAAGATCCGCATTCTGCGGCAACGACTCACCGAGCGAGATAGTGGCAAGGGACAAACTCAGGACATAGACACACAAGGAGGCAACTCGACCGCGATAACGCAAGGTAAGGACACCCTGGTTGTCATCCAGGCAGACCCTGCGACAAGCTCGGACTTTGATAGCGCCATCGGCGGTGGTTTCTCCACCCAGACGCGCTCCTCGCGCGCCAGTCAGTCGGACATGGATTTCTCCGAAAGCTATCTGTAAGGCTCCTCTTCCTCCGGGCTCTCTCCGCCATTACCACCTGACTATGTGTGGGGTTTGGGAACTAAGTACCTTGTGATTCTCGGCCATAAACTTATACATTGACATTGAGGATAATCGAATATGAGGAGAGGATTCAGTGATTTCCAAGAACAATGCCGTGATGATTATGGGTTTTCCTTCTTATGCCACTGGGGACCTATCGATAATGTAGATGTTCAATCTATTATTCAGCAAAACTGCCTTAGAGTCAATCGGATGGCTTAAGCATTTGGAAGGAGAGGAAGAAGAAGGAGGAGAAGCGCTGCCGCGGAGGTCTATAACTCTCTCTCACACTGATAGAGTTGTGGGTGGGCCAGAAATAGCACAATGCCACAATGAGGACACCACGTATGATTTTTATGTCTGTTTACCCCTCACAGAGACATTTTCCATTTTTATAGTTATGCTGCAGCTTTTGAATGGTGCAAAGGAAAATATTTACCCTTCCCCAGCATGATCTGAAGAGAGAAAGGGCTGTTTTTTTATGCTTGAGCATCGCTGTCACCATCACACCCCATGTGAGCTCCCCCAAAAGTTGACCCACTTTTCCCGCCAATTTAACCTCCGGTCGGGCGGGAGCTCAAGCATGAGAGCAGCAACTTTTCACCAAATTTATTTTTCACACACTCATGCTAATGAATCTGTCGATTAAGATGCAAATTAGTGTGCTGAAGGAGAGGAAGTTCTGTCTGTGTGCGTTTAACACCATTTCCCACAACGCCATGTGTCCTCTTCATGCTCTCATTTGCAAGGAAACCGATATTAAACAACCCCTTTTAATATGTTGTGTGAAAGAGGCCTTTTCAGGGGCGAGAAAGACGCGCTTAAGAGTGCACCAATTACGGAATTTCGTCTTGGCCGGGCGGCGAAGGAAGAGGAAATCGATAAAGAAAACTGTGTATTTCTGTTACAAAGGCCTACGGCGCTTTAATGAGCTTTCATAGTCTCTTATTCTCTCGTGGTGGTCGTTTTTGGCCATTGTATACGTTCTTTGGTCAAAGAATTTTAACCTTTTCCCACTCTCCAAACCCAGACTTGGGCGGAATCTTTTTGTCGTGCCCCAAGATGTGGTCGAAAAGTTTCCCGATAATGCTGAACTCCGCAGAAAGCGTTCTAAGAGCTTCTCAAAGCTCAATGTACATATGAGGATTGTCTGGAAATTTTTGGAACAAACCCAGTATGACCACAAGACCATAAAATACAATAAATATCTCCCGGTGAATTGTGGACGAGAAGAAGAAGTGGAGGAAAATGCCAAGAGTGAATGGTGGCGGTGAAAAGAGTGGAAAAAGTCTCTGATGGGCGCGCAAAGAGGGAAAGTTTTTACCAAAAAAACGGTTGACACACTTCACCATTCGGGATAAATGGAATTATTCTCACAATTTTTTTTTTGTTGATGATTTCAATCATAAAAATTCAATAACTACTCAATTTTCTTTTATGTTTCGGAGATATGATAAGGATTTTTAGTTTATGGCGTTGAAAAAAAACACGAAATTCGAATTGCTCTGTTTTTGAATCTTTTTTGGTTTTTGGTGCGGCTAATTAATCGCATTTTCTTCTATTCCAGATATTCACGATGAACACATTTGAAATTTAAGTCAATTTTAACGGTGATAATAATGTAGTTAATTTTAAATGTAAATGTAAAATGCCCTGAAAAGTGAGCGGCGTAGCGTAGAGAAAAAAGAGTAGAGACGATAGGGTTGCAATAAGTGGAAAATTTGGGCGAAGAGAGTAAATTAAAAAAAAAATACGTTGAAGGGTATTTAATTTAGTCGAATGCAAAGAAGATGAAGAAGAAAAAAACTGAGACAGTGAAGATGAGAACGAAATGGTATTAACACTTGAGAATACAAATTTACAAGAAAAAGAGAGAAAGAGAGAGAGAGAAAGAGTGCATGGAGAAAATTTAGAGGAATTCTTTGTTAATTAAGCAAATATATAGATAAGGTGGTAAGATTGCATTTTAGAGAATCCAAGTACTGCACAAGTGAAGGCCATTGAGTCACCCAAAAGCCATTTTTTCCGTGTGAATACTGTTAGCGGTGGTTTTAGGGATTTTTTCATGAAAAATTCCATCTAGTTTTACAATAATGTACCTTTGAATTCTACTTAATGCATTTTGTAAATATGTAAATCTCTAATCGTATTTGAACCGTTTTATTCATTCACGACTAAATCGTTATGACACAACGCGCGTTTTATTGTACGAAAAAAAGGGGTGTCAAATATGTCCCTCAAATTGACGTGTTTGTCTTTCTCCCTGGGTTAATTCCTTATGTTCGAGATGTTTTCATTTAAACCGCATGAGAGAGAAAATATTAATAAAGTGTGTCTGTGAGTCAGCATTTATTCTAAATATGAAAAAAAAAGTGTTCCCATCTTGGCACAGAAAAAAAATCAATTTACATGATAGAAGGCATTTCACAGCATCTCTATTGACTCAATTTGTGAAAAGAGGGGAGCTTTAAGGGGGTGAAAGGGTGTTGTATAGTATTCAAAAAGTCACAAACTGTCCTCTCATCCTCTCATCACTGTCCGCATCAACCCTGTTTTCACCCATCATATATTGTGGAAGTTTTGTCCTGAGAGAGTCGTGAGGAGTCATTTTCCGGGTGCAAATCATCTTGTTGTTGTTGTTATTATGAAATTGTTATATTGAAAATCACACAATTCATTATATTTAGCATGTAAGTGTAGCGTAGGGAGCGCGAAGAGGCAGTAATAGGCTCAATATTGATCCGAAACGGGTAAAGAGAGACCCTCTCAAGGAAGCCATGTAATGCTACAGCATGAGTCGCAAGGGAGGCTTTCGCCCCCACCCCCGCTCATTCACACCAAACGGAGCCCTAAAATGTACATAAATAGAGACAAAATTGCAGATATTTAGCTCTCCCCAACGACCTCGTTTTGCCATCTTTTGCCCTCTTGCTGCGTGCGTAAAAATAGTGCTTTTGTGGAAGCCCAAAAATCGTATTACACACTTGAGAACTGCGCGCGATTGTGTGTTGCGTGTGAAAGGAATAAAAAAAAAAACCATGAGCTTACGATGATGGAAGTTATAAATGGAAGAGAAACAAAAAAGTTCTATAAATGTGAATTCATATATGAAATAGTTAAGGTAGCAAATTTATATACATAAAAAAATATATTAGCGTGAAATATTATTGAAAATGATGGATCTGTTTTTTTTTTTTCTTTTTTCGAGCACAAATGACACATTTTAGCTCCGCTTTTTTTCACCAAAAAAAAAATCACACAGCGCAATGTGAGCAAAATGGAACGCGACGCGGGTGACAAAGACGGAAAAAAGAAGAAAATTTACACAATGAAAAATGATTTTTCATATCTCCGACTGAGTAAATTGAGTAGTAAAGTGTTGTTTCCTCATGTAATTCTTCATACAAGCCAATGAGTCGTTGCAACATTGCGGATTTCGTATTTCAATTTCGTAAAAGCTACCAATTTGGTGATGCAATTTTTCGTTTTCATAGCTTACCTTGGCGGCCGCCCGGCGGCGCTAGTGTACAGTACGAATGAAGAAGACGTTGCAAAGCGAAGTTGAGAATTTATTTAATACGAATTTCAGCTGTCAAAATGAAATTTCTTTGCGAACACTTTGAAGTTGCTGTTCTTATAATATTTTAAGGGCAAAATAGTCCAACTTGAGTCCAATTTGTGGTTATTTTCTTCCACGTAGAAGAAAGAAGTCCGGAAATACATAACCTCAATCTAGTAAAAAACACAATTATTATTTATTTCCTTGGTTTTCGTGGGACGAAATACATGAATTTCCTTCAAACATTAACATTTGAAACGTTTAAGATGTCGCAGAAGAAGAATTTCACCACTTTCGTAAATTATATGAAACGTAATCTTGCAACCTTTTTTTACAAATAATATTTTTGACAGCTCATTTAAAATAGGTTATGAGAGTAAAGTTGCAACGACGCCTAAATCGGAAAGGCAGAATTACAAGACATGACGAGAGAGAGAATGAAATAATTGTAGAGTGTATTTTCCACAGAACATGCTACACTTTTCTCTCCTCACAAAACTATAAACAGCATAAATGGTTCTCCCACTGCGACTCTATGCTCGTAATTTTCATCTCACTTGTCACACATTCAGTCACATTTGTCGTGCTTAAGGAAAATTGACGCGAAATGTGGAAATGCGATGAAAATGTGCAGCTCAAATGCGATATTCGAAAACGGTTAATCTCATGCATCACGTGACGGAATAATTCACAATTTTCCCCTCATCCACCATTCACTTTGCCCCCGAAAATTTCAAGCCACACATTTAATGCATAAATCCTTAATTGGCAGCATTCGCATTTATATTTCTGACTGTGTGTGTGTGTCTGGGAAAAAGGGAGCGCGAGAGAGAGAGAGAGAGAGCGTGAAATGATGCTCTTTCACAGCCCCTGGAGATACTTTAAAGTAGATTATAATTAGTATAGGATGGTAAAATGTGGATAAAATGCAGATATAAGACACTTTTTATGGCACACATTAAAGTTTGTAGTTCTCAAAAGTCTCGTTAAAATCATCTACTAAAAACTAGCACTTAAATTTTAAATACTGTGTCTGTCTGCCCCTGAAACCTTCCAAGGATGATTTTTGCTCTGGCTTTCAATTCGTCTGGCTTTTTAGGTGTTGATTGTTGAAACTATTAAACTGGAGCATAAAGTGCATCAGTGGCGATGACATTTTATCAATTTTTCAATTATCAATTTGTGAAAATGCTTTAATCGCGTGAATTTAGAGCACCAGATTTATGTTGTTTTATCTCTCCATTATCATCATAACATTGCAATTGCATATCGTGTATTTTTCGCACAATGCTAATTTATTCACCGCAGAAATTACTTTTTAATCCCATACAAAATCACCTCGGAAGGGTTCAATGCACTCTCATGGAAATTCACCCAAAAACACACCACGACTGACATTTATATTTGAGGAATTGTTTTGCGATGTTTTTCATCCACGTCATGTTTTCTCTCTGGAAGATCGACTGTGTATAAGAAAATATTGTAGAAATTCACATCTTGTTTATCTTTCACACCATTCCTGGGCTGATATTTTCGCGACACGGAGAATTTATAATTAGAGGAAAAAAAGAGATTCTACTCGCGAAGTGAGGAGATAAGAAAGAGTCACAGAAGAGTGGCTCTAAAGAGCGAATAAAACTCGTCTTTTAGTGGTATTTATCATGATGGAGAAATCTCCCATAGAAGAAAAATATGGTGTTAGTGTGAAAATTTATATTCGCCTCTCTTATGAACGGAAAAAAGTGCACCAGAAAAACTCCTAAGAGTCCATTCATGTGTGTCTCATTAATTGTTATCTGATATTGTTTGATGTTTCACCTTCTTTTTCTTTTCTCCTATTGCATAATGCAAAGGAGAAATGTTCGAGAGAAGTTTTCTAATAGTCGTAACAAAAGTTTATTTGTGTTGAACATGTATTTGCTGAAAAAATTGAATGTAAAAGAAATTTCCAGATAATTTTCCTTCACATTGACAATTCAAGAAAGCAAAAGAAAAAAAAAGAAGAAAAATGAGATTTAAATATAGTGAAAATGACAAGAGTAACATTTAGAATTTCTATATTGTATCTGGGTGGATTTTTGTATCTCCCAACATTTTATAAAATATATATATACATATATATTTAAATGGTATTTTCGACATTTACCCTCACGAAGTGAAAAGTGACTTGTAAATAGCAGAACAAAGACAACAACAAAAAAAAAACCAGAAATATCTAAATTGCTAAATGTTAAAACACTACTAAGCATTAAAGTGGAGAAAAAAGAAGGAGAAGAAGATGAAGAAAACTAGCTGATAAGAGAATGCAGTGGAAGAAGAAAACCAAGTGTTATGTTATTATTGAAATCAGATGAAAGTAAACGAAAGAATGAAAAATAAAATCATTCAGTGAACTTTTAATTCACTCCATTGACCCAAAAACCATCTGCAGACCAAGAAAATCATCAACAATAGCTTCACATTGTGACTCGATAAACTGTTCGCTTTGGTATTTAATCGCGCAAAAGTGACGAAGAACATCTGCAAATTGCAAATTGCTGCTCCATTCTCGCGCGTCAATTGCAGACTCGTTTTGCAATGTTGGGAGTTTCTCTCTGGAACTGAGAGGAAATTTCCATTCTCAACTTGATTTTCATTTGATGACGCCCCCAATGAGTTTTTTCACCTCTGCTCACAACTGGAGGCTGTTTCGGGCTTTCTGGCAAGAAGGCACAGCGCAAAAAAGTAGTTTTTCAGGTCACAACAATCCAAGAAGTTCACTGAGTCGTGGGTTTTTTGAGAACGGTTGACGCGATTTTGGACTTTTTAGCGATAAAGCAGCAATTTTTCAGACAAATTCTGTGCTTCTTTACAGTTTGGTGGCAGAACATTCAGAAATTCTACATTCAATGATGACCCAAAAAAGAGGCATTGGAAAGCCCAAGGGGGAGATAATACAGTCATAAGTGGTGTACAGCTAAGGCAGAAGTACTTAAGGAGTGGATGTGTCGAAAAACCTGTGAAGAATCTCTGAATTTCCTTCGTTTTCACTCAGAAACAAACATAATAATGCTTTTTTCTAGGTTATGTAACAAATTAAGGACAGATTTAGTGAATATTTCACATTCTAGCACATAAAATCTACTAGTCTTTGGCAGAATTAAGCATTTGCAAACAATTAACAGAGCTTTTTTGTCCTTTAATACCAAAAAACACAACAAAATTGAGCTAATATTAATCATTTGGAATTAGAAAATTTCCATTTTTACTCATTGGCAAATCATAAGAGGTGTTTTTATGATCTGAAAATCTTTCAAACTGAATTTTTAAAGCTTTTTTGGTGATATTTTTGAGGTTGGGATCGAAAAAGATGTTCAAAAACAGCGGTTTTTAGTCGATCTTTATAGAAATATCCAATGAAAGCTTTAAAGATTCATTATAAGTTGGGGAATTAATGTGGAAACAGTCTGAAAACTTCATGTTCTAGAATAACATCTTCCCCTTGGGAAATCCACTCTTTCTCATCGCTTTGGGAGCGTCTCTGGGTGACCCAAAAAGGTCGCCTGTCACCCGAAATCCCCGTCCAATTGTCTGATTTATATAATCTGAGCGTCTCCGTGGCTGAATTGAGCGATCACCTTGGGGAGAGGCGAATGATGGCACGGAATTGTGCAAGATCACACCGACAACCGGTCTTTGCGATCCGATACCTGGCGCTGCCCCTACTCTCAGCCGCGATCGCTGGGCTCTCAGAGCTCCGGACGCCAGTCGCCGATGACAAAACCACGGCTCGCCTTGACCAGAACAGCCGTGCGCGCAGCTCCAAAGTGTTGTTGATCAGAGAGTCCGGATCGTGAAGTCATGCAGTTGTGCTGGAAGTTGTGTGCAATCCTGGGCCTCCTGGCCACCCTGGCCAGCGCCAGGCTGGAGGAGGTGTTCCGGTGGAAGGAGATGGAGTACGAGTGGCCGAACGGAGTGGTGCCGAAGGACTACAATGGTCGGCACAATCTGCCGCTTGGCCTGGACGTGTGGCGAAACAAGCTCTTCATCACGGTGCCGCGGTAAGTTAACACATGCGGTGGTTTTGTGAGAAATATTTGAGGAATTCCACCTGTTCTCAGACCATGTAAACACCATCAATCGCATAACTTAAAGTCGAAGGCAGAGAATATTAAATATTGAATGATGTGGAACACATAGAATTACTTCCCAGGTCATCGTCTTTTGGGGGCTGCTTTAAAGAGATTCAGCAAATCTTTTCTCACGATTTAATTTAATCTTATGTGTTGCGCTTCCATAATTTTCAATTCAAGTGCAAATGAGAAGAGATAATTTACAAAAATACAGCAACAAATCACTCTTTTTTCATTCACCTCTGGTTACAAAGTGAGAAAATGTTGCCTTTTTTCGGCTGTTTTTCATCCATTAATTGAAAGATGCTGAAGAATTTACTAGTTTTTGCTTTCTTAATATTTTCTTGTGCCATCAATTAATTACTCCACAGCAATTACATAAATTATCGAGGCGGTCTTTAATGCAAACATCATCATTGACCTTCGTGAATTACATGCTTCACGTTATTCATGTTGAGTCTATTGATTGAATAATCAGATGCCTCGCATAGCTTATCATGTGTGGAGTTTTTGAAAATTATGCGATTGTAAACTCAAATTGGAATGGCAAAATCGCTGTAATTAATTTACATGTTTGGCACTCATCCTGGGCGTTTTCCCATCACAATCAGCGGCACTCAACAGTCCACGTAATTGCTCAACATTGAGATGCACTAATTGGAAATATTTCCACTCATTTGCCTCGTGCAATTTTATAAATATCATACAAATAATTGTGGATATTCTGGTCAACAGTGACACAGTGCAGGGACGCGAAGAGCATGGCAAAAAGCATCGGTTGAATTGAATTTATGCCATGGCCCTCGCGAATTGACGCCTCTCTCCCGATGTTTGGCATAATTTTTTCCACAAAAAAAAAGAAGCTTAATTGAGCATTTCACAATGGCCGGAGTTTGTCAATTCCCTGCTCTGGCACTGGGCGGAATTATCAATCACAACTGCGCGCGGGTCTTTTCGCGCGCATAAAAGACCGGAAAGATATGGAACATGGATTGCAAAATTCAGCACATCATCACCAGAGAATTAATCCGCGAATTTCCCCAAAAATATAATTCGTCACACTTCACATTTGCATGCACGCGACGTTCTCACCTAACGATCTCTCATTCTTCTCTCTTCGTCCCGCTGGAAAACCCCAAAAGCTGGAGAGATGGCGTGGCTTCCTCGCTCAACTACATCGACCTGAACAGTGGCGTGAGTTCCGGGAAATTGCGTCCGTATCCAAATTGGGAGGCGAACACACTACCTGTTGATCATGAACCTTCAGCAACCACCGAAGGGCGTGAGTATAATTCTCCTGAGACAAAACCCAAAGACATGCAACAACTTCCGAGCACTGGCAGACCTTCTGCCCCGAACTTGCACTCCAATATTGCCCACAACACGAAGCTGTTCAATGAGAATCTGTTGGAGCTCTTGAAATGCCTGAATTTACCGAGAAATTCACATCATAAAGCCACACTGTTAAATATTTTTACCACACTTCAGGAGAAATGAAATGACTTTTGAGGCCAAAATCCAGAATTGAATGGCAAAATACAGCGTCAGGGGTGAAAAATTAAATTAATTCCATTATATTTTTCCGCAAATTGACACATTTGCAAATTATTTTACATAAATCAGCCGACAATTTAAAGTTTGTTTGATGAAAAGCTTCCCATGAAGGGGGAAATAATATGGCTAAAATCTGTACTTCATAAATCTTTCCAATCGCCTAAAGTATCATAACCTCAAATTTAGGAGTTTTTGTCCCAAAAACAAGCAATTTTTCCTTTTTTACCCTAAAAAAACTGATAGAAAAACAGTATTATAGAAATATTTGAAGTTTCCAGCGGATATTTTGATATAATTTAATTTTAAATTTCTCTTTAAAATGCATTTTAGAACATAACCTAGAAATTACCTCCAGATATCTGAAAGAATGCTTAAAAGAAACTTATTCGGGATCGATAATGAGCAGAAATTTTCTATTTAAAATTAAAAAATCAACCAAACAGCGCTTAAAATAGACAATTTTGTATCCTGAAATAGTATTTTAGAGGTTATGATCAATCTTAGCACAATTAACACAGTTTTAAACTAAATACTTGTGATTAACAACAGATTTAATTATTATTGTTCTAGTAAATGCTGAAAATACTAGTTTAGGCGCTGGAATGAATGATTTTGGAGATTATTTAGTGGCAAAATTTGTCTTAAATTTATAAAATAACCTAGAAAAATGTAAAGAACGATTCTTTTTCTCCAATTATTGCGTTATTTCCTTTAAAAAAAAATGACTTTCGAACGCATCATATTGAAAATATTGAAACACTTCCACTGAGTTGTACACCACTTCTCACCATAATATCTCCCCCTTGTCATTTTTTACAACAATCACAACTTTTTGAATTTTCAGATAAGTTTTAAAAAACTATCTTTGAAGAATCTAAGACAAACTTGTAAAATTATCAAGATTATGCGTTAAAAAATGATAATTTTATACCAAATACTCTACAAAAATATCTCTTTAAGAGAATTTTAAAACAAGTCTTGAATACTTTGATTTTTCTACCGCAATATCTTATATTACACATAAATCATATATCAGTGATGTTGATTTTCTTAATTACTTGTGACTTTTATTATTATTATTATCTCTGTTTTCATCGACTCACTTATTATTTATGGAGTTTCCCAGAAAGATTGAAAGCGAGCGCGTGGGTTTTAAACATCCAGCTGACAAGAGTAATAAATATTACTATTTTTACACGTGAAAAGCGGTGAGTGCGAAACCGGTGGAAAGATCATTGATTCTGGGGATTTCCTCGCGACAAGCGGAGCAACATAATGAGATTGAGGAGATTTCCGATTCAATTCTGGAGGTGTTTCACTGGGGAATTTCGCATGAGCTGTTTGATCTCCAGAGATGCGATTGAGATAAGATTGTGATGTGGATAAGATGGGCGTGAGATGCACGTGCTTATTACATTTGCCCTTATTAGATAAGTTTTTTGTAATTAGTGTAATTAATGGGTGTTTTCCAGCGCCGCGCGATCGACTGGCGGCCGCATCGCTGCCCAAGGACGTGGAATCTTATCCAGTGAGGAATGATTCCATCATCTCCACGTTCAGGATTCGCGTGGACGAGTGCGACAGATTGTGGGTGGTTGACACGGGATTGGCAGACATTCTGGGCTCTCCCAAACAATTCTCCCCACCGGCGATTGTCATCTTCGACCTGAACACCGACGAGTTGATCAGGAGGTTCGAAATTCCCAGCGCCAGCATCGACGATGACTCCTTCTTCGCCAACGTGATTGTGGACGCGGACAAGACGGACTGCGGCAACAGCTTCGCCTATCTTCCCGATCTCGGCGCCTATGCCGTGATAGTTTACTCCTTCAATGAGAACAGATCGTGGCGCGTGAAGCACAATTACTTCCACTTCGATCCTCTACAGGGCGACTACAACGTGGCCGGCGTGAACTTCCAGTGGACTGACGGGGTGTTCGGGATGGCTGTGGGCAAGCCGCTGCCAGACGGAAGTCGCACGGTGTATTTCCACGCGCTGTCCAGCACCAAGGAGTTCGCCGTGTCCAACAGAGTGCTCCAGAACGAGTCTTACGCCACCGGAGACAGTCACTACCATGACTTTAAACTCCTGGGCGATCGCGGGCAGAACAGCCAGTCCACGGCGGAGTTCTACGACCCAGACACCGAAGTCATCTTCTACACACAAGTGAGTATTTCTCTGGAAAGCGTCGGAAGCTCCGCCCCCTCGAATGCCACGCCCATTTGCATTTCATTGACAAAGAAGCTTCTTATCTAATCTCTCAATTATTCAGGCACAATTTCAAACATTTTACTTAACAATGAATGATTGCAGGTCAACAGAGACGCTATTGGATGTTGGAACACCAACAGAGCGTTCAATCCGGACAATCAAGGCCTCGTGGACTCGGACTCTGAGGCTCTGGTCTTCCCCAATGACCTGAAAGTGGATCCCAGTGGCACTCTTTGGGTGCTCTCTGACCGCATGCCCGCCTTCATCTACAAGCAACTCGATCCGCAGCAGCACAACTTCAGGATCCTCAGGGGAAATACCAAGCAGCTGATCCAGGGAACTCCTTGCGATCCCTGAAGTGTTGGGCAAACAAGTTAAGTACATTTTACTGTCCTGGACAGTTTATGGGTAGAAAATCATTGTTTCTCTAAAAGGAATTTACTTTATCACACCTTGATAATGTCTAGGGAAGTCTTAAGACAAAAACTCTACATGAATTTTAAATACAATAAATCAAAAAGAGAGAGAAAAAGCCTTTTATTTGCCACAAGTCGATGCCAAACACACAATTAAAACGATTAAAACTGTTAAAATCGAATGTAATACACAAAACACGGTTAACTTGGTCTGGGTTTGCTCATCTGCGGATCCTTCATCTGGACGTCCGTCGAGGTGGCGGTGAGGAAGTTCTCGAACAGGATGCTGGAGATCTTGGACATTGTGGTGAAGCGCGAGGACTCGTTCATCCGACGCAGCATCGTCACGACGAACTGCCCGAAGAGCTCCACCTCGGACGGATTCACCCTGACGCCGTCCATGAGGCCCTTCTCGTAGGCACTCCTGTTCGCCATCACTTCCGCCTTCGTCTCAATTGGCACCCGGCTGAGCTCCTCGAGCGTGATCTCGGGCGTCGGCGGCCTCAAGTTCACGTACTCCTCGAAATCCTGCACGTACTTGTTGTACGACGCGTCAGGCGGTTTGATATTGCTGTGCTCGAGATCGTCCAGGTAGTTCCTCAGGCCCAGGATGTTCTTCAGGCGCTCGTCGTTGGAATTATCACTGCCCTCGGCGTTTGATTCCTCTTTCGGTTCTGCGTCCGTCTCCGGAGCCAAATGCTGCAGCTCTTCTGGCAGTTTGTGCTTGAAGCTCTTCTTGGGGAACACTACAGGAGGCAAGAAAGTGTGATTAGTTCTGGGATAAGGAGAGATTTTCCGTGAAATTACTTGCATTCAGAAGAGGAGAGATCACGAATGGACTGATGAGTTGCAGTGATTTGAATAAACTGGAGGATTCAACACTCAATCTTTGTCTCTTCCCAAGGGATAACAGTTATGGGAGGCTTATCAAATCACAGAGAAGAACAATTACTCAATACTTGGCCATGATGTGTACTAAAATCTTCCCTCCTCGACCGTTTCTCTTCAAACCTTATCACTCCAGCGCCCGTGTTCGCCACCAGGTGCCGCGCGCGGGCGACCTTGCGAGCGCTCGCGCGATTGTCGCAGAGTGAAGTGACACCCTTCGTCGCGAACACGCGTGAAAACGTAAATATAAATAATTTGGCGTGATTTGCGCCTCCTCCATGGGCACCATTGACCTGAGAATGTGAAAATCCTGCGTGTCATCTTCCCCTGTTGCGGTGCTGTGTTGTAAAACGTGCGGAGGCGCAGAACTTCTCGGCTGAATTGCGTGTGATATTTCGCGGGGTCACGCCGGTGGATGGCGACCTTTGTGCGGAGATTGCGTGATTTCGGCGCTGTGGACAGATCTTTCTGGGCACACTGGCGCAAGTACCGCTCTGAGATACCCAAACTATCGCCCCACGATGTAGTGACAGCGCCGCGAAGTGGCGAAACGGGCTGTTTTTCTCACACAATCCAACGTCTTCTTTGCAGGTGAACTTGATACTGCGCGCAAATGAGTTCACGAAGGAACTGTCCGGAGGCCCGGTTCGGTACTTTGACTCGAATCAGCTGGCGTCCAACAGTCCCCTGGAGGATGCCCGGACAGAGGCGAGCTGTCTGTACACTTCGGGACTCCTCGTGGGGGTTTTCGACGGACACGGCGGCTCTGCTTGCGCCCAAGTGAGCGAAAGATTAGAGATAAGATATCGCGACGATTCACGTGAGACTGGAATTTCCGACATTCTTCTTCTACTCCCTGTTTCAGGTGTCCTCCAAGAGAATCTTGAGATACATCGCCGCCAGTCTCATCGCGCCCACGGAGCTGCAGAAGCACATGGCCAGGGATGCGAAGAGCTATTCCTTTCTGCAGTGCCACAACGATCGGCTGGAGTTCGTGCCCGAGATCAGAGACATCTACGAGGAGAGCTTCAGTCGCTTCGCCCAGGATCTGATCGCCACGAACGCCAGGACGTCCGTGGAGGACGTGATGGAGCGCGCCGTGATGCGCCTGGACGAGGACATGTCGCGGGAGGCGATTGAGCACACGAGCGTGCGGACTGTGGCTGTCGCGATGTCTGGCTCTGTGGCGTGCGTGGCTCACGTGGACGGATGCCATCTGCACGTGGCCGGGACTGGAGACTGCGGCGCCGTTCTGGGCTCCGTGAATGACACCACAGGCCAGTGGACGGCGCGGAAGCTCACGAACGAGCACAATGCCCAGAACGTGGGCGAAGTGCGGCGCATCCTGGCCGAGCATCCGGCCAGCGAGAGAGACACCGTGATCAGAGTGGATCGGCTGCTGGGCCAGCTGGCTCCGCTGCGCGCCCTCGGCGACTTCCGCTACAAGTGGCCGCGGGACACGCTGCAGAGCGTCGCGGCGCCGCACTACGGCAGCGGCGCCGTGCCGCCGCACTACCACACGCCGCCTTACCTCACCGCGCAGCCGGAGATCAAGTACCACCGGCTGGAGCCGCGCGACAAGTTCCTCGTGCTGGCCACGGACGGCCTGTGGGACGTCCTGACGCCGCTGCAGGTCGTGCGCCTCGTGGGCGAGCACATGAACGGCAAGACCTTCCTGCAGCCCCTCGAGCTGCCCGGCCGCGACATCCGCCTCGGCGAGCTGTCGCAAATGCTGGCGCACCGAAGGTGAGTGGCTCTCGAGATGGCACTCGAGATCAAATCCACACTCAATCGACAGAGATTTAGCCAGATTTAGATTAGATTGAAGACTAAGTGTGATTTTGCAGGACGGGAATACCAAAGAAGCCGACGGACAAGAACTCAGCCACTCACTTGATCCGCAACGCCCTGGGCGGAACTGACTACGGCATCGAGCACTCCAAGATATCCCACATCCTGTCGCTGCCGCCGGACGTGGTGCGCCTGTTCAGGGACGACATCACCGTCACTGTCGTCTACTTCGATCCTGAGTACCTCCAGAGCACTCTCGTGTGATTAGCCGCGCTGCCCGGTTCACTAGTCGTTTGATGGGTGTGCTTAGAGCACTTCTTGTAAATACTTCGCTAGCTTCTAGACTAGGATTTCTTATGGGAAGAACTACAGTGTTATTTATTCTCCGCCGTGTAATAAAGCATCGAATGAATCACTCTTTATCTCTCACTTCCTCCTCCGGCCGTTGCGAGCTGTCCTCTTGGCTCTCTGCAGCTTCTGGCTCTGGATTGACGATGTTGATGGGCAGACGATCGCCCCAGTTGCTCTTCTTCGCGCAATAGTAAGTCATCTTCCCCTGCTTGGCGGCTGTGAAGATGATCTCCTGCAGATTCCCTTCTTTCGTGCACATCCGGCAGATCGCGTGCTTCTTCCGCACCAGCACAGGCCGAACGATCCTGGGCCAGGAGTCCTCTGTCTGCGACAGATCTCGTGGCTTCTTGCGCAGCACAACGTAGCTGTAAGTCTCATTTTGTATCCGATTTTTCTCCATGGCCGCCAAATTCTCGTACTTCACCTCGAAATTGCACGGCGTTCCGTCGTCAGCCACTCTCCGCGGGCAGACGAATTCGTGCGGACAGGGCGAGTGGACGTGACAGTTGTCAGGATCGATCCGCAGCAGGAAGTCTCTCGCTTCGGTGATGAGCGTGAAGCCCGCCTTGGTTCCTCTCTCCACGATCACCATGTAGTGCTCGCACTTCGTCCAGAGCGTCTTCAGCGCCATCAGACGCGCATCCTTGGACGCCAGCTCGAACAGTGTGTACGCACAGATCACGAGATCGTAGGTATTTGTGGCGGAAGCGGGCAAGAACTGCCGGAAGAAGTAATTTCTCACCATCGGCTCTCTGTCAGGATTGCCCTGGCGCAGGATCAGCTCCGCCAGGTCATTCATATCCGCCGAGGTGTCCACCATGAAGTACTCGAAGATATTCTTCTTCGGCCAGACGTCAATCGTGGCCCAGAGAGCGCTTCCCACTCCCGATCCGAAGTCAAAGTAACTTCTTGGGCAGAAATTCGCGTCTCTGTCGCGAATCTCCGTCAAAATCTTCACCATGGCCGCATATTCCGCCGGACTTCTGCCCAGGAGATACTGCAGGGACTTGTATGTGTCGTACTGGATGCTCTTCCAGGAGTAAATCTCCTGTCGAAGACGAGTCTGCACCTTCGAGAACAGCGTGTTGTTGGCTTTGTGTCTCTCCGTCTCTGTCATCTCGGCGAAATTGAACTTGTGCTTGGCAATGAGCAAATCCCGGAACTTCTCCTGCTTCGCCTTGATCTCTGCCGCTGTTGGTGGCGGATGTCTGCTCCAGAGATACTTGTTCAGCGCCTGAGCGTCATTGCGAATGGAGGCGATCGGGAAGTCCTGTGTAACTTTGGGTATTGTCCTCTCGAGAAACTCTGGCATCTTCACAGTCTTCACTTTAATGACTCCGGGATGCTTTCTGGGCTTGAATTCCACCGTCTCCAGCGCCTTGGCCACATTCTCCTCCAGATCAACTGACACTTTTGTGCCGAACTGCAAAGAGAAACTCCTGAATTCCACACGGGAAAAGCCACTCTGGTGTCCTACCTTGGCGGTGCGCCTGAGAAAGAGCGGCGTGAAAGGGAATTTCATGGTAAAAAGTAGATGAGGAAATTCTGCCGAAAAATCACAGGCCGCAAATGCAAAACAAACACATGGCGTTTGACAGTTGCTCAGTTTCTTCGATTGGCCGCTGTTGGCAGCCTTGCGCCAATGTCAATCCGCCATCTTTTACAGTGGCTTTTTTCTTCGAGAATTTCTTCAAGTTTTTGTGACGGGTTTTCACAACGAAATCCCACGTATTTTCTATCCATTTATAGTGCATTGTGTCCCCCAAATCATGAGAAGGGTGAGTAGAGTGTAGTTTTGGTGACATTTCAACTGGAAGTGCGTGAAAAGTGACGGTGAAAATTTCCTTCTGTTGACAGAGAATGTCGTATGATGATGACGAAGATATCGATGCTCTGCGTCTGGCGGCTCTGCAGAGTCTCAACCACACCCGGAAGCCCATCTCAAATCCCATACAAGTGGTGGAGTCCGTGGTGCCGCACCACAAGCTGCGATTCGAGGAGGAGATCTTCAACCGAACGCACCCTGGAGGCCATCCGGAAGCCACTTTCTGCCCAGCCGAGAAGATCAGCGTGTTCAGTGCCTCCGGAACGACCAACGGGCAGTGGCACTCGCCTGCTGAACAGTACGTGCCGCCGTACGTGGCCCCCGGAGCGCCCACAGATGTGCAGCTGTCGCCGCGGAGCGCGGCTTTTGTACAGCAAAACACGTCGATTTTGCGTCGTCGGAAGGGCGACAAGTCGCCCAGCGTCACCCCGCCGCTGTACACCGCCCAGGCGGGTCCCTGGGACCCTGTATCGCCCGTATTCTCCTTCCGCTCGCGCACGCCTTCGCCTCCGTCGCCCAAGCGCTTCTACTCGCGCTCGCCCATTCGCCGGGAGCGCTCCATCTCGCGCTCTCCTCCTCCTGCGGCTGACATCTACCGGCTGCGCCGACGGACGAGATCCAGAAGCCCGCTGGCGAGACGTCAGTCGCCCAGATTCGCAGGACGCAGTCGGAATTCCTCTCCGCGGCCGGTGAGATCGCGAAGACAATCGCCGAGAGGAAGTCCTCCGCTGAGGGCCGCCAGGAAGCCCTCGAGAAGTCCCGTGAGAGTGCTGCGGCATCGCTCGCAATCGCCGCCGGCGTCCAAGCGGACCAAATCGCCGCTGGTGCGGAAACCGCGGAGGCCCAGAGAGGCTCCGGCGGCCAGGAGACGATCACCGGACAGACACGTCGGTGGGAAGTACAAGAACGACAGGAGGCCGAGAAATCCTCCTCGAGAAGTGAAGGAGGAGAAGAAGGCAGCTTCGCCCAGGCCGAGGCGACGCTCAAGGAGTCGAACTCCGCAGGGAGACGCGAAAGTGGCTGAGAAGAAGGCCGAGGAGCAGAAGCTTGAGGTGGAGAGCAGCGGTGATAAGGTTCCGGAGGAGAAGGAGAGGAATCCACCCTCAAGTGGCGAGGAGAAGGAGGAAGTTGAGGATGCGAGTGAGGGAGAAAATGGGGCGGATGAGATTGATCTGTTCGCATCGGAGGAGTCTGAGTCTGAGAATGAGGGACGCTTCAAGTCCAGCAGCAGCAAGAATGAGCGTCCGACGCAGGCGACTGTGTCCTTCTCGAAGCTGGTGACAGAGCCTGTGGCGAGTTTGACGGAACTCAAGGAGTTGCCGGCACTCTCGAGTGTCGCCAGTGCGCCGCGAGAGCGCAGCGACAGGCGGCCGGAGAGGAGTGGCCGGGAGTACAATCGCAGCCACCGGAAGCGCGGCAGGGATCGCAGGAATCCGCGAAGGGAGAGAGACTCAAAGTCCGGAGGCGGAAAGGATGCCGACAAGGATTCCAGATCGAAGTCCAGCACGAGAAATCACGGAGAATCCAACATGAAAATGTTCAAGTCAACATTTCAGGCTGTCGTTGTGAATGACGCGAAGAAGCCATCAGGTGAGTGGATTTATTGGTGGGAGTTTTGATGGTTTCTCAAGTGGAAGTCTTTGCAGATTCCTCTTCTGGTGATGCTTTCAGCGAAAAGGTAGTCAAAGATGTGGACAAAAGGAAGGTTATCCAAATCAAGAGGCCAATATTCAGGGAGACGAAAGGTAAATGCTTTTTCTGTCACTTCAGTGCTTTCTTTGGCATTGTTTTTAACCACTCAAGGTGCTTCAGAATGACAATTTGAGTCTTTTCTGCTGTTAATTGTGCTTTTTTGTTGCATTTTTGATGATATTCTGACCGTCTTTGCAGATAAATCCGAGGCGGATGTGCAGCCAAATGGTCAGACGACGCTGGGAATTGGCGAGGGAAAGGTGAAGAAGTCGATCCACTTGCGCCTGGGCGGCTATGCGACGCCAAACGGAGAGCCGTCGTCATCGCTGAGCAGCGTCCTCGCGACGACGTCGTCCAAGTCCATCAAGAGCAGCAGCAGCAGCAGCAGCAGCTTGGCGAGTGTGAAGAAGTCCTGGAAGACGTCAGAGAAGGTATCAATGAAATATTGCCTAATGATTCTTTCTAGTATTTCCTAAGCAAGTCTCAAGCGCACACAAACAACTCAGCCAAGGGTGAGAGAGAGAGAGGGAGAGATCACTCAAGGAGATCCCACTTTTCCGGTTTTCTCCTCCCTTTTGCCACTGTGTGACCTTCCTTAGTTTTTTTCTTTTTTCGTCCTCTTTATGATTTTTCTTTTTTGCTGTGTCTTGAAGATTCTATAGTCAAATTGAGTGTTTTTTCCTTTCCTTGTTGTTCCACTTAGAATTTTTTATAGTTTATAAGAGACTTTTAATTGTAAGTAGATTTTGAGTCGTAGGATGATCTTTTTCATGAGGAATTCTTTAGGGAAATCATGTGTAAAGAGACTCCAAAAGTGATGAAAAACAGGTACAAAAAGCAAAATATGATGTTGTGATAAATTAAATTGATACCAAAAAATATGCTAATTGATGAGAGACTGTAAATGACTTTTTTTTTTTACTAGGGCCAATTAATTGTAAAAGATTGAGTGATAAACTTGATATATAAAGTTGATTGTATGAGAAAAAATTTATATACTTTTCTAACTCTTGTAAAATTGTTAGATAAAAAAGAGAGAGAAAAAATGGTATTTTTTGTAAAGATTCTTAGGCTTAAGTGTAAAAAAAAACATCATTTGGATGAAGAAGTGCTGTTGTAAAGAATTGCAATGTAGATGATAAGGGAATGCCTAAGAGGAGAATTCTCGTGAGAGAAAGAGAGAGAGAGAGAGAGCGACATTCTCTCGAAAATCTGTGACTAACGGCCGGAGGAAATTGATTTTTATTCTTCTTGGATCAATTCTATTGTCAGGTATAGAGAGAGAGACAGAGAGAATGAACAAAAAGCTATCAAGCTTGAAGCCGAAGGAGGACAAAGACCACAAGACACACACACACTCTCATCGGCTTTCTTGCTAATCTGACTCGCGATCATCAAAGGGATCATCGGAACACACTGGATTTTGTCTCTGCAAGAAGTTACCTGAGGACTAATCGACCAAGAGGGATATTCGGCTGACTCTGATTTTGCCTGCTCGGATGGACAAATTCTCCGTGCTTCACGAGTGTGACAACGCATGTCCTGCACGCCCAACATTGTCTCCTCACTCACGCTGAACGTCCGCCAGACGCTGTCGACGGAATTATTGCCATTATAAGTCAGCATCACACGCAACTCTACTTTTCTTTCTCTGTTCAAACAAAAAAAAATCAATGTATTTTGTATATAATGTGAACTTTTCAACAACAAAAAAAACAAAGATGTACGGCAAAATGTAAAAATAAAAAGATAAAATTTTAATGCTTGTTTTCAACTTGGTTTTCAAGATTATCAGCATTTTTGGACGAAGAATCTTTGGATCAATATGGGAAGTCAATGAAAAGATACTGATTGAAGGGTATAAAGTGTGGCCAGAGTATCCCGATTAATATCCCTGGAGATCTTGTGGCGGGAATGCCACTGTCATGGCGGTCTTCTCCTTCTGACGAGATTCTCGCTGCTAGCATTATTTGACGGTAGAGGCAGCACTGAGGGTGACGCGGAGAAATGAATCTGAGGTGTCTTAATTTAACATCGGCTGTTAAATTCAATCAAATTCGTTCTGTTTCTCCATCTTTGCACTCGATTGTTCCTTATCCTTCTCTTCCTTTAATTTTGTCTTGAAATTCCAATTTGTTAAGTTTTCTCACAATTCTGATTTATTTTCACTACATTCTCTTTCAAAAAAATGCCTATTAAATACAAGAATGTCGCGTTGTCACTCGTCTAAGTACGGAGAGGGAGAGAGAGAGAGAGCTGTGCCGAGCCTACTTGGGCGTCGGCGCCATCTTTCGGCTGAAATACTTCCATGCAAATTCTATCGTCCACGCCGCGCAGCACGTCATGATGCAGAGTGTCTGCGCGTGGATGCAGATCGGATAGCTGTCCGTCATGTCGCGGATGACGCCAATGAGTGGCCCCAGAGCCACCACGAAGATCGCCTTGCCCACCATGTGCCAGCCGAAGGCAGCTGGCAGCTTGTCCAGCGTGCAGTATTCGGAGACCGTGAGCGTGAAGTTGCTCAGCGCGGCGCCCCTGAAGAAGCCCGAGATGGAGAGCCACACGATCAGCTCAGTCCAGCCAGTCTGCTCGGCAATGACTGCAAAGATTACCAACTGTAAAGCTTCCTTCTTCCTGGAGGATTGATTTGCAAGGAACTCACTTGATCGCGTGATGCCCACGAAGAATATGGCCACCATGAAGACGTGCCGCTTCGGGATGATGAGCTTGTCGCAAATTGGCGGCAGGATGACGCGCGCCAGGATGTCCGTGATGGCTGTGACGGACAAGCAGAAGGCCACGTCGGCTTTGGGATAGCCGAGATTGGCGAGGAAGAAGGGCGTGACCATCTTGAAGTTCATCTCGGCCACGTAGAAGATCGACAGGCCGAACAGGATGTTGAGATAGATGCGATCGCGCAGGATGTCCAGATCCATGATGGACGAGAAGCGCTTCCAGAAGCTCTGCTTCTTCGGCTTCAGCATCTGCAGCCCAATCTCAGACTGAATCGTGTTGATTGAGCCAATCTTGGTGGGCTTCGTGAAGGAGTTGAGCGATGACATTCCCACGTGAGTCTTCACGCGCCGAATTACTTCATAGTCAATATCTTCATTGTCATCGTCGCCAGTCTGGAGAGCAATTTGCACAGTGATATATTTATAGTTAGAGTATAAAAAGCCTCCATTTTCTTCCACGCATGTGAAATACAGAAGCTTCATTCACTTCTCATCAGCAAATATTTGCCTTTTCCGGGGGAATAAGAACGCGCGATCTTGTGAGAAACTCGTGATGAAATGGACTGATTCTCTACTTACATTGACGTGGATCTGCAGATAGCTGCCGGCGAAGTCGAGGTGTGAGAGATTAGAGATCACAGATTGCTTCCGCTTGCGGATTTCCATGGTCATCTCCTCATTGGACATGATCCTTGGGAAGGTGGGTCGCTTCACCATGCCGTTGCCGCTGCTCAGCGTCGTGCTCATGGCCATCTCCGAGAAGTTCTTCTTCATCCCATTCACCACGCCCAATCGGCTGATCTTCCTCACTCTCTCCTCGCCCATGTCGTGTGCCGGGAATCTCTTGTTGTCGTACAGGAGCGTCGTGATCTCTGGCATCTCGTCCTCGTCGTCCTCCTGGATGGGCTGGATGGGCTTCACGGTGTCCGGCATGGGCACCATCTCGATGTCCACCTCCTCCTCCTTCAGATGCCACTTCGCCGGCTGCAGCAGCGTGGCGCCCACGACGGCGTGCAGCGCCAGGCCGGACAGCAGCAGAACGGCGCCGCGGAAGCCGAACGTCTCCAGGAGGATTCGCACCAGCTGCGGCATTATCAGCATGCCCAGCGCCGTGCCGGCCATCGAGAGTCCCACAGCCTGTCCGCGGCGCTTCTTGAAGTAGTGATTCAGCGCCACGAAGGCCGCCGAAGTGGCCAAACCAACGCCAATGCCTGGAAATCAATTTGCAGCTGAATTAATAACTCCCATTCCAAGAAATGTGGGTCAAGAGGTCCAAACAGATAAGACGATAGCAAGTCTTTAAGCTCTGCTAGACTCAATTTTAACTGCCAAATATCAAAGCATTGTCACGAGTGTCACGCTCGTCACGCGTGAATGAAAAATTAAGCTCTTCTTCACTCTTGTTTTTTTTCAATATAATTCCATTGGGAGCAGCAATTAAAGGTTGCAACAAGGGCACATTTACAGTGTGATAACGCTGATAAAAGTCTCTTATTGTATCATAAATTCATTAAATACTCCGCAACACTTGTATAATGTCTTGTGGAGAATATATCTTGTCAATTAACATCCAATAAAACTATCGAATTGTAAATTAGCACAATTTCGTTGCGCAAGAATGAACTCATTGTCACGATCAGTGGAAAGTAATTTGCTCTATCGCTTATTTGTGGGTGTTTATGGAATAGAATTAGTGTCTTTTTGGTGTCAATAGACATTAAGTCACTGAAAGTGGGGAGAGAATCAAGGGGGAGACAATATGCCCTAAATCTGTACATCACTTTTGAACACTTCCAAATTTGCCTGACACTTTAATATTCAAATTATAATGAATTTCTTAAGTTTCTATTCGATATTTCGGTAAGAATCGACTTAAGAACGCATTTTTGGACATTTTTTACAAACATAACCTCAAAATATCAATTAAAAGATTTTCAAAAACATAATTTGGAAGCTTTCAAGATCACAAAATTAACTCAAAACTGTTGATTCTGAGTCAAAATTGCCCAAAAAGCTTTCAAAATGAACATTTTTCAAGTCTAAATGAATATTTTTGAGGTTATGTTTGATCTCAATACAATTGGTCCTGTTTCTTGGCGTCTAAGGCTCAGAAAAGCTCTGTTTATTGCATGTAAACGGCGTGAGCGTAAGAATTGATATGCTAGAATTCGAATAATTCACAAAACCTGTCCGTAAATCGTTACATAACCTAGAAAATGACTTTTATTATTGATTTTTGCGTGAAAATCGAAGGAAATCCAAAGAATTGGCTTAATTTGTCAGTAAATTAAGCACTTATGAAAGGAATATTAAAGGTTTTTCAACACTTCCAATTCTTAAGTACTTCCGCTGAGCTGTACACCACTTCTGACTGTGTTATCTCCCCCTTGGTGAGAACAATTGCAGCAAATATGAATTAATAATAATAGACGACAATAGAAAGGCAGGTGGAGTGAAGTTCACGAGAAATCGCGAGTGTCACACAAAAGGAACCTGATAAACTGCGACTATCTCTGCAGGTTATTGATTGGACACTTTATCAGCGGCCGCGAAGTTCTATCAGTGAAAAAAACCTCCCACGAGTTCAAGGGAACATTCTGCAATCCTCGAGGTTTTCGCATTGCGCATGCAAATGGAAGAAGTGCCGATGAAAGAGCATGTCAATGGCCAATGCAATCACGTGAAGCCCATACTAATTGATCAAACTTAATTGTATCCAACTGGAGATCACGTGGAAATCATGATCACATGAGGCATTCTCGTTTTTCAGCATCGCGCATAATTGTCTCCCCATGAATCGCGATGATTCCGCGAATTTATGCCAGAAACGAGATCTTTCAGCGATCTTTGGTCTTTTCGCGCACAAGCTTTGACGATATTCAGACTCACCGTTGATGACGCTGTACGTGGCCAGGATGTGTGGCATGCTGGAGGCCAGGGAGGTGAGAGCGAGTCCCAGGGCGCACAGCAGAGATCCCGCCATGGCGACCTTCCTGTAGGAGAACTCCTTGAGCAAGGGACCCACGAAGAGCCCGGAGAAGTTCATCATGACGTCCAGGGCGCTCATGATGATGGCAGCGCCTGTTGTGCCCACATTCAGATCCCTCAGCAGATCACCGAAGAGCAGCCCAAAAGAGGGCTCGATGGATCTCGTGGCCAGCTTGGGAAAGAGAGCGCGTCCCAAGGAGACATTCATTAAATCTCAATTCACACATCAAGTGACTGAAACAAACAGTTTGTTTGCACGAATAATTGTGAGGACCGTGAGGAAATTTCCTAGAGAAATGGCCAGTTTATTTTTAACTCCACCACGCCGAGACGTGTTCGAGTGCTGGAAATTTTTTACGGCCAACACAAAAATGTGATTTACGATGAAAACACTTCAAGATCATGATCGTCAGCTCATCTCAGAAATGCGCTTCCAATTTGATCGCATGTGAGGCCAAAATGCGGGTGAATTTATTTTGTCAAAGCGACTTTTTGTATACACAAATCGACAGTCTAAGAATATATTTGAGAGATGAGAAGAAAAACTCTCAACACTTTGATAGAAATCTCTCAGAGTGTTTATTGCAAACGCTGAAATTCCGTCTGGGAGATGAAAATTGGAAAATATTTTTAGGCGGCAATATTTCTCGACAGACTTTTAATGCCACGCCGATTCCCATGAAATTTCCGGCAGTAAAATATTCAATTAAATTGTCGTGTGTCTGGGGAATAATTGAATATGACGGGAATGATATTTGCAAGATCATGCGGCGTTTGTGCTTGAGAATGTTACACGACATTTGCAATAAAAATGCATCTTAGAGAAATTATACAGCAATTGAAGCTTAAGCAAGTGTTTAACTGCGACAAGGGGAAGATATTATAGTCACAACTGATGATTTCCAGACACTTCCACAGAATCTGTGCAGAATATTTATCACTTCAGACACTTCTGAACGCCTTAAAAGGTATTTTCCATCGGTTTTCAGACATCTTTGAACAGTTTCTTATCTTTTTTTCCATTTTAAGAGGTTTAAGCTCTGCAAATGCTTAGATTTTAGGTTGTAAAAACTGATCTTAACGTCTTAAAAATTGTGAGATAGTGAATAATGGAGTTGAATGGGCTTAATTTGCCACTTTAAAGCATCGACCGCGGAAAAACCTTCGCAAAGAAATGTTCTTCTTGGTTGAAGTGATATTTTTGAGGTTATGATTGAATTTAAAGCTTTTTGAACTAATTTTAAACACAAAAACTTAAATATACCAAGAAAAAGACAAATTTTTCGAGTTTAAACATACATTTTATGATTTTAGGAGTCTATTTTATTATTAGAATCTGTTAGAAATCAATCACATAACCTATAAAAGCAATAAAATCAATTTTCCAAAGTAAAATATTTATAAAATGCCGCAATTTGTTGAAATAATTGAAAATGAAGCTTTTCCAATGCAAATATTCAAAATATTCTGCTACTTCCAATTCCCAAAACTTCCTCAACAGCTGTACACCACTTCTGACCATAATATCTGCCCCTTGATCTCTAAACAATACAGATTTCAGCCATATTGTCTTCCCCTTGTAGCTGAGAATGCTTCAGATCTGCAGCATTTTGATCGAGACTTTGGTGTTATCTGGAAAAATCTCACTCACTGGAGCTCAACTCTGTCCCGATCGAAGGGCAGACGATGGAGAAATTCACACTTACATTGACGAGACTCACTCCGAACGTCGCCACCCAGCCCCATCCTCCGTCCGGGGCGACTTTGCGGGCGGCGCGCATTTTCTCCAGCTCTCCAGTCTTGTCCATCGCGCACAGAGAATCACAGAAACCGCAAAACTACCTAATTAAAGTGCACCGCATTCGATGCCTATGTGGAAAATCACTTTACAGTCACTTTAAGCACTTTTTCTTCTTCTATGGCAGAGTCGCTGGGCATCAGGAATCCTTCGTCAGCATCGCACTTTGGCGCTCTGTGGGCGATTCCAGGGAGAAAATCTCACTGTGCTGACGCTTTCTAGCCACTGAACACTGTCGTGGCGCAAGTGGAAGTCGCTGCGGTGCCAGAAGATCCATTCTGCAATGGCAAAACAGAGACGAGCGTTAGACTTTCGCAAAATTTCTCAACCAGATGCAAGCGAACGAGCACGAGTCTCGCGATAGTCATGTGAGGCGCTCGCGATTCGTCAGCTGATTCACGAGACTCTCGGCATCTCTTCTGGCGCACAGCGGAAAAACCAGAAAAGTCTGTATTTGCTCGCAAAACTTCTTCTCTTTTATCACAATGAGTGTGGCTAAAAATAATGGCGTGTGCTCCTGACCATCAACAATTCCACATACAAAATTCATTTGCCTCTCAAAACGCTGAGAGATCAAGAGCGGACTTTTGACTCATCAATTTCTTCAAATTAGCACAAACATTTAAGAAAAAAGCCCATTGATCTCTCGCGACTGCAAAATTGTCTATTTGTTGAGTTGATTAATTTGCTAGCGGAAAGTTTTCAGTTCATCATGTGGATAATTATGAGAAACTGCGGTGAATTGACGCCTTTTTGAGTGCTTTTTAAGGCGTTTAAATGATCTGTAAGTGCTGAAATATTTCCACATTTCATGAAATTCACGATTCCACAGCGCCGAATTCACCAAAAAGTCTTTCACAGTTCAATTGGTGACTCCGGGAGTGTTGTTTTCCGTCACATTCATGAGGGTTTTGCCTCTGTGTGCATCGCAGAGGAACAACGAAATACAGGGGAAAAAAATCATTGTCACATTTTCATGGTTCAACGAACAAAGAATGGGGGCTTTTTTCCTCCTTCCAGCCACGATCAATTTCTCAGTCGCTGTGCATTGGCAGAAAGTGAGCAATTGAAGTCACGAGATTGATCGCGCGCGGAGATCAATTGAAATTGTGCGCGGAGAGGCATCAATAGATGTGGAAGCTCAATTGCGCTTGGGTGATGCAATTGAGTGAAAAGTAATTGCACTTTCTAAAAAAAAACACACACACTGCAGATGAATGTATAACATGTTGATAATCTTTGAGTTTCCGTCTTGATTAAAATTTATTACCAACTGTCGCGCGGTGGGGGTAAAAACAATATGATTCACTTTTGCTTTCATTCGACAATTTGTCCGCGCCTTTTTGAATGATTCAAAGGAAAAATGCGAGTATAAATGTGAGGCCAGATAAAACCAGTGCCGAGATGATCTTCCCTCTCTGGCAGAGTCAATTTGTGTGGCTGGCGGAAGGCGTGCGCCACAAAGCTGCTGTTTGTTCGGCGATAAGACATTTGCAAACAAGTGAAAAAAAGGAGGCCGTAAATTCCCTTCCAACGCGAGAGAGGCACCAAGGGGCAGATATTCTGGTGCACAGCTTTGAAAGAAGTGTTTGGAATCGAAAATGGCAAAATATGAAGAATCTTTGCATTGCAAAAGCTCTCATTTCATGAAAATGAGGGATTTTTTACATTGTTTTGCCTAGAAAAATCAATTTGATCGCTGTTTTTTTAGGTTATGAAGATAAAATAACCCTCAAAATCATCTAATTTCTGTTTAAGCTGTGAATTTTTCTCTTTCAGCTTAAAAGTCAGTTTTTAAAAGACAGCTTAAAAGTCAACAATAACCTCAAAAATGTCTCAGAAAATTCTCTTTTTTAGGTTATTTTCACAGTTTGTACTCTAAAAAGGAAGATTCAACTTCATTATTTAATGGAAACATTGTGATATTTGCTACATTTGCTCATTTCCAGGTTTAAAGCCCTGTTTCAGTCGAATTCATAACCTCACAATTTGGTCAAAATTATTTTCGAGCTTTTTCTGAAGATTAAACTAGAAAATCAAGACGGAAAGTCAGATATCAATAAGAGAAGCGATTGAAGGAGTCGACAAAGGGATGAAAAACGCCTCAAAAGTGTCTGAAGCACAGATTCAAGGCACATTATCTCCCCCTTGAGAGGAATTTCAACGGTCAATTTTTGCATCAATTTCATCAATCGCGCAAACACGTGGAATCTTTCTGCAGCGCACAAGAGCGAAAGAATTCGCTTGAGGGTGAAAGCTATTCAATAAACACACTTTTTATCCATCGTCCCAGCAAATGAAAGTTTCCACAGTGAAGATTATCTGCTGGCCAGGCCGGCAAAAAGAAGCCTTCACGTGACGCGATGGTGATTCTCTGGGCGTAAATTTCATTCTCCGACTGATCATCTGATCCAGTGATATTAATAATATTTATATTAAAACATTCACGAAGCGCGCATTTTTTCTCTCTTTTTCGCCCTCAAACGCAATTCGACCAATCTTATCTGAGTGTTTATTTTTTTTTCTTGCACAGTCCTAACGAGAATTGTGTATGATTCAAAATTGTAAGAAATTCACTGTAATCAGCAACATTCTTCAGTGGCAATCAAACACAGCAATTGGCGTTTGCCGTGAAAGGAATGAAGAAAAGGTGAGAAAATCTCTCTGGAAATCACGATGGGCAGAAGTAGAACAATAAACTCATGAGGTGTGGAGAAGAGATAAGATCACGAGAGCCGATCTTTTGGAACACTGTAAAGCCACTTGTTGAGCCTCCAAAGCGCTCGAGTGCGGAGTTTATTGCGGCTCTCCAGAATTCGCGAAATCAAGCATTCACTTCGCCGATAATCACACTGCAACGTCAATAAGACGAATAATGCATTGTTGATTTAGTCCGTTTATTTGAATTCTCAAATTGACGCTAATTTCGCCCGCTTTTGCACGCGCGCACGCGAACGTTGACCGAATAACCTTGTCGATCGGCAGAAAATGATCACACACAACATTTCTCTTTTTGCCTGTCAATTAGAATAAGAATTCCTCTATTCTTCACCACCTGAGCCGCGCGCACTTGTAACCGGAAGCTTATTGTGAATAATAAAATAAATAGAATTGCTACAAATACACAATTTATATGTGAAATTTTTAATTGTAAAAATAGTCTTGTTAAATTTACTCAGCATTTCCGTCATTTCGCAATGAAATATATATCGACGAAAGAAGAGACTTGAGAATGCCAGTGAGGAAATCAGCTGTTGGGCACGTGCTTCTTGGGAGAAATGCGTGTGATGTCATGAGTTGGAACTGGTTGTACACACAATTGAGACCCGGGAGAAGCGCGATCGACCAATACCCCGATTTATCAGACACTCACACACATTTTCCCACTTCTTTTCTTCTTATCTTGCCAAGCGATTGACATGGCTTTTTTTCACTCGGTTTTTTTTTGTCACCGAAAATGCGTTCCAAACTCTTGAGAAGGAGAGAGAAAAATGCGTGATTCGCGCACTTAAGGATTTGGTTTTCTGATGCAATCCAGCGGGAAGTTTTTGGTGCTTCGCCGACTGGATATTCATTTTGGAAGCCAACAAGAGACTCTCGATCGCGAAGAAGCGGCCAAAGCAATTTTATGATCGGCGCGCGGCTGTTTGTGTGCGTTTTCGTGGAATAAAGTGAACTCAATTCCTAAATTCTATTTGAGTCTTTCATCGACCAGGCAATTTCATTCTTTGCGCCTTTTTTTTGCCCTCTAACACACTTCCAAAAGGAATTTAATGGGATCTTCGTCACACTCACCAAATGGCTCAGAGGCAGTGAAGAGGTCTCTTTGTTGCCGTGCAACTCACGCAAACCATTCGAGTTTTATCGCGCGAACCCAAGAAATGATTCAACAAAATCACAGTTTCGGAGATTCACACTCTTTTCTGGCGAAAATTCCCCAAAATGTAAGGAGGCACCTTCTCAGATTTTCAACTGGGGAATTGCAATTGCCAGAGGAAGTCAAGCAGCGTTTTCACTGGAACCTTTGCCGCGCGATACTGATCCGATCCAAATGCTCGAGCCGAGTCGAGGCGCTGAAAATGAATATCTATCGCGGCTGCACACAATGGAAAAGTCAGCTCAACACAGAGCCAACGAGCTCTATGGCCACCAACACGATGAAAGGGGCGACTTGTGGAAAATTTACACGATTTATACAGTTTCAGAGGAACGTCGAGGGGCCCAAAACACCGGGAAGCGCACCTCAATCTCACGTGCTGCCAGCAGAAACACCTGGAATCGCAACCGCAAAGAGGGACAGACACTGGAATGCTCTTTTCGCCGAGCCTGTGAGCATTTTAGGGATGAAATTCGACGGGTGAGTCGCAAATAAGATAGAAAATGAGGAAAAAAGTCAATTTCCAAGAATGCGAGTTGAAAATTTAGCGTTTATAAAGCTGCGAAATTTGCCAAATTCAATTCAAAATCCCTCAAAATGCATTAAAAAATATTTCAGTTGATTTTATTGGTATTTATTGGAATTTTTGACTGAATTTTATACAAAAAAGACGATTTTATCCAAACAAGTTCTAAAAATCAACTTTTCACAATTTTCATTGGCTTTTCTTTAACATTTTCAAGTAAAAAACCTAAAAGATGTGAGAAATATTCACTTAAAATCTTAGATCATTTTAGGATACAATCTCAAATGGCATTTGAGGTGTTTGACTGCAATTTTAAGACAGTTTTTCTAAGAAGAAACTGTTCATAATTTATCATAAAATGCATTGAGAATTATGTTGAAATACGGCGAACTATTTTTCACACATAATCTCAACTGTTTAATTAAGGAACGTTAAACAAGTTCTGGCAAAAACATTTTGATTGCCTAACAAATTAGTATAATTCACATTATTCTTGTTAATTTGATGATGAAGAACAAATAAGAATAGTAATAAATTGTTTTTCTTCCTCTATTTTATCACTGGAAAATTTCTCTCACTTAACAACATGCTAAACAGTTTGATCTCAGGCAAAGGAGAAGTACTTAAAACCTTCTTCTTTTTTGGTGTTATTCAACTCCAAGAAGTGAAAAGAATTGGCGCAAAAACACTTCCAATGCGAAGATCAATTTCGCCTGCCTTTAGGCGCTTCGCATTTGCCATACTTCCAATGACACACATTTTTCAAATCTTCACGTCTTCATATCTCCTTCAGACAATGCGTAGACGCAATAAAAGCAATTAATCCGTCACAAGTTCATGTGTGATAAGATATCAGCACTCGATAAGCAATCCATCGTGGGCGGAGGCAACATAATTATGCTGTCTGTTGACGCTGAGCACCTGGAAAAGTACCACAACAGCGCAATATTGTCAGCCAAGGAATCCCTCCTCATGACTAAGAGCGCGTCTGAGGTGTCTAAGGTCAGCTATTATTGTAGTTTTCCACAGTGTCGCATTATTTTCGGCCAGCGCGAAAATGCCCAGTCGTGAGAAAATGTGAATGTGTTGGCGGAAAAAAATACACTGATTGTCTTTATTGCTCTGTATAACATTGTATATATCCAGCAGATAAGAACTTTTCAAAGCGCGAATCTTATAATTGAGCTGCTTCGAGAGGCACTCAATTAGTTCAGCACAGTTCGTCACGAGGGGAAGCACGCGCTGGTCCCGTCTATTATCGCATTTTTTCCTCTCACAATCTCTGGTCAAACTGATATTCTAAATAGCTCGCGCTCCTCAACTGTGAAAGTGTTAATGAAATGCTGTAAATCAACGTGCATGATCGCGATCGATAAGCCGTGTTCAGTGAGTGAATTTTCCAGTGATAAGATTGCAAGTGAAAAGGCTGACAGACTCGCTGAAGTCATAACAGTTTTATGGTAAATGTTTCCAGAAAGAAATAAATAAATATATTTAAATGTGTGAAGCAAGAATGTTGGAAGATCACTTAGAGGAAAAATCGTTGCACGATTTGTTGCGTCGAAGACCAATTTGTGAAGCCCCATTAAATCTAATGGATCTTTAATATTCAATTCAAGCTAATCACAGAGTTGTGGTTAAAGGAAAAAAAAAACCGACTTCCAAGTAGAACTTTCCAATTGTTCTCACGTTTTTCGAGTGACTCAAGATCATGCAACACTGGCGATGTGAATGCTGGAGGAAAAGGACAAATTCTCCAATGAAATGTCACTGGGGAATGTTTTCCGCTATCAGTTCTAGATTAACTCCCGCTAAAGTGTGTTATTGAGTTTTTCTAGGCGCTTTGAGTGTCTAATAAAGTTAAGAGTGTCTTATTGTTGAGTCATAAATCATTTTTCAGCAATTATATCACGCCTGAAAGAGATGCCAATTTACGCGCATGGCTTAATTGCACCTCTCGTGATTGCGAAGTGTCGTCTGCAGAGTTTTATCACCACACGTTTCACAAGCTCAGAATCCTCAGAATGATCTTCTGTTGACGATTGATCTCCGCTAAAAATCCTCCCTGTGATCTTTGCAGTGCGCGCGCTCGTCAAAATAAACACTTCCATGTGACATCAAAGACGCGCAGAAATCATGGAGACGATCAAGAAGAATGATCAAAAGGCGAAGAAGAAGATCAACAGATCGCAGCTGGGGCCGAACTTTGTTCCAGCCGACGGCGGCTGGGGATGGATTGTGGCAATTGCAGCGGGATTCTCAAATGTAAAGTGTAAACATTCGTGACCTCTGCTGTGCTATCGCGGATTTTCGCGAACACTACACAGAGGTCACTTGACTCCCCATCTCAACTGATAAGGATTCTAAATCTGGTTTCAGCTGTGCGCCCTTCCCGTCCTCCAGCAATTTGGGCTGCTGTTCAGGGAACGCATGTCGGCACTCGAGATCAGCAGCTCGCAGATCACGACGATCATCAACATGAATCAGTGCCTGACGTCGTGTATCGGTGAGTGTCTCTCTCTCCCATCTCGGCGGACTTATCTTGGACTATCTCTCTTTCGTCACCAGGTCTGGCCAATGGGCCTCTCTTCCGGCGCTTTACCTACCGCCAAGTGGCCTATGGCGCGGCACTTGTGATCGTGACGGGCCTCATTCTCACGTCACTCGCGGACTCCTTTATCACATACCTCTTCACGTTCTCAGTGCTCTACGGTGAGTAGCGCTCCAAATGATCCCTAAATTCAATCTTCTCCCCTTCCCAGCGAGCCAAAATAGCTAAGAATAAGGAGTTAATTGAGCTAAGAAGTGCTGAGATTACTGAGCTAAAATTAGAGCAGCACAAAATGTGCTGAGCCGAAGTATTCAGCGATCGCAGCGGATGATCGGCGTCAGCTAATTTTTCATCAATTTTCTTAGCATTCTTCAGAATTTCCCGAATTTTGAGCTTTTTTCTGATAAAAATTAAGCAGGAAAACAAGAAGTCCAACTTTCATGGACTTCCCTTCATTTTTGAAGGGATTTGCAAGGTGCTCTTTATACAATTCACTTGAGTGTTGTAATCGCGAAGTATATTATTGAAATGGCATGGTTTTACTTAATGCGACATCTATGCATTTAAGTGCGCATCACTACTTTGACTGGTTGCCGCTACGTTCGCTAGTGGATCAACCCAATGGCTCCAATTTGAGCGGAATTTAGCACAAAAATCAACTAAATAAAGCGCAACTTTTAAGATTTAGTATTTTGTGCTCTCTGGATCCAATCATGCCTTCTCAAAAGATTTGCAAATACCCTTTTTTCTCTCTCCAGGACTCGGCACTGGCGTGTCAATGTCAGCCAATGCGCTCGCGCTCAACACGTACTTCAGGGAGAAGCGTCGCATGGCCACCAGCTTCTCCTGGACAGTGACTGCCCTGGGGCCCATCGTCTTGCCGCACTTGATCACGTACACCCTCGATGAGTATGGGATTCAAGGTTCCGTATTGATATTTGCGGGCATCGCTTGCCACACATTTGCAACTGCGTCCATTTTTCAGCCTGCGCAGTGGCACAGTCGCACGCCCGGCGGCGACCAGGAAAATTTGCTCCAGAAGACCGCCAAGGATGCCAATGAGGAGTGCGCGTATTGCAAGAGTCTCAAGGCGAGACAGAACGGAGGATTTCCCTACTTGTACAACTCCGACGATCCCAATGTCACGGGATACGAGATCACGGATCCGGGAACGCCAATGTTGGCTCTGGCCAATGACGGATGGTATTCCGGATCGGGCATGAGATCGGCTTATGGCTCGAAGTGGTCGCTGACGTCGCAGAAGACGGGAAAATTGGATGTGGAGTCCAAGAAGACCTCAGCCAAAGCCTCTACACAAAATCTCGTGCTCTCCAGTCGACCTTCTTATGTGAATCTTGGTGAAATGGCCGGAAGACGCGATCGTCGACCCACGAAGCCCATGATTGAGGAGGTTGAGGTGGAGGATTGTCCGAGTCACAAAGCTCCGCAGGATTTGTCGGAAATGGAGAAATCCACAATTCCTCCAACTCCAGCTGTTTTCCTCCAACTGCCAACGTCTGAGGAAGCGAAGTACATTCGAGACAACTACAGTCTTCGATCTCTGAGGAATCCACCTGAATTCGATCGTCGCCGGAAGTCCAACACTTTCAGTGTGGAAAAGGAGGTGCTGAAGGAAGCCTCCCGGCGTCTTGAGATCTATCTGAATGACGGCAGGAAGAAGAGCGCAGGCGGAGACAAGTGCACCTGCGAGAAGGGCATCAAGACGCCAAACAACAGCCTGAAAGATGAACCGATGGAGTGCAATGACAAGGATGAGGAGGAGATTGACGAGAAGAAGTTCACACTTATGCAGAAGATTGTGATTTTCTTCGATCTGGACTTACTCAAAGACTTCACTTATGTCAATCTCATGGTTGGCATCACAGTGGCTAATTTCGCGGAGATCAACTTTAGCATCCTTACGCCGTTTATCCTGGGAGACTTTGGCTACAGCAAGAAGGAGACGGCCTTGCTGATGTCCTTGCTGGCTGGAATGGACATCGGAGTGAGATTCTTCATCCCATTCGTGGCGGGAAGAATTGGATGGGACAACAAGACTTTCTTCCTCTTTGGAGTCCTGGGAATGGCCATGGGAAGAGTAGGTGAGTTGAGAGAAGGACATGAGTTGAGCGGACATAATTTCTCCACTTTTTACTAGTCTTGGCGCATTTTCAATCCTTCTGGATTGTTGTGGCGGTTTTCTGCTGCATTGGACTGGGAAAAGGACTCAGGACTGTCTTCATGGCGCTCGTATTACCAAGCTACGTTCCTCTGGATCGACTTCCTGCCGCCACAGGACTGCAACTGCTGTTCGCAGGGATATTTTACTTCGCCGTCGGACCATTAGTCGGTAAGATCTTTAACAATTCTTCACACTTTCTCAGAAATTGTCAATGAATTTCCTGGATTCACAGGTTTGATAAGGGACGCCACTGACTTCCCCACAACTCTTCACTGCCTCAATGTCGCCACGTACTTAACAGCACTGTCCTGGGGATTCGAGAAGTACCTGCAATGGCGCCGGGAGAGACTCAAGAAGCGCCAACTCGAGAGTGATAGTTAGGATATTTCTCGCGGTCTGTGATCACTGGAAAAGACTTGTAGGAAAAGAGTGGACATTCTGTGAGATAGTTTTAAGTCTGTAGATGTGCAATAAAATCTTAATGCGTTTCTGTCGTCACGCACGTGTTTTCTTAATGGTGATGCAGCAAATATTTCAATGACAATTCGCGCGATGCGACAACCCACAGAAAATGCAATTAACTTCCCCTTCCAGTATTTGATAGTTTGTGGGTGAAGAAGTGGCAAACAGAGATTCGATTTCCACACACTCACGATTCACCCATTCACTGATAAATTTATCAGCTTTTTTCGGGTTCCCTGGGCAGCAGTGATAGCACACCGGAGGCTCTATCGCGCGTTTAATCATAGAAAATCTATCGAGAAGTCAACTCGCACTGTGATTAAGTCAGCACCTGACCTGATCGTTCTCCTGGTGTAAAATGCGTGATTTCTGTACTCCCTGAAGCTCTTCCTTGTGTGTTTCTTCTCTGGTGGATAGAATGGGCGTGAGGGAGCAAGTGATAGTGGAAGAGGCGGAAGAGTCCGTCGAGAAGGAGGAGATCAAGAAGATTCCTCCCGATGGCGGTTGGGGATTCGTGGTGGTCATTGCGTACGGACTGGCGAATGTGAGTAAATAGAGTGACCCAATTACTAATCGAAAAATTCCAATAAAGCCCTTGACCTCCAGCGCGATATAAATCCTCCTGACAATTGACGAATTGTCTTTCATTTATCTACGATAACTCCTTATCGTTCCTCCCTCGGCGGTATCTCGATCGATTGCAATGTGGCTCAAGCGCGAGATTATCGCACATTGCAAGATAAAGTGAGCGCCAGAAAGTGATTTGTTGCTCCTCACGCAGGGCATTGTGATTCCGGTGCTGCAGAGCTTCGGCCTGATCTACAATGATCAGTTCAAGGCGATGCAGCTGACCGCAACCGACTCAGCCCTGATCGTCAATGTGGCGTCCGCGGTGGGAATGGGCATGGGCCTCTTCAATGGGCCACTGCTGCGGATTTATGGCTACAGGAAAGTGAGCGTGGCGTCTGGAGTATTCTTCTCCGTTGGACTCATTCTCACCTCGTGGGCCTCAACTTTCACTCACTTCATCATCACCTACAGTATTCTAACAGGTAAAGAGAGACAGAGACTCAATGACTTCACTGTGATTCCCCGCGAAATCTTCCTTTTTCAGCCATCGGCTTCGGGATGGCCACTTCGGGATTCTCCCTCGCGCTCAACTCGTACTTCGTGGCGCGGAGGAATAAGGCTGTGGGCATCGCGATCACCCTCACAGGCCTCGGGCCGATATTGTTTCCTCAGCTGGTGTCACTGCTCCTTGCCAATTATGGCGTTCAGGGAACTGTTCTGATCATCGGCGCTGTCTCTCTCCACATCGTCTTGGCGGGATTGCTTCTGCAGCCCATCGAATGGCACATGATTGAGGGGAAATCCACTCACAGTCGTCCTGAAGAGAAGGAGAAAATCCCCAGAGAAATAGAAATGCAGGAGCGTCCAAGAATGGCTGCAACATCAGACAGTCTGCCAAGAAAGACTCCGGAAAAGATAGAAGAACTCTGGGAATTCCCATCGGACGATGAGCAAATGTACCTGGAGTATCCCTACAGAAGGATCTCCATTGATCACAATGCAGACACGCAAAGTATTTACGGCTTTGAAGTCATTCCCATGAAGATCGACTGCACATTGTGCTCGCGAAGTCCTGGCGTTCCTCCGGTGAGGAAATGCGCCACTTTCACCGATCTCGAGCGTGTGAGGAGCGACATGGGAAGTCCTCCGCCGTCTCCTGGACCACTCAGTGCCATTCCCAAGAAGCGCTGGTTCGAAACCGGCTCCCTGGACACGGTGAATCTCGGCAGTTCCGTGAAGATATTCGACGAGAAGTTCCACGAGTTGAAAGATCCGCGCCGGAGTCATCCTGGCAGTCGCCGGAGCAGCTTCATGAAGATGTCAGGTGTGACAGAGGAGGAGGAACAAGAGGGGCTGGTGAATGGGAAGGGACAAGGGACGAAGCAGCCACTGAACAGATCCATGAGCACTGAGAGCTACTATGCAAATCTGCCCGTCCGGAAGCCAGCGAAGAAAGTCTTCCGGCAGTATTTGCGTCGCGTGGTGAAGTTCTTCGATCTGGATCTGCTCAAGGATCCCATCTATGTCAATCTGATGCTGGGCATGTCCGTGGCAATCTTCGCAGAACTCAACTTCTCCCTCTTCACACCCTTCATTCTGGCCGACATGGACTTCAACACTGACCAGATCGCCGCTGTTATGACTCTGCTGGGCATCGCCGATCTCGTCTTCCGCTTCCTGGCGCCCTTCATCGGGGACTACTTCCATCAGTCCGCGCGACGAATGTACGTTTACAGCCTCGTGTTGCTGATCATCGGACGGTCAATGGTTCCCTTCGCACACACGTACTTCTGGATGCTGGGCGTTGGCTTCTTCCTGGGCGTGGCCAAGGGCGTGCGATCGGTCTACATGAGCCTGGTCATTCCCAGTTACATCAGCATCGAGAGATTGGCCTCAGCGTCGGGCATTCAGATGGTGACAAATGGCATTCTCCTGCTCACATTCGGACCTTTGATGGGTGAGTCACTTCGCAGACAATCTCTCAATTGGCTTCTCACTGCTTCCCATCCTTTCAGGCATCATCAGAGACGTTTCCGGGAGCTACGTTCACTGCATCATCTTCATCAATCTCGTGACCGCCACAACGCTAATCATGTGGGCAATTGAGATGATCTACCTTAAACACCGCAAAACGCCCGCCTCAGCGGCCTCCAATTCCAGCCAGAAGAATGGGAAGCAATAAGTCTTCCGACGTAGATTTGATGGCACACAAACTACTCCTCACAATGGCCATGGGAGACAACATTATTTCCCAAGTGTGGCGGCAAGAAAATTCTCAGTGAATTTCTCCGCGGCGAGAAAGTCAAGCGAAAAAGTGACTTATGAAAATCAATGAAAGCCCAACAATGCCAAAGAAGAGTCTTGTGTGCGTAGTAAAGTAAGTCAGGAAAATTGATTTATTTCCCATCACAATAATCTCTCTCTTTCTCTCTTTCTTGTGCCTGATTGAGTGATTTGCCAGTGGCTTCTTTTTCTTAAATGGTTTTGCTGTGTGCGATGATGTTGGGAAGAGTGATGATGATCATGAGAGAAATAAAGGTGTATTTTTAATTGCTGAGTTACACATTTTTCTTGTTATTATTGTCTTTCCTCCTTCGTCAATTATATACCTCTTTACACACATTGTCTTAAATGCCGCGCACTTAAATTATACTGCGCCATCGCGCGTTCCTCTTTTCTCCATCGAAATTGCATTTTATATGTACAAACACACATCAAATTCAATTGGAAAATGATCTCCGCAAGAAGATATACACAAAGTAATGCTCTCGCGCGGGATTATTCAATTTGAGAGAAATTGAAATAAACATATACACATGATTGTGGGAAGTTTTTGCCCAGGTGAGAGACAGTGTCGCGCACGCACTGAGGAAAATTACACTCTCTTTCCTCGCTGTGCCCGAAACAAAGACTGCGCGAAATCATCAACTTCAGTCGGGCTCAGATGCTTATGGTTTGAGCAAAATGAGGAATGTGCGAATGTTATGCTTTACAAAAGTTAATGAAGACGCGCATTGTTGCTTGTCGCCATCATGTTGCAGTGTACTTTGAGACTGAGATTATCCTAAAGTATTATTTTACTCTTATTCTACACATTAACAATAATCACCTCCTTTTCTGCCGCCTCTCGAATTAACTTATTGCCAAGGGAGAGATAATATGCCCTAAATCTGTACACCACTTCTGAACACTTCCACTTCCATGCGATATTTCCGCAAGAATCGACTTAAGAACGCATTTTTGGACATCTTTTCCGACCATAACCTCAAAAGTATCTAAAAGATCTTCAAAAACTCTGTTTCGAAGCATTCTAGATCACAAAATGAACTTAAAACTGCTGATTCAGAGTCAAAATTGTCTAAAATGCTTTTTAAAAGAACATTTTCCAAATTTAAATGACTATTTTTGAGGTTATGTTCCTATTTCAATACAATTTGCAGTGTTTCTTGTGTAATAAATATTGTAAATGCTTTTTGGTGATTTTTCTATATTGAGCAAAAGAATTGATGTGCTAGAATGCGAATTATTCACTAAATCTGTCCTTGATTCGTTACATAACCTAGAAAAAAGATTTTTCTGATGGATTCTGCGTGAAAATCGAAGGAAATCCAAAGAATTGGCGCAATTTGTCAGTAAAATAAGCACTCACGAAAGAAAAAATTGTAAGCTTTTGAACACTTCCACTTCTTAAGCACTTCTGCTGATCTGTACACCACTTCTGACTGTATTATCTCCCCCTTGCTTATTACTTATAGAAAGATTGTTCCATATTTTCCTATCAAGTTCATATTGCAAGAATTTTTTGTCACTTTTATCAGTCTCCCAATTATTTTTCTCTTTCACTCTCTTTATATCAATTGTCTTCTGGGCTCTATCGAGCGTCTCTCCTGTCCAGGATGTTCTCTGTGAACTTCTTCCTGCTCGGCGATGGTGTGATTATTGTGATTTTCTGCAAGAATTTGCGGAACTTAGAAGTCATCAACTGATCCTCATCACATCGATCACTCACCCTCGAGGACACTTCGTCCTGCTCCTCTGAAGACACATTCACGAACGGCGAATCGGCCAATTTGCCAAACAACTCGGGCACGTACGGCGTCGGCTGACTCTGAAGACTATTAACTGGTTTTTTGAAGAGAGAGAGAAAAGAGGCGATCAATTAACAGTGAGAAAATACACCTCATTTTATTGAGTGAAATTCTATGCAAGTTTTGCTCCCAACAATCGCCCAAGGCACTTCGATGGATTTTCACCCGAAAACAGACTCACGGATTAAGGCCTCTTTCTACTCGGAACGATCTATTGAAGGCATTCACACGATCGACATTCGAAAGAGCGGTGATTAAGCCAAATAGCCTCTTATCTCAATCGCGATATCGGATTTTTCTTTCATGAGTCTCATGCTGAGAAGGGCTAAAGATCTACTCTACTCAGTGCAGGTGAACAGAAGTGCTGGCAAAAGCCTCTGAACCTGATTGCGAGAGCGTCAATCCCAAGATGTAGGACGTACTTCCTGCTGATGAGGCGCCGGGCGTCGGCCGGCTGCCCAGATTGAAGCGCGGCGACTTGAAGCCCGCCGGCTCCTGGCGCGCCGGCTGCGGCGTCACCACGTAGATCTTCTCCTGCGTGAGCGGAGAGATGGCCACCTTGAGATGTCCCCACAGCGGCGGATTGATCTCCGTCTTGTAGTCCTCGTCGTGCTGCACCTCGTTGTCCTCGATGGCCTCCGTGGCTTGCCTGATGACCTCATCCGCCGAGCTCTCGTCAGACTGCGGGAGCTCGTAAGAGGTCGCGTCGTAGTCCAGGGTGGTTTCCAGGGTGGTGGTCTGGTAGTACAGCTCGTCCATCGATGGCGTTGTGAGATACTCATCGGGGATCTTCTTCGATGGCGCCAGGAGGGAGATTGTGCTGGCCTTGTGAGGCTCAGCGGCGAATTCCTGCTCCGTCCAGTCGTCAATGTTCTTCTGCAGAGTCACCAGATCGAAGGGCAGTGGCGAGATCTTTGCCACGTCTTTCTCATTCCTCAGCAGCTCGCGAATGTTAATTGTGGGCTTCACGATTCTGCTGAGGAAGCGCGTGGTTTTGTGCGAGGGCGTCTGAGTGGCTGTGATGTACTGCGTCTCCTCCTCGGCATGGAACTCCTGGCCATTGTGGGCATTGGACCACTTGCTGAAGTCCCGCAGCGAGGGAATCTTGATTTCACCCTCTCGGATGAAGTCATCAGCCGTTTTGAAGGGTTGAGGGTGGTTATTGGACGTGTAGGGAATGATGATCTGGATCTGCTTCGGCCTCTTCGTGATCAGATTGATACTGTCCACAGGCAGTGGCGGCGGAGGAGGCTCCAGACCAGATTTGGCCCCGCTCGCCTCAACCGAGGACGACGTTGGCCTCAGAGGTTCTCTGTACGGAGAGAATGTCGTCCATGGAGTGGTTGTGGGCAGCCAGGGAGTGTGATCTGGCCTCTGCGACACCCTCAAATCGCTGGGATCTCGCGTGAAGGGCTTCGGAGGATTCCCACTCTTGATGGCATGGAATATGGGCGAGTCCAGGAGATTCTTCGGCGTATCTCGGTCCTTCTTCAACGGGATTCTCTTCCCACTCTCCGAGGCAGCTTGAATCACAGCCCGCACATCGTCTTCGGTGAAATTGAAGGTCTCCGGCGGCGCCACAACCACTGTTTCCCGCGTGTCCAGGAAGTTGTCGTAGTTGTCAAAGTTGTCCTGCTGCACGGTGATGTTGTGAGAGGAAGCTGCTGTGTAGCTGTCCGTGCTCTCTTCGTGATCCACGATAATCGGCTGGGAGATGTACTTCTGGTTCGAGGGCGCCACCAACTCAACAATCGGCGAGCTGACTTCCACAACCTCCGGAGGAATTGTGGTGAGAATCGCAGGTTGTACAGACTGGACCGGCTGAACCATGGGATTCGGGAAGCTGACAGAAGATGTGAACTGCACCAGCGGAATGCTCTTGATGATCTCGAAGTCCGTCTGCAGATCGTTGTAGTGCTCCTTGGAGACAAGTCTCTGTCCTGGAGACATTGTGGGCGCGAATGTCTCAACCTGCGACTGAGGATCGAAGCTTGTGGTGGGATCTGCTCCAGTTGGGAACCTCGCAGCTGGGCGAGGGTAGTGATATCCTCCGGTGTTCTGTGCAGGAGGAAGATACAGTCTGTTCCCACCAGGATTGTTGGGCTTCTCCACATTTGTCCCAATGATGATGTTGGTGATCTTGGCGGCTCCTGTGCCATCTGTAACTGCAGATTGCCAGGATTAGCATTCGAAGTGAGAAAGAGAAAAGGAGCTTACCTTTGCCGGATGAGAATGGTTTGTAGTCGTAGAGAGGCGGAATGGGCGTGACGCTCAAGTTAGGCACTGGAATGGGCACCAGCTGGTGCTGCCTCTGGTCCTGTATGGGCAGGAGCTGACGCGGAGGCAGGTACTCGGGACTCGTGACTCCTGCCACCGCTGGAGGAGGCGTGAACCTAGGATCGGCCTGCAAATTCACTTGCTGCGACCACACCGGAGCCACCGGAGCCTGCTGCTTGGCCGGCGGCAGATAGGCGTTCTGCAGGGGCGCCGGATGGTAGTTGTAGGGCGCCTGCTGCTGCTCCTGCACCTTGTCCGGCCGGTTCACCGGGATCTCGGCGCCATTGTACATTGGCACCCATGGCATTTTGTTGCACGGGAAGTACTCAGGCCCGCTCACCGGCTGCTGCTGTACTTGGGGCGCGTGCGAGAGCGCGGGGAGCGCGTGAGAGTGCGCGGGAACCGTGTAGGAGTTCACCGGATAAGCGGTCTGCACGGAGGCGTCCGAGGAGACTTGCGAGGATCGCTCGGTGTTGCGATACTTCGCGGGAGGAACCTGAGTCTGCACTGGCTGGGGCGCCAGGGGGCGTTTGGTGTAGCCGAAGCCGAAGAAGCTGGCGATGCGCTGCAGGAAGGACGGCTCAATCTGGCGCTGTGGCAGCTGGCCAGGTGCAAAGTGGCCGGGAATCTGCAGTGGCGGCGGCTGGAGGTTGTCTGGCGGGCCGGGAGCGTATCGCGGGGACGATGCTGTGTCTGGTGCTGGAGTTCCGGCTGCCAGTGCGACTGACAGTGCGCCCAGAAAGACCAGACTCGTTGCCACATGCCTCCAATTGATAAGCTGCAGAGGAGAAAGAAAGGCCTATAAATCACACCGACTAAGATAAATCACTGAATTAATTTCCAGATGGCTTGAAGAAATCACCAAAGCCACTTCTTGGAAGAGAAATTGTCACACACCCATAAATTGATACAATTCAACAATATAATCTTGAGACATTTTCGCTCAATTCTATGTGCGTTTTTCCCGCCAAAATTCCACATCTCTCGCGGCATTTCCGCCACTTATCGATGATGCGGCTAATTGGTAATTTTGCCCGCTGATATCGTAAATAAAAGTGATATTCCACAGCAGACGCTATGTGTATGGAAAACAGCCTCGGATGTAGGAGACTAGGTCGCAAAGAGAGTCTCGCGAGTGTGAGAAATTCCCGAGCAAACACCACAACATACAATGTCTTGATACAGTCGATGGGGAAATATTGTTTCATTGAGTCGAGGAGAGATCATTGAATTCATTTAACTCTTCTCACTCGCGAGGAATTATTTATTAATTTCCTCCCGCTCTTCAGAAGCACTCTCACAATTGGAGAGAAGCATGAAATTCCCAATTTTTCTGATCGTTCACGAGAGAATTCAACAGAATCTCTTCGATCTGAAGAGATTCACCGGCAAGTCTTCAAGAGCACACAACCAACCTTGACTGTGATCTTGGAGGCATTTTAATTTCACTCTCACACTCATTCTGGCGCGTCCACAAGAAGTGTTAAGTGCCAAGGCAATCTCCGGAGAATGGAGATGCGATTCGTTCTGGAACGAAGACCTCCAGCGGCGACTTCCCATGCGAAATCACATCACAAAACCAGAGCAAAAGCCCCGCGAGAGATGCTCAAGAGAATGACTCAATTGCCAGTCTTGTTGAATACAATGGAAAGTGTAATTGGGAGTGTCGGTGGATATCATACAATCCACGGATGAATCAGAGAGGATTTATCGAATCTCCGTGGGTATTTTGGTGCGAAAAAAAAACACCAATTTGTCCATCAATCAAGAGCCACCATAATAGTGAGACTTTTGGACTGGTTTATTGGAGGAAAGTTTAAGATTATTTTGGTAATAGACAAGAGAGATAGTGTCGCGAAATGACATTTTTATGGAAATTACTTTCGCCACTCCAATTGAGGCTTTTCGGAGGATTTTTCCCCTCAAAAAAGAACGTGCGGTAAAAGCTTGCTTATATAGCCAATTGAACGGAATCATGTAAATACTTCACACACTCATGGCTAAATTCATAAAGTATTAAAAATCAATTTCCGATCAGCCACACTAAACGATTTCATAACCAATTTTGATAATTAGGCACAGAGTGTTATCAAATCCACGATGGAAAGCGGAAGAGCGCGCGCTTCCACAGAGATTGGACAATTGTGAGCATAAAATTGATGTCAAAGAGCTTCTCCTCAGGCCAGTTATCATGCATAAATCTCATTGTCCCTCAACTATAATTCATAAATTAGCCTCACTGAGTGGCACAAAATTTCACGAGCGTGCGGAAAAAGACGACATTTTTAGGATGTTATAAATAAGATCACGATAAACACCATTTTTTTTTCAGAGACAATATTCCCATCATTATGCAAATGACGCACCTCTTCGCTGGCTTAACACCTCTTGGCAAAGTGGAAGGAGGATTATTGGTTTTTCAGGCTGTGTTGATCAAGTGAAGATTCACCGAAGGAAAGCGAAATGAGATGGAATAAATTAATAAATCGTGTATAAAATTGACATGAGCTACAGGTGAGAGATTTGCATACACCTTTTTCCACATCGCGCAATGGCTTTTCTTGCGCGTGGCTTTCGCTCGCGATTAATTACAATTTATGGACATCCAATTGGTGGTGAACAATTAATCAGTGCGGGTTTTTTTTTGTCTTTCTTCGATTGCTGAGTGAATTTGTCGCGGTTTCATCAAATACTGTTTGCCCTTCTCACAGTCAATCTTATCTTTTCTTTGGCATTTTCACCCAATTATGAGGAGAAGGAATGATGTGTGATGTGGCGGAAATGCTGTTATTGTTTTTACTGCAAACACACTCACACCTCAGAATCTTCAATATATGGGAATTCAATGAGTGAAATTTTCTCGTGAAGTCTTTTTCTAACATCAAACACACCTTCCACGGCGCGCGCAATTCCGAGCGTCTTGGCGTGGTAAAAAAAAAAAGAAGACTACAAAATTGCCAGTTGGTGGATTTGCAAGAGAGGCCAGGAAAAGCGAGAATCATCTTTTTAACCTTGTTTTGTCGGCCGCGTGCAATTTCATGTGATAATTTTTGATTTGATGTTTGATTAATGAGAAAATCCCATTCAAAGCGTGTGTGTGTGGACTTATTTCTCAAAGCAATGGATGGCAAACAGAATGTTTCTCTTAATTTAATTGTTCAATTGAACGTGCGGCCGGAGCAAGAAGTCGATTGGTATTTGATTAACAGCGCGATTCTTCTAATCGACACTCAATCAATCAAGCCACTGTGGACTTGTAGGCTGTGCTGGTCGAGAGAAAAGTAATCAATCTCCGAGAAATTCATCACAAAAGGCCTTCATTGTTGAAGAAAACTCATTAGATATTTCAATTTTGTCTCACTCCAATTTTTCATGCTAATCAACTTGGGCGCGTGTGTAAATTGAAAATGCCCAAAATTACAAATCCTCCCTCAGAAAAATTTCACATCAGCCCGGCCGGAACGCGGGTCAAGCATCATCTCGCGCGGGTTTTGGATCAATTGGGAGCAGATTTAATGAGCAATTGACTTACAATTTTTCATGAGATCCGGCAAGAGTGTCTCCGGAGATACAAATTCTGGTCCTCTTGTGTGAGAGATCAAATTAAAGTGAATTTTATTGCAAGTTCGCGATGAAAGTCTCTCTCTTTCTCTCTCTCCTAAAAGTTGTAATTAAATTGAACACGGATTTTCGTATGGAGAGTCAAATTTGTGTGAAGAATTCAGTGAACGTGACATTTCAACAAACTGGATACAATTTCTTTTACTGCTTCTGGCTTTTCTTCAACTGTTGCACAAAAAAAATTGTGCGCCGATTTAATATGATATTGGCGCGAGTTGTGAGCTTATCATTTGGCTGCCTTTTTTGGCCAAGATTGTGTGACTTGTTAGGCTGGCTGAAGTGAAATTAATGTGATGCATTGGTGGCTCTTCTTCTTCTTGGAGATTTCTCCTTCAGTCGCTAGACAAAGACGCCGAGAGACAGTGTGATGCACCTGATTTTATAATACAATAATTTTCACATGGCGCAAACAATGAGATACAAGTAAATTTAATGGTGTTTTAGGGTCTCTTCTTCTTCTTCTCTCGCTCTTGGGAGGAAATCGCGGACGTTGGGAGAAATTTTGGACACTCCTAATCGTCCTCATGGCGCATCCTGTGACTCCTAATTGCCTTCGTGTGCCACGAAAATGACATTTTCAACAGGTGGCGGAGGAAAAGTGCGCCGCTGGGAGAAAGAACTTTCTCAATCGATGCGGAGTATTTATGAATTTAATTATATTTGCCCAGAAGAGAAGCCAAAGACACGCACTTTTCGAGCCACCAACATATCAGCGAAGACGACGAAGATAATCTGATCCAATCAACGAGAAATCGAATTAATTTCACCGGCATTTACATAAATATGTGCATCAGCGCTAAAATTGTCTCTTTCTCAGCGCGAGAGAGTGAAAAGTGGATCAAAGTTGGAGGACATACCATTGTATATATAGTTTTGTTTTGCTATGTTTATTCCTAAAAGATGCTGCTTTGCTCCTTCTTCGCGCTGGCCTTCTTGCACTGTTCTCACTGTTCACCCAATCACTCTCTGCCTCATCACGAGATCATCACACATTGTCAAGTTGATCCTTTGCTTAATCCTGATGCGAGGATTGTCCTGAGCTCCTCTCTCTCGCTCGCACTCACTTTACCATTGTTGGTTGGCAATCGAGTTAGATTTTTGAAATCCCAACGACTTAAAGCGATCTTTTCGCACCTTTTTGCTGAAGAAAATCACAGAAAAAAAAACACTCGAAAATTGCACGAAACGCCTCAATTGAGCCACTCACGGACAGACAGTGAAAGAGTGGACCGACGCGACCGACACACGACGCAGAAGTAAAATGATGAGAAGACTTTTATCGCTTTATACCTCACTGACCCATTTCCAATCCACTTCTACTCTTCTTTGAGACGGCGAAGTTCGTGCGTCGATCGCTGCCTCATGGCAACTGCACGATGCCATCGAGACAGGGCTAATATGGCCATTTTTTCCCGACACTCGCGCTAAACTTCACTTTTTTCCTCCACTAACTTTTCCCTCTGTCATTTACTTTCTCACCTGGAGATTTACGGCCGCGGCGGGCTGAGGAATTGTGGCCCCCGTGGAATGCGTTCTGCCGCGAGGAGTGCGCGACAACAGACAATTTATGCATGGAACAATGACCAACAAATAGATGATTGTTTAGGAAAAGATCACCCTGAGAATTGTCCCATGCCGAGAGATGTCTTGTTCGACGAAATTACCGGGAATAAATTAAAATCACATCTAAAGTCATTTGGAGACTCTCAGCAGTTTTCTGTGGAAGGAATTCTCTCTCTCGAGAGAGAGATTTACCGAGAAGTCTTCGCGCTTGCTTAAGATACTCAAAGAATTGATTCAGTCCATCAACTATCTCTGGCACTGAAGAGAATGCTTAAAGGGACAGCAAGGGGGATATTAAGTCAATCTAAGGCATAAAGCTTCTTATATTGTAGGTTTGAAATACGTTAATTTCATAGGCCAAAAAGTATTTCTTCCTCTCTGAATTGTACATCACTTTCCCACTGTATAATATCTCCCCCTTGAGGGACAGAAGATCGGGTTCTTTAATAGAAATTCAACATTAATTAAACAATTGATTCTGTCTTCATTTGCCTTCCAACGCATCCTAAGGTGAAGTGCTTTTACGACGTAAGATTTCGCTCTCAACATCTGCTTATAAATCATCCCCTCAATCCCTCATCTTCAGTCAAGTCTTCAGTCCACTTGAGAGCTCACAACTTGGCTCACAATCGTCTAATTGATTGAATAACAGAAGAAGAGGTCTCCGCTTGATTGCTCGGCCAGACAATCCAATAAATTGAGAGGGATCTCAGATTCTTTCCCATCATCCTTCGCGTGATTTCCTTGGGGCATTGGCAGGTGGACAAAAAACGTCCCTCGCCCAGGTAGAATTGATGAAGAGTGACGGTGAGATTACGCCAGGGTGTGTTATTGTTCGTGAAGCGGCTTTCGGTTTCATCGCGGGCAAAGTGAGGCAAAAACCGCACTCAATCCGGAAAGATTGAGCGAAGACGTGGAGGAAATCAATAAATATTTCACACATAATAATGCACTGGTTGTACAACGACGAATATCAATGAAGAATTCACATTGCATCATCTTCATCAGGGGCGCATCGATGTGGAGATTTGTCTGGGAAGGAAGTGGGGCAGAAGTGATCTGAGCGCTTCCAGACAGAAAATACACGAGAAGATAAATCGAGGGCTGAGAAGGGAGGAATCTCAGCGCGCATCGAAAGGGATGAGGATAATGAGAAGGGAGTCGTCAATCAACTTTCCACGCCGCGGACGCACCCTTTGATGTTTCCTGATCGCGTCAAGGCTTCCCTGGGAAGAACTGTGGAATGCGTTGTGGCGTTTTCTCAGCTCTCAAGCGCGCTCAGTCATGCCTCGGAAATATTCATTATTCTCTCTAATGGATTTGCTTTGCGGGTGCCATTGAGCGAGATGAGATGTTTGTGGGTGGAAAAAAAGGAAAAGTCTGTCACGTTGTGCTGCCCCAAGAGATCACTTCAATTTTCGCCGAGGCCACAAACATACAAAATAGAAACGTGCCAAATTGCAGCTCATTGTAGATTCACTGTGTGTAGTCGCGCCGAGAGTCTGGGCAGGAGAAAAGAGAAGCCCAAGATGTACGTGCTGAATCTCCAGAGAGACGCCAAACAATGATCAGTGTTTCACTGGGACACTTCCCATCGAGCTTCCACTCTTTTGCGACTCTGTTTGGCACTCTTGACGATGCTAATGACAAGATCTCTGCCGCTGTTACGAGATGTCTTGGAGATCCACTGCACAGATGATGCGCGACTGACCCTCTTTCTCACCAACCCAATGTGCCTTTGCTGTGGAAAATACACATGCAGAAGAAATGGCTGAAATATGTGCGAATTTTTAATGAAAATATTGCCGCGATTGAGTCATTAATCTCAGCGGGATTGCTTTGATGGCAGAGAGAACCCTTCCTCGCGTGACATGATGGGGAATTTCTTGATCTTCAGATGACAAGAAGTGGTGTTTTCTCTTTCGCATCAATATGAGTTATTAGCAACATTTTCGCTGGAGAGATGCTAAAATTTTCAGTGGAATCACAAGATTTAAAGCATTGTAAATCCTCATTTGTTCAAATAGATAAAATAAATATTTAATCCCGGCATGATGTGAAAGATAATTAGACTTTCTACTAAATATCCAAAAAGAGATTTCATTTGTAATGAAATCAAATTTATAAATATGTTTATTCAGTGACTAAAAATTTATTTTGTCAGATACAAAATGATGAGCAATTTCAAGCTGAAAAAAAGAGTTGCAAAATAATGCGGATATTAAACAATTTTATGGGAGAAACGTCGTGTGTTGGCCTCTAAGAATCTTCCACCATAAATTGATCCACTTTTTCTCCACTGAAACATTCATGATGTATACTCACAGCCTTGGCATTGAGAGAAAAATGTGACTCATTGAATAAGAGATGAAGAAGCGCATGGAATTTGGATCAAAAAGTATCCAAAAGGTAAATTGCTCCAAATGATACTGATTTACATTCCTTCTCTATGGCTTTTCGGCAAAAAAAAACACTTTTGAATTATATCAGGCGCAGAAATGAGAGCTCTGATAAATGACTTTGTGAGTAAAAATATATTTCATCCATAAGTGGTTGGAAAATGAGGAATAAATTTCGCCGGGAAGACTTTCTATAATCCCAACTTTGTGGCTCGAGGGATTTTTTCGGGCTATTTTTCAGTGACTTTGATGGATTTTCAGATGAAATTCGGGATGACGTAAGGCCAAAACAGAGTCTTTTCACGTACAAAATTGCAATTTGAACGACAAAATGACCATTAAAAGTTTCTCAAAGCAATTTCCTATTTTGAATACAAATTAGGCGGTATTATTCAATATTATTTACTTGACAAAATTTATGAGATATTAGCAAACAAATTGCAATTTGCCCAGAATATTTATTGCACTCTGACAGAGCTTTGGGGCAAAAATTGCACACAGGAAAAGCTCCATGATATTATTGTGTGGGATTATATAATGGCAAAGACGCGCACGTCTTCATCAGATGTCCCTCAAATATACTCTGATCGTCACAATTGGCTGATTTCTTTGACTCACTTTCACTGCAGGTCACAATCTTGCCAAACTTCTGGATGCATCGCGAGTGAGGAATTCGCAATGAGGCAAATGAAGTGTTCCTGTGCATATTCTTAGCTCAGTTCAATTACAATTCAAAACCACTGCACGACATTCTCATCACGATTCGTGCGATATCTTCCAACAATGTGCCAGAGAAATACCCAAGGGGCGGATAATATGGTTGGAAGAGGTGTACACTTCTTCGGAAAGTGTTGGGAAGTGTTTTAAAATTCAATTTAATTTCCCAAATTTGAGAAATTCATTCCATTTTTCATGGTTTTCTCGCGCTCTTCTCCGCATCACCCTCAGTGCTGCCTCTACCGTCAAATAATGCCAACAGCGAGAATCTCGTCAGAAGGAGAAGGACGCCATGACAGTGGTATTTCCGCCGTGTTTTGCTGGTTGATATAAGGAATTTGACTTACAGTTCTTTCTTTTAGCGACTCGGATATGATTTGAGGCTCTAATTTGACAAAATATTGCAAAGAAATATGTATTGTTAAGGCAAAATTTCCAGAATTTGACTTGAACGACCGTTGCAAACATAATCTCTACGATATCTCATCGATTTCCGTATAAAATAGACATATTGCAAGATTCTTAACACTTAAAAACAGATTTTCCTTTTCATAATCTACGAAAGAGACGAAAATAAGTGTTTGTAGTGTCAGAAATCAATCATACGAACTTGGAGGTGTTTGGAAGTGGTGTACACATTTCAGACAAATTATCTCCGCCTTGGAAATACCGAGAACTGCGGCGGAGAAAAGTGCCATTCGCAGATTTGCAAATGCCTTGAAGGTCTCGCGAGGCGTATTCGCCATCTGTGTAAGTCTTTCACTGGAGCAACAGCGAGTGGAAAAACTGCGCAAGAAGAATCTCTAATGGAGGCGAAATTAATTGATGGTGGCGAATGGAAATTCACCGCGAGATTTTACTGCCAATCCAATTTCTTAGGCTCATTTGGTATTCAACAAAGGGGGATTTCGGCGTGCACTTGGCCGTGTTGAGGTCTCAATGTGACAGAGAAAAAGTGCTTTTTTTCGGTGTGGAGAAAGGACAGCAAATTACACCTGTTTAGCGCAGTGCTGAAAAGGTGTGATTTGAGACGATGAAAGAGATTTATAGTGCGTAGATTTTGGGGCTATTCGACACTCTCGCAGATCGTCGAGATAGAGTTGGAAGAAATTGTCACTGTGGGTGTTCTTCTCGGCAGGTTTCAGAGGAATTCCAGTCTCTCTTTGTGCCTTCTTGCGAAAGTTTGATAACTTCGTCTCACATTCGGGAAAAGTTCAATGGAAATGTAATTAATTTTCCCCACCCAAAAATTCTGTCAAAGTGTAACAAACATTGCAGAATTCTTCGAACTCTGAAAATGAAAATTTCGCACAAATATTCTCTGTTATTACTTTCTCTCTGGTGTTTATTATTCTTCAACTTACCTTTCTTTATTTACTTCCTAAAAATATCCATGCAACATTCAGGCGTTTTCTGTCTCGAACAGCAAAATTTTCGCCTGAAAATAGCTGAAATAAAACTCTTCATCAAGTTTGAAAATCAACAGAAAATACAGTGGCGAAAACTTGAATAGAATCACCTCAGCAAAATAAAAGTCACAATTAAGCTCTCACATTTAAACGCACCAAATTTATTCATCGTGCATCGAAAAAAAAAGCCCCACAAGCGAAAGAAACGTTTAAAGACTTTTTGGGTGTCGCGTGACCAGTATAAGAATGTGTCGTTCGTCCCTATGTTTTCTTCCTCTCCTGTATAATCTTCTAGCTATCACAATATTTACTTAATCACAAGAAATCTCTGTGTCATTTTCTGCGTTGTCTGATTACATGGACTTCTTGGGTGAATCCGGGAAAGCCTCGCGTGGCGGCGTGAAGCTCAGCATCATGATGTGCCTGGCGTAGGCTTTGGTGTGTCGGAAGAGAGAATCTGTGCCGTGCAGACGATCCAGGACGCCCAGGACGCCGAAGCAGTTGTTGAATCTGCAAGAGAGACGGCAAATTGAGACACTGAAGAGTGCTGGAAGGTGTGTGAAAGTACTTGAGATGGTGGAAGTCGTGAGCTTCCGGGCTCGGAAAGAAGGGCAAATGGTAGCCGGAGTGAGCATTGAGGGTGGACAGGATGGCCAGGGAGAACCAGAGCCAGGCCGTGGCCACGTGGCTGCCCATGATCAGCACGCCCAGGAAGGGCGGCAGCAGATTGCTGAAGACGTGCTCGATCGGATGGCAATAGACTGCCGTGACGGAGATTGGTGCTGTCCACTCGTGATGCTGCTTGTGGATGAACTTGTAGATGTGCTTGCTGTGCAGCAGCCGATGGGAGTAGTAGAAGCCAATCTCCTCCACCAGGATGCACACGGCCAACTCCAGCAGCACCCAGTGGAACGTGGGCAGCTCGCGATTGGGCACAATTCCCCTGAACGTCATCACCTTGTACGCCAGGAGATTCATCGGAATGCCCACCACGAACTGGTTGATCAGCACCGTCACGATGACTTCCATGAGTCTCTTCCTGTCCACGGGCTCGTTCGTGCCCGGCTGGATCTTGTAGCGCCGCAGCACGGCCGGCTTGTTCGTCAAGTCCATGATGGTGTACAGGCCGCCGAAGAACCAGTAGACGAAGATCGTGAGCGCCGTGCTGCCCACGACCCACAGCGTGAAGTCATCCTCGCCTGCGAACAGCAAATTCACTATCAGCGGGCCAATGCGAGGGCAAAACGCCACTCGGATGGGGAGAGCTTTATCAGTGTTAAGTGTCACGCTCTTGTGCCAATTACCGCGCAAAAATCAATAGCCAGCAATTAATCCTCAGCACATTGGCAGAGGCGCTGAGAAATCACACACTTAATCATTCAAATTAATCTGTTGTCGACTAAGGAAAAAAGCGCAATCATTTTGTACTTTGATCCCCCATAGAATGTGCGAAAAAAGAAGCAAAGAAGAAGAGGTCAAGTAGTCTCAAGAGATTCATGATATTATGGTCTAAAATTACATGTTTGTTTGATAACTTTTGTGATATGAATATTTCCTCTTATGTTTGTCGAGGTTTTTCCCCCAAATTCGCCACATTTAACTTTCATTCACTATGACTTTGACCTTCTTAACTGAAATTCGGATTGCAATGCGTGTAATTTGAGCTTCTGGAGCTTTTCCGAGTGATCTTTGCACACCTTCAATTCCCAGTCAATTAACTTTGCTCACAAACACACACGAAAGACACTCTGCGATCGGTAAGAAGGTGTGTGTGCGTGTTATGAAAGAGCTTTAATAAAGTGTGGCAAGAAACAAACATCAAACTTTCAATATTTACCTGTTATGTCGAGGAATTTGTCCCACTGCGATTGCCAGAAGTCTCCAGAGGCGCCCCAGAAGCGCTGAAGATGCCTTGCGGGTAAATCAAAGGGTTCAGGAAAGATTGACTTGGACATTCTGTGTGCTTAAGAGTCTTTTCTAACGGTATGAATGGCACTTTAAACTACGTGGCTTGAGTTGATGAGTACTTTTCTGCGCAGATTTCAAGAATTCTCAGCTTAGACGTTGTCCTTATCTCAATATCCACCGCGTTATCGAATCCCTTTTTACATTATAACAATTTGCAAGCCACAATTATGATGATAACAACTGAAAAACCACGAGATCGCGAGCTGAGAATCTTGCTCGATCGCCGATCATCACGCAACTAAACAAGCAAGAATGGCTTTGTGACTGAGCTGCTATTTGTCTCTTCTTTATACTGTATAAGCGAAGGAGAATATAACACTCTCTGTTTGATTCACTGTGCATTTGAGAGGCGATCTCTCGCGTGTCTCCGCACACATTCGCGCAAACACTGAGTGTACAAATCATCTGTGGAGATGTTAATTAAGCGGCAATTGAAGCGTCGATTTGCGATATGGAACTCCGCGGACAAATGTGGTTGTGATTCATGCCTTTCTGGGCTCTCATTTTCCTCCTTTGTTGCACCAATTTGTTGTCATTCTTTCAGTGTGAATCGCGTGAATTGACTGGGATTAAAACCACTCTCAGTCTGAGGACACATGCACTGCTGAAGCAAATTCTGAGACTCAAGTTCGGAAGTAAGAATTTAGGCTGACGACACGCGATTTTTCATCAAGTTTCTTTGCATACATAATCACAAATGAATTTCTTAATGCTGTGAATTTTAATTGAGGAAAATTTCCACGCAACTGACGCGCAATTCATTGATAAATTGACTCGTGTGGGGAAAATGGTTTAAACTCACCAAGTGAGGGTGTTTCGAAAGGCTGCAAATCCCACGAGAAGCGAGCTCAGGATGAAGAGGACACTGTAGAGGGATGAAAGGACGTTTGGCCTTTGGATCGCCAAGGAATTTCCAGCCGAATTCTGTCGCTCCATTTCAGCGAGATTTTCTCAATTTCCTCAATTTTATATCTGGCAATAAAAAGAGCCACAATTAATGTGGTGAAAAGAACAGTCTTCATCTGGGCGCAAAACACTCAATGTGAACCTCTTATCACATCTCAATTGAGGGGGGATTTAAGTGAGAGATTAGCTAATTCCCAAGAGTGTACGATAATGGAGCAAACAAAAGCCATCGTGAGGTGAATAATCGATGGCAATAGCATGTTGAAATAATGGAATTGCAGGTAAAAATCAATTTAATTGACTACATTTCTCTGTACTTTTCCACTTCCTCGCACTGAATTATTCACTTCAGACACACATTAAGGGTTGCTGCAGAGAACATGAATATTTAAAACATAGCATTCAAGTGGGTGGGAAAGATTCTCATTGACAAACGTGTCGAATTCCCTTTGGGGAATAAATATTTTGTGCAGGATTTTCTACAATGCGTTTAAAGAAAGAGACCCTGAAAACCGCATTGATTTTCCATCAAAATCCACCCTGACCGGACGATACAACTATATTGCCACTGGAAAGTTGAGAACAATGCCACTCACCTCTTTACTAGACAATATCCTTCACTGGGAATTTTCACTCTTTTCACTAGACAAACTGCCGCGAGAGTTTTGGACTTGGAGCTTTTCTGTTTAACTTTATACCGACACTGTTCTGCGTCGCATTTTCTTGGGTTTCTCTTCGCGTCGCGGTATCAAAATATTTGTGGGCAGCGCACAAATGCCAACGTTGCGATAAGAAAGTCCGTCTGTGGATGTGAAAGGGGAAGAAAAAGGTGGAAAGTGGAAAATACTCAATGCTCATGCGTTGCTTTGAAATTTGAGTGACCATCGAAACGTTTTATTGGAATATCTCAAATGTCCTCAAAAGTCTTCATCGCTCTGATCCTGACGGACACTCTTGGCTCCTTCTCTCGCCAGATTAGCCAGACTGTCGCTGTCGTCATCGTCTGATGGGATTTCGTCGCCTATTCAAAAGAAATATCAAGAATAAACCTCACAATTCCCCAAAACTCTCCGTTTAAGCAATCTCACCATCGAAATCCTGCATGTCCAGTTCACTATCCGTGTCATCGGATCCTAGGGAACTGTCGAAGCGATTCTCCCTGGCTGTTGTGCCGCCCATCGCTCCAATCACTCTCCTTTCGCCGCGATTCATGGCGCCAGTTCGGATCCTCAATCGATTCGCTGACTGCTTCCTGGCCACAATTTCCGGCTCCTTTCGGGCCGTTTCGTCTCTCCCCTTCGCCACGTCGTCCTTCAGGCGCATCATGTTGTCCTCCTCCTCGTCATCACTGTCCAGCAGTCCTTCGGGCAGAACTGTCATTGAGTTCTCCGCGGCATTTCTCTGCTGAGGAGACTCCAAAGCGGCCTCAATGCTGGAATCTCTGTTGCCCAGGGAATTCTTGAGCGCATCAACAGAGCGATGGCGCGTCAAGTAGATGTCAAACAGTCCATTCAACTCCTCCTCGAGCTTCTCAAATTCCTCCAGATAAGATGGGCGCACTTTCTGCAGCGCCAGCAGTCTCTGCCTGCTCCTGTCCAGCTCCTGTTGCTTCCGCTGCAGGCGAGAGTTGAGATTCGTCACTTCCTCGCGCGATTGCTCCAAATAGGACTTTGCTGACTGCACTTTGCCCTGCATACTCGCGAAGGAGGACACCAAAGCATGCTCAACACTGGACAGTTCCATTGGGCGATTGGCCTGATGCTCTCTGGTCTCCTTGTTGAGTGGCTCCTTGCCTAGCAGATCATACAGCGAAGCTCCTCTGTTCGTCAGCTCAGTCGAGAGTTCTCGCACTCGTCGCAGATCTTCAATCTACAAGATATTGTGGGTTAAATTGCTGGCAAAAGATGGTTTAGATTACAATTTACCTTGTCTGATAAGTCAATTTCATTGGCACTCTTCACTTCATCTTCCTGAGCTTTAACATCATTCGGCGCGTGGATGAGAACTGAGGTAATCTTGAGCAGTTCCTTAGCTGAAGCCACAGAACTTGCATAGAGTTTCCTGGGATTGACTTTAATCCCAGCCTTTGTAATCTGAAAAATCCAACCAATTTACCCAGGAATCTGCGGAGGAAAGTGTGTTTGCTTACAAAGAATTCCGAAGCTGCTCGGATGAGAAGAACTCTTTCAGCTTCAGTTTCTGTTCCACCAAGAAGAATTGTTCCTGGTTCCAGTCTTGCTGCCAACCAATTGAGCACGCTGGCGACAATCTTGAAGCTCGAAGCACTTCCGTAGGGCGTGTAGAGGGCCGACATGGGGAAGAAGTCTGGATAGCCCAGGAGCTTCAGGTGCTCTGTGAGGTCTAAAAGACACAAAAACACTTAGAAAATATCCAGAAAATTCCCTTTCTTCCCTCCAAAATCACCTCTTACGTCGTTGAAAGTCATTTTTCCAGAAAAGACTGATATTTGTTGATAGTTGAGTTGCCTGGGAAACAACCAAATACTGCCGCAGGAGTTCACAAAGTTCTTTCACATTCGCTCTTTTTACATCCTTTTTCAACTCCTGCAGAGTGAAAGTAAATTTTTCACACCTCAATATAGGAAAAGAAGTGGAAAATATGAACCTGATCATTTGCCAGAGGAAGTGAAACATGGTGTGAGAGCAAGAGTGATTAGGGATGTAATTTAGGGGTTGCAATTAAGTGCTATTAGAGTGAGATTAGACCATTAGTTATAGTGATTTTTATACCACACGTGTTTCATTGACAAATTGCCTGACTCTCAAGGCGTTTCCTTTTAGTGGTTTTATTAATAAATTGTGCGCCTATTTTCATCCATTAATGACGAGGATTTTCCAGGTAAAAGTTGAAAAAAAAATGCAATCAATGAATTTCCCATTCATCAATGTCACAGGCGGGAAAAAGGGGTGGGGGTTTTACTACACCTGCAAAATTACACGTCAAACAAGGATATTTATTAAAAATATTTGCATAGCGAAGCAGAAGCCAATGCACGCATAATTTACCTACAAACTCGCGGCAGAAGGGAAAATATTCCCCTCGCGGTGTGCTAAGTATTAACACTGCGCAGTTGGCAATCTTGTGGGGGATTCAAAATCGAAATAACTGATGGAATTCGAGTGGATTTCTTGCGAAAATCATGATAAGGAAATGGTTTTCAGCAAATTATTGTATGAATTGGGAGTTGTTATTGCTTTTTACATCGCTTTTGACGGTAATTGTCGACAATCAGTGGGTGTTTTGTGTGCAGAGGTGTTCAAAATGTGTTTGTGAGTGTTTGTGTTTTCACCACAAGTCGTCCGCATTTAGTACAAGTGTGGTGAGAACGTGAGATCATCTGTCAGACCATGTCATATGACAGTTTGCTAAAACTCAGCCTCTGCAAAGTGCTTTAGTATAGTTTTGCTGTGATAAGAGAAAACATTGTGTTAGTCTGCTGGAGCACTATTTTAAAGCATGGAATTATAAGTAATTAAGATAAAGTGGGTATCAATAAAAAAGTAATTTATTCCATCCACAGCCTCACAAGGCATTCCATTTCTTTTCCCCCGAAAAGAAAACTATCGCATTAGTTTTTTGGCCTGCAATTGGATAGTTTCAATCGCACTTCTTACCAATTAATATCACAGAGTGCGAGTGCCGTGTGGCTGATCTTTTTTGAAATTCATAAATTTTGATAATACCAACACACGTTCGCGCTGAAAGTGTCGTGGCGATTGTGTGGATTTTCCGCGGAAAATAACGATTTTTGAACTGTTGGCAGTGAAGAAGGTGGTCGACAGTGTTTTGTTGTCTCCATATATCATCAATATTTTGCCATGTCTTTTCGAATGTTTTGTGTGTACAAAAAAGAAGAAGAAAAGAGTCTCAACAATAAACTCGCGCGCGACTGCAGACTTAAAAACTTAGACTTGACCATGAAAATTTATATTTTTTTTCTCCCTCTCTCGCGCGCCACGATTTTCACGCCGAGCACAGCGTGGAATTTCCTTTCGAGGGGAGGGGGGAAACAACTGAGAAAAAAGTGTGGCTGAGGGACAACTTTTACGCATTGTACATATCCTTAAAGTTTAACCACCGACAGCAACTTTCGCCCCTCTTTAAAATGTAATTTTCTGCACATGTCGAGGAAATTCTCGCTGGTTTTTTTTTGCCTCTTCTTCTGCTCCACCACCGCCAAACCACCCCGCGCGCGACCTCCACTTTCATCAACCGCATATAAAGAGGAAAATAAGAGAAGTTTGTGTCTGAAGCGCGCGGCGGTGCTTTTGTCGTGAATGGTAGAATTTTTGCCCTGAAGCCGACAGAGAGATACAGAAGAGCGAAAGGAAACCCTACACGCAACTTTTATTTTTATCCACGCTCATTTCCAGTATTATTTACATGTTGTAATTAAAAAGCTGAGGGTGAAATTGGAGCACATGCCTTTTTGATGGTACTCCCACAATTTGTGGCCTCAAAACTTAAGGGGTTGCGCGACTTGGGAAACCACACACACAACAATGAGTAAATTGATCTCCCAAGTGAAATTCAACCTGAATTCTTTAACCATCGCGCGCGTCCTTTCAATTAGTCTAGAGTGCGAATGTGTTTTCCGTGGTAAATTGTGGCGCCAATTCTCCTCCCTTTCAGCAGAAACATCACTTAACCTTATTTCGTGTCAAAATTCTGATTAATTGCTCCGCAACTCTGGGCATGAATCGCAATTATACTGTATAGAAAATTCACTTCCTCAGCAGCAGCAGCAGCTGAGGAGGGAAAATGGACATATTCATGGCACACTGAGAGAAAAATGCCTGGGATTTTCTTCAGGTGAAGTACGGTGAATTGGGTCAAGCAAGGCGTGGGTCAAGGAGCAATTCCCAGCCTTTGTAATTTATGCCATTGACCTTCTGGAGCTGTTTCGGGTCATTTATGGAAATCCAAATGGAAATTCACGTCAATTCTTTCAGCCAAATATGAATTATTTTCCAATAAATAATTACTTTCAATTCATTTCACTTTGCCAAAGTGCTTTTCTTTCCTCTCAGTGAGTTTTTCCCCCTTAAATTAGCTCAATTACTCCTGAAGCACAACAAGCGATTTTCTTTCGCGAAACCACCGAAAAAAAATTGCAAATGTGAAGCAATTTTGGAGAGTTTGTAAGAAAAAAGAATCGGTATCGCTATCTCGGTGAACTCTTGAGAAATTTTATCAACCACAGGGAAACTCTTCCGTCGCCTCAATTGTGTATATATTCCATTACATCAGGTTTATCAGGTTTATTGTTGTGTGTACTTTCAGGTGGAGCTGTGCGAAAAGTTAGAACACGCGAGGAACTCCTAAAGCAGCAAAGTGTCGCGACAATTTTGACGGTGCGGAAAATATGGAATAGACAGAGAGAGAGAGAGAGAGTGAAATTCGCGGTGAAGGTAAGACGCGGAAAAGAGCATTGATGGTGGGGAAAAAAAAAGATGTTGTTGCGCCTTGGCGCGCTTTGTCCGATTAAAGCCTGAGCAAAGCGCGCCCAAAAACGCGACGAATCGTGTGTGAAATCTAATTTTATCTGCGATGGTCGGTGCAAATAAATGGCAACTATTGTCTTATCGTTGGGGAGAATGTGATTGCAAGAGTCTTGAAGAAATCGTACAGTGATAAGAGCTTGTCGTCAGATATTACTGTTTTACTTTTTTATGTCATGTTTGTGGATTCAGGGGTAAATAACTACTGAATTTCACATGCTTCTGCACCCGCACACTTGTCACCCGAGCACAGATGATGAGAGTCGGGCTCTTGAGGCGCTCGAGTGTCGCCACTTCAGCGCTCTTGAGTTCTTTGCTTGGCTTATTTGCACAATTATTTACCCCAAAAGAAAGGAGAGTGACTTCTTTCTCACCCAAGATATGGGCAATTTCAGGCGACGATTCAGAGATTTTCTCAATTCTCTCCCGCCCGCTGTGAAACCCTTCGTGCAGCCAAGGGGGAGATAATACAGTCAGAAGTGGTGTACAGATCAGCAGAAGTACTTAAGAAGTGAAAGTGTTCAAAAGCTTTACAATATTCCTTTCCTGAGAGCTTAATTTACTGATTAATTAAACAGATTCTTTGGATTTCCTCCGATTTTCACGCAAAAATCAATAATAAAAATCTTTTTTTGAGGTTATGTAACGAATTACGGACAGGTTTTGTGAATAATTCGTATTCAATTGGGGAAATTAGACGTTCACATGTAATAAACAGTGCTTTTCTGAACATTTGATGCCAAGAAACACTGCAAATTGTGTTAAGTTTGAACATAACCTCAAAAATAGTCATATAGAATTGAAAAATGTTTCTTTATAAAGCTTTTTAGTCAATTTTGACTCTCAATCAGTTTTGAGTTCATTTTGTGATCTAGAATGTTTCAAAACGGAGTTTTTGAAGATCTTTAATGGATATTTTGAGGTTATGGTCGGAAAAAATGCCAAATAAGCATTATTAAGTCGATTTTCATAGAAATTTTGAATGGAAACTTTAGAAATTCAATCAAATTTAAGCCTAAAAAGTGTCTGGCAAACTCAGAAGTGTTTGGAAGTGGTGTACAGATTGATGGCATATTGTCTCCCCCTTGCGTGCAGGTCATTGTGATTATCAATAGACAACTCGTGGCTCTCATAATGTTTTATTGCACGGAGAAAATTGCTGCAAAGTGCTCCACTTTTATCCCACAATCTTGCCATTTATTCGCGATATTTTTTTGTCTGTTTTCTTGCACCACCAGAAGCTACAATATCATTAACCTTTCACGAATTTTTATGGATTATCCCAAGTACAAGTGTCTCTTCGGGTGGTTTTAACATTCACTGTTCTGAAATGGCATTCGGAGCAGCTTTTCTGCTGCAAATCTTCTGCCATGCAGTGTAAAAGCCACTCAGTTATTGCAGATTAATCTTGCTCATGTCGACAAGATCAAGTGAAACTAGAGTAATTTCCAATTATCTTGTGTTATGTCTTACAATAATTTTGATTAATTGAACCTACCAGAATATGAAGAATCAATTTCAATGCTGGCAATGCAATTTTCTCAAAACATGTTTACTTGACTTCTCAAGTGGACAAATATTAAATGCGCGCGTGAAAGGGAATTTTCTCTAATCTCAGTCACACAGAACGCGCGAGTTTAGGGCCAAGGCGATTTTCTGTTCTTGTGCTGAAGAGAGAGAGAAAAAAACATTCTGTGTGGAAAAATCACAAGCGACAATAAAAAGTCGGTGGAAAATCGAGCAATGTATTAATGGAAAAATTCATGTAAACACAAACAATGATAAAGTGTGAAAAACTAATAAAATTTACGGGTTTTTTCTCGGTCTATAAACCTACTTCCAATATTGAGATGTGAGATTAAAATCTCTATATATGGAAATATTCAAATGTTTGAGATGAACTTAACACACACACACACACGTGCGCGTGAATGGATGATCCAATATTTAGACACTGTGATAATTTCTCAGACTGATAACGCGCGATTTTTCAAGTGACTCTAAACGAATGTATCACAAAATAGACGCATTCTGAAGATTGCGAAACTCCTTATCGATTTTTTGAATCACTTGTGATCATCTCATGGGCAGAGAGAGAGAGAGATAGAAAGAAGAAAAAAGCCCCGAAGAGCGCAACTATCGTGAGTAAGATTGATCTGTTGGAAAAGGTTCACGTTCAAGATCACTTTTGTCTCAACTCGCGCGCGCGAGTCAACATCGAGGAAATAATTAAGCCGCCAGTAATGACTTGTGATGCATTATTGAGCTCCATCCATTGCAATGAGCGCTGAAGAAGATGAAGAGCATTCTCATTGAGTGTGTCAGGAGTATTTGAGATAAATGCTCAAGACGTTTATTGCATTTTTATTTCCACACGAAACTCTCCTCTATCATCATTAAACTTCCCCGCCAGATGATGATCGGAGGACTTTTTTGCCGTCTTCTCTCTCGTGTGGCGGAAGTGACTTCATCTATGATGTCAAAGCTCAGCGGAAAACCTTATCGCGTGAGGGCCTTTTTTGCTCGCATTCTCCAAGCCCATCGTCTACTAATCAAGCCTCTTCTGACGTCATGGCATTCGTCATTGGTGTGCAAGACGAAAGAGAGAAAAAAAGCTCAGTCTATAAATTAATGATGAATTTTATATTGAGCACATAAACATTAAGTCACAATGGCGGGGGAAAAATCGGCTCCGCTGTCGATGCTAAAGTTCAACATTTGCGATGAATTTATGAAATTAGTGGAAGAAATGAGTTAAACTTTTAATAAACACCCATGAAAATGTGGGTGGGCTTTTGGGATGTTTTCTTGCGGGCGGGGAAAAACAATCTTTTGATCGGGAGATGAGAAATTTTCGCACAAGGTGAAAATTGCTCAGACACACATTTCTCTTAATGATATACAGTTGGAAGAACAGAGAGGGAAATTTATATGGGATGTTTTTCAGTGCAGTGAGAAATTTTTGATTCTCTTTCATCTCGTTGCGCTGCCGTGATTAATTAAGGCTCCCCCGGCTCGAGGTCTCCCCTTCGGCAAAACAGTTGGACTCAAACTAATTGGCAATTGAAGTTTGACAAAGTATGGCTCAGTTGATCTATGTCTGTACTGCCGACGCTTGCCAGAGAGTTCACAGATATTGCAAGCGGAAAACGCTCGCTTTGAACATCAACTGTGACCACAGAGGCTTTTGAATTTATCAAGGGGGAGATAATATGCCTCAAATTTGCCTCACGCTTCTAGAACACGAAATTTGTGGTCTGTTTCCACATTAATTCCCATATTATAATAAATCTCTTAAGTTTCCATTCGATATTTCTATAAGAATCGACATAAAATCGCTATTTTTGGCCATCTTTTCCGACCATAACCTCAAAATACCACCAAAAAATCATCAAATACTCCGTTTAGAAGTTTACTAGATCGCAAAATTATCGCAACGATCATAATTGTCCAGATAGTTGTATAATTGGGCATTTTCCAAATCCAAGTGACTAGTTTTGAGGTTATGTACAATTTTAGCAGAATTAGCGGTATTTCTTGGCATCAAAGGTGTTCAATTCAAGGGGAAGATTATGTTGTATTGAGTTTCTGTCCGATATTTGTGTAAGAATTCACTTTAAACCGCTTTTTGGGTGTCTTTTCTGACCATAACCTAAAAATGTCACTAACAGATCTTCAAAATTTGCCAAATGATACTAAAATTACTAATTCTCAGCCAATTTTGACCAGAAGGTTTTCTAAATGGACATTTTTCAAGTCCAAGTGACTATTTTTGAGGTTATGTTCAATCTTAGTACAATTCATAGCATTTTTGGCATCAAAGAATCAAAAGGGCACTGTTTATTGCTTGCAAATGCTTAATTCTGCCAAAGACTAGCAGAATTTATGTACTAGAATGCGAATTATTCACTAAATCTATCCTTGATTCTTTACATAACCTAGAAAAAGGTTATTATTTTTGTTTCTGCGTGAAAATCGAAGGAAATCCAAAGAATCTGGGTGATTTATCAGTAAAAACAGGATTCAGGAAATTCACCTCCACTTCTTAAGTACATCTGCCTTAGCTTTGCACCACTTCTTACTGTATTATCTCCCCCTTGAAATTTATTGCACATCTGACACAAGAAATTATATTAATACCGCAAATAGTGTGGGTAAAACCGAGTTTAAACACACCATAATTATCGTCCAAAGGTTAAATAGGAATATTTTATTGCAAGTTGATGTGAGAAAATTTAATGATTTTCACGAGAATCACACAAGATTGCAGCATTGCTAAGCCTTTTCGCAGAAGTTGGATTTTTTTTCCCTCCAAGTGCAGAAATAAAATTAATAATTATAAAATTGAGAGAGTGGATGAATAAATTTTTATAGTTCGCCACATAAGTAAATGGCAGCGCGGAGACACACTGCCATTTACAGTGCTAATAAGTTGCAATGCTCGGTCACATATTACCATAAATTCTTCCATCGACATTTTCACGTGGAAAAATCATCAATAATTCATGGTGAGAAGGGACATGGAAATTGGATGGAACGAAATTTGTCATACACTCCCTGTCACATCATCAAATATTAATTATTCAAGCAATTTTATCACCCACCCAAAACAATTTAGTCAGAGGCTTTCGGGGGGGGAGGCCCCAGAGGGGCTCCGGGGGGACGAGGGTGTGGGTGGAGGTGGAAAAAAAAGCTGCCGGGCCATATGTTGAGTGAGTAAATTAACAAATTACCCGAACAATGAGAGTGAAAAATCACTATTTGAACAGCGCGCGCCAACGAGACGTTTTTAATATCAATACGATTTCGTTGTCGTGTGGTTTGAAAACCTCTCCATTAAAGTGTCTCTCAGCATCGCATATTACAAAATTCATTAACTTTTTTTCCCCTCCTTGTCCCCTCTTGGCAAT